GGTTTCATTCAGGAACGTGCTGCTCTTGTTGCCAAGGGAGAGAAGGTTGGCACAACACTATTGTTCTTTGGATGCCGTAAGAGCGACGAGGATTTCATGTACAAGGATGAGTTCAAGGTATGACAATACCCTCTTACACTTGAAATCCCACATTCATACTAATATGATTCATTAGACTTTCCAAGATCAAATGGGTGACTCCCTGAAGATTATTACTGCCTTCTCCCGCGAGGGAGCCGAGAAGATTTACGTCCAACACCGTCTGAAGGAGAACGCCGAGCTGGTCAGCGACCTGCTCAAGCAAAAGGCCAACTTCTACGTCTGCGGTGATGCTGCCAACATGGCCCGTGAGGTCAATTTGGTCCTTGGTCACATTATTGCCCAGCAACGGGGTTTGCCCGCTGAGAAGGGCGAGGAGATGGTCAAGCACATGCGTAGCAGCGGCAGTTACCAGGAGGACGTCTGGTCATGATCTCATGATTTACGAACACTTCTTTGCACTTGCACCATGCTAGATGATCGCGCCTATATATTATCATTTTGTTCCATACGATACGCCTTTTGTTTCCTTCGCGCTGCATGTTTTCCTATCATTGGCCTCACGTTAGGACCTTGAGCTTGTTAGCTATGACTGCCGCCTGGGCGGCGTATGACTTTAGACTTGTGATTTTAAAAGGAATTTAATCTTTTTCTCTTTCTTTCAAATTGAACCATCATGTATGTAACTATTTATTCAATTGCAACTAAGAACGACTGTCGAGATGTTTTCGGTTGTAAGCGCGGACTTTAGACGTCATTTGCACGGGAACCTCAACCTCTTTCATCTTCCCCACCGACTAAGCAATCCTACCCTAACAGAGTTGAACTAGAGAATGTGCAATCTATAAATCAACACCGTCAACCTCCGCCATCTCAATCCCTTGTACATTTTACTCTCGGAGATATCCCACCCCCGCAGGGTGCTGCGCCGAAGCTTAAGCCCCAACCAGCTCCGCGCTGTCCAGATACCTCGGGCTATTGAATCACCATGGCTTATGTCGTGCCCATCCACCGGGCAAGCAGCATTCGCCATGCAGTGAAGCTAAACTTTTTCTCTCCGGACGAGGAGTGCCTAGTCGCAGCGTGAGTCCCATCCCGCCAATCTACGGAACCTAAGCCGACCCGCCGCCCGATGACAAGCTAACCCTGCCAACACACAGAAAAGCCAGTCGTCTTGAGTTCTACACGCTCACGCCGGATGGACTCGTCCTGACCGCGACCCGTGCTCTGAATGCGCGGGTCACTATGCTTGCACGCCTACCCGCGCCAACGAATTCCCCAACCGACCATCTCTTCATCGGCACAGACCAATATAACTATTTTACAATAACCTGGGACCGCGAATCAAGTGAGATAAAAACTGCGCGCTCGTGTATTGATATCTCCGAGCCCTCATGCCGGGAGTCCCAATGCGCACCACGATGTCTGATCGATCCCACGGGGAGGTTCATGACGCTGGAAGTATACGAGGGTGTGATTGTTGTTGTGCCGATCGTGCAGCCGACGAAGAAAAGAGGCCGGGTGCCGATGGCAGGGTCCCAGGCTGACTTGCCGTTGCAGGTGGGGGAACTTGATAAGCCGACTGCATCCCGCATCGACGAGATTTTCGTTCGGTCTTCGGCATTCTTGCATTCGGAATCTAATCCTTGGTTGGCATTGCTCTATGAAGATAACCAGCAGAAGGTGCGGCTTCGAATCCGCGAGTTGGATTTCACGCCGGGCACTTCGGGGACTCCGGCGGATGCTAGCTTCAAGGAGGTGCAGAAGTTGGAAGGGGGTGAATTTGGACAGGAGCTTGATCTTGGATCGTCGCATCTTATCCCTATCCCGGCTCCGCTGGGTGGTCTCATTGTGCTTGGGGAGACGTCGATCAAGTATATCGACGATAATGCCAACGATGTGATTACGCGGAATCTTGACGAAGCGACGGTCTTCGTGGCCTGGGAGAAGGTCGATAGTCAGCGGTGGCTATTGGCTGATGACTATGGAAGGCTATTTTTCTTGTCTTTCATCCTGAACAACTTAGGTGAAATTGATGACTGGAAGCTCGAGTATCTGGGCAAGACGTCTCGTGCATCGGTCCTGGTCTATCTCGGCGGAGGCATGTTGTTTGTTGGCTCGCATCACGGCGACTCTCAGGTCCTCCGGCTCGACGGAAGCTCGTTTGAAGTGATCCAGACATTGTCTAACATCGCACCGATTCTCGATTTTACTATTATGGATCTTGGGAACCGCACAAACGAGAGCCAAACGCATGAGTTTTCATCTGGGCAGGCTCGGATTGTGACGGGTTCTGGTGCCTTTGACGACGGGACATTACGCAGTGTGCGGAGTGGTGTTGGCATGGAGGAGTTAGGTGTGCTGGGAGAAATGGAACACATCACTGATCTCTGGGGACTGCAAACTCGAAGCAAAGGCGACTTCCTTGATACGCTTATTGTTACATTTGTTGACGAAACACGTGTGTTCCAATTTAACCCTGACGGTGAAGTTGAAGAATTGGATAACTTCCTGGGGCTTTCACTCACGGAATGCACTCTTCTCGCCACAAGACTTCAGGGCGGTCGTATTCTTCAGGTCACAGAACAACGAGTGCTAGTGGCCGATCTAGAAAGCGGCATGGTGACATTTGAATGGGCTCCTCAGGACCAGAAGCTGATCACCGCCGTGTCGGCTAATGAGGACCATCTGGTTCTCGTTATTAGCGGCCAAGTCGTGGCATCCTTTGATATCAGGGACAATATCCAGATCATCACGCAGAAAGATCTCGGCGCTGACCAGCAAATCTCCGGTCTGACCGTCCCATCAACGCCAACAGGGGTTTGCATCGCAGGGTTCCCGCAATCGGCCAAGGTGTCAATCCTGGCTATTAAGGACTTCACTGTTCTCCAAACAAAGTCCCTCGGCCCTACTGGGGAGAGCTTTCCTCGATCAGTTCTTGTAGCCGAAGTGCTCGCAGACAGCCAGCCTACCCTCTTCATCTCCATGGCTGATGGCTGCGTCATTACATTCTCACTCAACCCACAAGACTACTCGCTTAGTGAGATGAACAAGCTGATTCTTGGCTCCGAACAACCCATATTCAAGAAACTCCCCAAGGGTGACGGGCTATACAACGTCTTCGCTACCTGCGAGAATCCCAGCCTAATCTATGGTTCCGAGGGCCGGATCATCTACTCCGCAGTGAACTCCGAGGGTGCATCACGGGTATGCCATTTAAATGCAGAGGCGTTCCCAGGTTCTATCGCCGTGGCAACCGAGAAAGAGCTGAAGATCGCGCTGGTTGACAGAGAGCGCACAACCCAAATTCAAACTTTACCAATGGGCTCGACTGTCCGTCGTGTGGCATACTCCCCTTCTGAGAAGGCATTTGGAATTGGCACGATTGATCGCAAGCTCGAGAATGGCGCCGAGGTTGTCAAAAGCTACTTTGTCCTTGCTGATGAGATCATGTTCCGGCGCCTTGATGCGTTAGAAATGGGCCCCGACGAACTGGTGGAGAGCGTTGTTCGTGCGGAACTCCCGGCAGGGAAAGATGAAAATGGAAAAGAGATCACGAAGGACCGCTTTATTGTTGGCACGGCATTTGCAGATGAAGACCAGGAAGAATCGATCCGCGGGCGGATCCTCATTCTGGAAGTCGACCACGGCCGCAAGCTGAGCCAAGTCGCCGAGCTGCCGGTTATGGGGGCCTGTCGGGCCCTCGCTATCATGGGCGACTGCGTTGTTGCGGCACTTGTTAAGACTGTGAGTACTAACCGCGTGTATGTTTGAACCCTGTACTAACGATGATTAGGTTGTTGTGTATAGAGTCAAAGCCAATAACGTTGGACCAATGAAGCTCGAGAAGCTTGTTGCATACCGGACCTCCACCGCACCAGTCGATGTAACAGTCGTCGACAACTTAATCGCAGTGGCAGATCTCATGAAGAGCCTTTGCCTTGTGAGGTTTACACCGGGCCACGCTGGGGAAGCTGCCAAGCTGACCGAAGTCGGTCGTCACTACCAGACCGTCTGGAGCACAGCAGTTGCCTGTGTTGGGGACGAGACATTCCTCCAGAGCGACGCCGAGGGAAACCTTATCGTTCTCGCTCGGAATACGAATGGAGTCACCGCCCAGGACAAGCACAGGTTGATCCCCACTAGCGAGATGTCACTAGGGGAGATGGTCAATCGTATCCGACCAGTTAATATTCCACAGCTGTCCAGCATTACGGTGACACCGCGAGCGTTCATAGCAACAGTAAGTTCCTTGTTGACTTGGTTGACCGGCATTAAAGGCTCATTTACTAACCCATTCAAAGGTCGAGGGCTCTATATTCCTCTTCGCCGTTATCAACCCCGAACATCAAGACTTCCTTATGACCCTGCAATCTGTCCTTTCTACCAAAGTCACCTCGTTGGGTAACTTATCATTCGACAAGTTCCGCGGCTTCAGAACTATGGTGCGCAGCGCCGATACACCATATCGGTTCGTGGACGGCGAACTTATTGAGCAGTTCTTGCACTGCACACCAAGCATGCAGGAGGAGATTGTGCAGGATGTTGGCTCCTCAGACGTGCAGGAGGTCAAGAGAATGATCGAGGCCTTACGGAGGCTTCACTGATCTCTTGCGAGACATTGGTGATATGTTACGAATTGTTCATGAATACGGATAAGATCCGGCGATCGCTACATAGTTTCTAGAACGGCCCAGGATAAAGTTCTGGCTCGGGTATGATTGGATTGGATGCATTCTTTAGATGCAAATAGTAGATTTATGACTTCCAAGTATATGTTATGTGCAAGGTAAAGAGTCCTCAGTAGAGATGCTACGAGTAGATCAGAAAATTCGCTTAAAGCTAGAGAGACCGTGGAGGTCTTATTAAATTAGAATCTAGTATTAAACAATACAAGCAGCATAACCTCCCATGCAATGCACAGATACAAGAACAGCCCTAGACCAAGACAAGTCGAAATCTCATAGATCCTTCTTGACCTTCGCATCCACCTCCTCCTCCTCACTACTCCAATCCAACAACTCCAAAATCTGCTCCCGGCTCAAATCCTGCGCGCGCTGATCCTTCTTGACACGCTTAATATAATTCTTCTGACGCTTCCGAGCCAAGTCATTCCACTCAGGAACACCACTAGCAGCAGCCATAACATCCTCCTCATCCTCGAGCTCGTCATCCGTGTTATCGACTTCACCAAGGACCTTCCCCTTGTCCCCACCAGCACGCAGCGAGTTCGCCGAGACCTTGACCTTCCCGAACTGCGCCCTCTCCTTCTCGCGCTTTTCCTTCTCCTTGCGACGGTCGCGCTCGTACATCCACTTGAACATCTTCTCGATGTACGGGCGGAGAATTAGGTACACGACGACGACGCCGATGACTCGGGCCCAGCGCTTGCCGCTCATCTCGGTCATCTGCACGATGGAGGCGTAGCCGTTTTTGAACAGCCGTGTGACAACCAGCTCGAAGAAGCTGTAGATCTGGCTGAAGAAATCTTCGGCGGCCGCGGCGGCCGCGTCGCTCAGATCGGGCTTTGGCGTGGCCATGGTGTGTGTGTGTGTGTGTGTGTGTGTGTGTGTGATTTGGCCGGTGGTAATTTTTTTTGGTTTGGTTGAGGGCTTGTGGAAGGTGGGAGGTGCTCGGTGGCTACCCGCTGAATGGGGTGGTTGGAGAAGAGGACACTCAGAGGGAGTTGAGAGTGGAGTAGGGGGGATTTTTAAAAGATTAAGGGTTGAGGGATTAATTGAGGGGATCTGTCATTGCTTTGCGCTTCTTCGATATTCCGTGGCTCCCGCAACGAGAGATGTCTGTTTCGGGGTTAGCGTGGGACTGTTGCCGGATTAGCCGTTAATCCGTGGACGCGTCGTCGGCCAATCATATGTTGTTGGTTTTATATGGGCACGCGCTCGGCTTGTTGTCTTGCACTATCACATCACCATGGAGCAGACTGAAGAGGCTAGTCTGGAGGAGGTCAGTCTCAGGAGGATCTTGGTATGTAACTAGCTAACTCTCTTTTGTAGCGCTTGAAATCCGCGCTGTGGTTGTCTATCGGTAAGATCGTGGATGAGGAGACTATCAGGCTAGGCGTCAATGCCACTCCGCAGTTCATCGGTGCGTTGACAGAGATGGTTTGGGCTCAGATAGGTAAGTTCCACTTTTTTGGTCAAGTTCCCGGCTTTACCCTTATAACTGACTATGTTCGCAGAGACGGTCAGCCAGGATCTAGAATCCTTTGCGAAGTAAGCAAACGCATTGCTGCGATTGAGTAGCCAATTGTTCGGGATGGTACATACATCTAATAAGAAATGTACTAACCTCGTTTTTTTTTCAGGCACGCTGGGAGATCTACCGTCAATGTATCCGACGTGATGCTACTCGCTCGCCGTAATGAGGGACTGGATTCAATTCTCCGTGCTTTCGCTGAACAAGAAAAGCAGCGCCAGGAAGACTCCTGATGGTCGACAAGAAGATACCGTCCACTTCCATACCTCACGAGCTACTGCCGAGGATTTTGCCGCTTTCATTTTCAGATTTCCCAAAATGGAGTAAAATATGGGTTGGAACACGAGAGCCTGATAGAGTTCATTGCTAGACATCCCTGGACATTGGCAAGGTCAACCCAACACCTGCATTAATGGCCATATTCCTGTTTTTCCAAGAAGCTCGCTTGATTTGAACAGCTTTGGGCAACAGGTGTCCATAGGCCCGAGAACCTGGGCGGCAGTCATACCACTCTACGACCTACCTAGCATTGGTCCGATATATCTTGTCCGTCCGGGTCGATGACGGAATCTTTACAAGGCCGGAATCATAAATATGCTCCTGACTAAAAATGTGCTTCGTCCGGTTAGCAGCACCATATCCTAGATTTATTTAGGCGACACGCGCTAGCTTGGGGATTTGATGGATCACAAGCTCACAGGTACCATATGGGCACATATTAATTTTTTTTTTCAATCTCTCTCGCCTTGCTATACTGCATCTCGTTCTGGTTACCCCGCAAACTTGACCACCAAGAGGATGTGCCATTCCATGTGGCGGACCCAGTTTTAATATCAAACTTCCCATTGTACCTCGTATGTTTGTAATGTTTGTAAACGGCAAAACGTGGCGTGTAAAACCTAGTGAGATGGGTGGATGCAGACGTCATTCCCAGCGTGGCGGGCTCATACAATGAAATCTAGATGGCAGTGCAGCACAGCCACACCCATGGATGAAAGGGCCAATGAAAATAGGCAAATTATGTAATATGAAGGCGCTGGAAAGTAAAATATAACAGTAGTGGCTGGTTAGTCGGTGTCGAACAACATGGTCTGTATATGAAAGTTGTGTCATGCATGAAAGGATATGAAATAAGTTCATACTGTTCAATCTGTGCTAGCTTTATTCTGAAAGTCTCGATGAACACCTCGGACCAGGTTCAAGGAACAGTTGATCATGTGAAGGCTGGTTACCTATAAATAGGAAGCAATGATATGTGTGGAATCTATGGATAGTATAAAGTATAAAGTGTAAGGGTCATGGTAGAAGTTGAAATTGTCTTGGCAGTGTGGCTGGAGCACTACAACATTGTATTGATTTTTTTCCTCACGTGGTACGGTGGCGAACTCTCTAACCGGAGACAGCCAGGGTGGAACCCTAAACTCCCCAATCCATGGTACTGACATCACCGAGTGGGCCCATCTGGGGTCATTTAGAGTGTGGCGCAGACGCCGTTGGCCATTGAGCTGCCGGTGTCGTCCAGGATCGACGTACTATTGTACCCTATTGTGCCGCCATCCACTGATCGCCAATTGTTTCGGTCCACCCTTATTAACTCGCCCAAATCCTGCTGCCTGAGTTTCTTTCATATATTCTCCCCTGGACCCTGTTGTCGTTACTGTCACCTCTATACCCAAATAATCATATACACTATACAAGATGGGAGCTGGCGGGGTAATCCTCCGCTTTTTCAATCTCGGACTGCGTGTTCTGCAGTTCCTTGATGCTGCTGTCATCCTCGGCATCTTCTCATATTTTCTGGCTGTCTTGGCCAAAAATGACCAACACATTGCGACATGGATCAAGGCCGTTGAAGGCTTATCAGGTGCAGCGACCGCCTACAGTCTGCTCGGCGTCGTTTTAACCTGCTGTCTGGGCGGTGTAGCCTTCTTCGCATTCCTGGGCGTTGCCCTGGATATATGCTTCGTGGGCGCGATGATCGCCATCGCCATCATGACCCGCAAGGGAGTTGATAAATGCACCGGAACACTGGACACGCCAATGGGCACGGGCAATGCCGACGATTCGACCGTGTCGGCAAGTCTGAAATTCAGCATGGCCTGCAAACTGGAAAAGGTCGTCTTCGCAGTGGCGATTATCGGAATGTGAGTGTACCCCGGATTACGGCTATCTGAATCATGCTAATTTATCCCCCAGCTTCTTCTACTTGATCTCCATCCTCTTCCAGATCCTTCTCGCCCGCCACCACAAGCGCGAGAAGCGTTTCGGTCCCTCCCCTACCAACGGCTACACCAACGGCAGCCGCAAGGCCTTCTGGCGCCGCAATAAGAATAGCCCCATGGCTACTGGCGCCGCCGATACCCTACCTGGCCACCCAACCCCCTACGACGTCGAGATGGGTACCGAGCCCCACAACGAAAAGACCTGGTTCAACTCTTGGAACAAAAACAAGAACACCACCAATCCTCCAACTGCTGCCCCTGCTGCCGGTGGCTATGGCTATGGTAACTCGGCGTATACTGGCAACATCTAGGTTGCTGTCGGATGCTTGCTGTTACAGTATCTTTTCTGAGTAGACTAGTGCTCGTGCACTGGCCGATGATTCTATGCCCCTTTTGTGTTATTTGAAAGCCAAGATACCACTGCTATGTTTGTGATTAGACTGGATTGTACAATATGTTGAAGGATATCTGGCGACCATACTTGGGTCTTTCGAGACTACCTTGTCACGTTTAATATTAATGAATACATTGCCCCATAAATATTTATCTATATCCTGTAACTTCGTCAGGGGTCTAGATTTGAGTTTCGTGTTCCTGGACGCAATAGCGTTCAGCCTCACTTTCCGCATGCGGCGTACCGGATCCGACCATGCGGGGAACCAATGGTAGATTGTTGATGATGACGTTCTTTGCAAGGCATCAAGCTCTACATTGGTGACAGGCTTCACTCTAGCAAACGTTTTCGGTTTATCATGTTTGGCGGTTTCCATACTCGAAGCTTGACGGGACAGAGAAAACACAGCGAATACTTATTTAGGGACTCGAAAACATGTTTTAAAAGAGAGTGACATGTTCCTGTCTTTGATCCACGCCCACCGACAGATCTCGCAAGAGATGCACCTAGGAAAAAGCTACATTTACCCGGGCCCTCCTTGATCCAAGTGCAGTTGAATATCTTGGGCCAGGTTCATTCCATTTAGCGGGCCACTTCGCATACATTGCTAAAATGGGGAGAGAGATGTTTCGATTCATAGTCCTATCAAACAGGACAAACATGGCAATCCTAGAGCCCAAAATCATAAGCTCTGTCCGTAGTATTCTTCATTTGCACTAGGAGAAGGCCCAGAGAAGGCCCCATGGCACAAGGTGAATTTTGGTAAACAACTATACGTAGAGTAAGACCCCATCATCTTCCCTCCACCTCAGGATCTTAGTAGGAGACTGACTTTCGAAGGTATGGCTGTCTGGCTGGGCCTGTCCTTTCGATGTCGAGGATCTCAGCAAATCGGAAACAGAGATAGAAATCCTCTGTGTTGAACCCATTACAAAAGTAGCCGGAAAGTGCTTCCTCCTCCGTAATCATGGCAATTGATACCTGATCATGCCCAGGGGACAATGTGAGGTTTCAATGCCTCGTATAATCCGAATCGCGGTCCAGATATACACAGTGACTTGTCGAACAAAACCAAGGACCATGTCCATTCAGCCAGTCTGTCTGATGCAGTCCTTGTGTGCAACCTCGAATCTTTTGTGAGTCAGTGATTTTGTTTGCAATTTCATGGAAGGTTTGCGAAAGTGACTCTGCTTCTCTGCTGGCCGACGACATCTTGAGGATGAGAGTTTGGGAAGAGAAGTTACGAGTCACGAATGAATGTTGAAGGAGGCTCCCTGCAGACACATTATCGATACATCCCCCCCCCTACTGGAGGGTAGGCTCATCCAGGTGATCAAAAATAACATATGATGACTGTTGGCCGTCCATACAACGCTTTGACTGAAGCTCAAAGCACCTCCGAACATGAGAGGAGACTCGAAGGGTATGAAATGCGAAAGATTGGTGCTCTCAATGCCACCAAGCCCCACATAGACTCTCTCACGATGAACATCCGGAGACCAAAAATTGGGGTCTTGATCGTTCTAGATCATTGTTGCTTCTTGTGAAAATTCCAGCAGGTCGCAGATCTTGACCCGTAAGAGCTCGCGGTATATAGCGCAGCAAGCCATTTATCCCGTATCACACGAGATCATCTGTCTTATGCAAAGTAGCATCATTGGTATTGTAAAACTTCGTATTCAAAAGAGACACTGCACTTACAGTTGGACTCGGACCTTCCTGATGTCTCCCTTTGAATCAAAGTCCCAGGGTAGATGATGGCTCGGTCTTGTCATGTATGCAGAGAGAGATGATAGCAGCGTCGTCAGTGAGCCGTACGTATTTGAGGTTCTACTTCACTTCGCCGAAGCTATCAAGAAGCTCGCTCTCCGGGACTTTCTTTCATTTACCCGCACCATGAACCCTTTCTTTCATTCAAATGGGTACGGGTCCAAGCCTTCACCAGAAGACTTGCCGTAAAAGCTGATAGGATTGTAGGAAATTGGAAGAGTCATCCCGGGTTGATCATATTGGGAAACTCATGTGGTGAGTATCTGAGATGCCAGAGAAATAGAGAAGAGAAAAAAGTAAACAACGGATTCTCTTAACTAAATAGGCACCCGGAAGCCAATGCTGCCCGGTGGCAGCCGCAAGCCACTACCGCCTGGCGCTGGGCTTGGTCACGTCTCTATAGGTGCCACTTTACCTTTCGACCTTTCCACCTTTTCCATTTTTTTCAATTCATTTCAGGGAAGGAATGATTGTTGATACTCTATGATAAGCAGACCTATAGATGATCTACACCAACACTGATTCGGCTAACTTTGTGCTGAGATTGTAAGTGAATATCCATCTGCAAGTTACGGTGACAACACAGTGAGAAGGCATTGTACAAGATACAGACTAAATCTTTATTTGATCCTGTCACTTTGATGTTTGACGTTCTATGGGAGAACTATGTCTTGAGAGGATGTATAGAATTTTTGAATTAACACACTCAATCATTAGGTAGTTTGCTTGACAATAACGACATAAACTGGGTCATCGCTTAACAGGTCATGGGTGAAACAAATATAAGACGAACAATAAAGAGTGCCCAAAGCCAGGCTGAATGAAATCATGAACTGTGAAAAGTGAAGACCGGCGGTGGCGAGTGAACCTCACTCGACTGATCAGTCTATAGACTGGGATAACTCAAAATATCCACTGGGATGTATGCGGAAAAAAAAAAAAACAATCGGCAAGAGAAATGAAAAAAAGAATTAACACCTTTACTGGCGAGCAGTGATAGCTCCCCAACGGCAAATAGTACCAGCAGCGACGGATCCCATGAAGATGGGCTTGCCGTTAGTGCACATGGCAAAGGTCAACCCATCTGGGGAGCAAAGAATTTCCCCAGAGTGGCAAGACCATTGACCGACATGGTCGACAAACTGGTTGTTGGATGAGTCCTCGGCAGATTGCACACGGGAGTCAGCTGCGACAGAAGGAGTGGCGAGGGCCTGGGCGATCTTGGAAATCGCCTTCGTGGTGAATGAGGAGGTGCTGATGACAGCAGGCTTTTTCTCGGACTTGGGGGTGGTGGAAGTAGTGGAGGTGGCGGAGGTAGAGGTGCTGGTATTGGATGACTTCGTCGCGGAATCAGAGCTGTCGTCCAGGAAGGGAGCATGGTCGGCGCACTTGTAGCCAGGGCCATCGGCCTTGCCGATCAGTTTGGGACCGGGCTTGGGGAAGTGAACAGCCTGGCCCTCGACGGTCACACACTTGCCAGCCTGGTTGGCGTTGGCAATGAAGAGATCAGGGAGACTATCGAAGCTGCTCTTCGCGTTCGTAGTGTGGGTATGGGTCTTCTGGCTGAGCGCCTGCTTTGGGGTCTCCTTAGCCACACGGCCCTCGGAGTCGACAACGGTGTGGTTGCTGGAACCACCAATTGTGATCATGGCACAGTTCATGTACATCTCGCGGTTGCCGACCTTGTTGAACCAGGTCCAAGCGAACAGAGCATCACCGGTGGGTGCGTCCGAGGGGACATCAAATTGGTACTTCTTAGCAATAGGGCAGTCACCCTCGATCGACTCAATGACCTTGAATGTCTTACCCTTGTCATAAGTCAGGGAGAGCTGGCATGAGCCGCCGTCATGGGTGGCACTGCCTTCCAACGACATCTCTTGGGTGGAGCCTGGTTGCCATGTATCCACAGCCTCAAAGGCATCATTGGCATATCCTTTGCATGGGTAATCGCTACCCGAGGTGGAGAGAGGGTTGGTGTAAGAATAATCCTTCTCGCCCTTGGCATCCTTGTTTAAGGGACTGCGGATAGGGTAAGGCTTGTTCAACTGCATGTGAGCCGAGACAGTGGTGGCCAGAAGACCAGAGAGGATCAATGTGCCCTTCATTGTGATTGATGTGTTTCTAAGTCGCTTGTTAGTCTCGGAAGTGACAATGGCCGCATCGAATGAATTTTGAGGAAAGAACGAAGCAGTCCTCAGCGATTAACTTACAACGTCTTTGCAAAGTTTGTATATTGACTTCGATAAACACTTAACCACCAGGGTCAATTTAAGAGTGTAGAGGCTTGAGAAGTGTGAATAAAGATCGAGCTGGTCGACAGCAATTAGTATAAATACATGGCCAGTGGTCAATAACATTCCACATAACTCCGTGGAGGAATGGCAGATACCCATGCGCTGATGGTTCAGCGATGGCCCTCGCAACGTCAAGAATGTCAACAAACCGTGGCCCTCCATCATGATGTGTGCTTAACTTCGCATAGGCGGTTAAGGGTAAATAATTGACAATTTAACACAATCAATGAGTCTATTTAAGATCTCAATACACCCATTAGAAAGTCATATAGATCTTTTCCCTACTTCGTGTTGTTCAGATACTCAGATCGCCATATAAACGAACCCTGCTGTATAGTGGCAACGACTCGAGGGGCAACATAGTGGGCTCTGAGCGATCGAATGTGAAAAAGAAGGCATCACGTCTTCCTTCATTCCAACCTGTATTAATCTCCGTGAGCCAAGTTCTGTTCAGGAATCTTGATCCCGAAAAGACAAAAAAGGACGCGTCACAATTATTTATAGATTTAATTGTCCAGTAATCAAGTATTGAGATTGACAAATCTCCATTCTGTCTACTTCATTTCGGCCGATCGTGGCCTGTGAAATAGAACCAGTTTGGGGCTCGGCCTCATGCCCGGGCCCTAAGGGGCGATCGAAACCCCTGTGTTCCCCCCTGCATGTCTATTCAGGGCACCAGTCATAGTTCGCTGATACAAGGGCTTTGTTTACATCTACGTCGATCTACCAAGATTGCTTTTGAGTTCATGGCGTAGAAAAAAGCTTGTTGCTACTAGATCTACACGGCGCATTTTGGGGTACGTAGTATAACTACTACTAGTCTGCATTACTCTGCTAGTTAAGCATGCTACAAATGAGCTTCAAGTATCGATACTTCTAATGATCCAATTAAACCAGCTAAATCAAAAAGAGATTCTTCAAGTCCTGTACATTGTTCTAATTTTCCTGCTCAACGGTATATATTCACAACCAAAACATCCGACTGCTATTGTTCCAAGCGGCCTCAGCCACTTCTTCCATAGCGACACCCTTCAAACCGGCTACAACCAACCCGACACGCTCTATAGTACAACTTTCATTCCGTGTCTTGACCATCTGGCCTAGTACAAACTTGTTATGTTTCCGACTCGCCGGCAACGGCTTCGCAGTTTCCAGATAACCCGCGATTTTGGGGTCATTAGACAAGACCTCGCACCATGGCGCATCAGTCTCCAGTTGCAACTTGTTCAATGGAATATTTCTGACCATTTCCAACTGTTCATCTGTCCGGAATGAGATACCGTTGACACTAATGTCAAGACCCAGTTCCACGAGCTGGAGCATCTCCCCCTTCGTCCCTGCAAAAGAATGCACCAATCCACCACGCGACAGTCTTGGCAGAAAAGGCTTGATGATGGAAATAAAATCTTTGGCTGACTCACGAACATGCAAGAACAACGGTAACTGGAATTGCACGGCCAGCTCTAATTGGTCGCGGAATGCGCGTTGCTGCGTTTCCTTATCGGCCCGATCCAGGTACTCATAGTCCAACCCGATTTCCCCAAACGCAGCCAAAGGCGAGGGACTCTCAGCTAGGAGCGTTTCACCTAGTTCGCGCAGCTCATTCAGATATTGGGACTCTGGCTGTCCATAGATCTCGGCGGCATGGTACGGATGCACGCCTAAGGTCATTTTGCACATCGCGGGGAACTCCCTCACTGCCTGCAAATTTTGTTTTGCGCCCTCTAGAGTCATGGTGGTGAGCATGGTCCTTTCACATCCATGTTCTCGGGCTCTTTTCAGGACTTCTGCAAAATCTGGTTCGTGATATTGCTTTCCTCGGTAGATGCCTTGGAATTGGTCTGCCGTGAATGTGACGGCGACCTGGTGCTAGTGTTAATCAGGCTGCTTGAAAAAATGAAAGAGATTCTCTTACATCGAAGAATTTCATGATTATTCGCGTTGAGATATCGCAATAGAGGAAGAGGAAAAGTCTTGCGTTCAGTTCTTGGCGGATTCTAACCAAATAGGGGCTGATATATATTGAAATCGGAGACCAGAGACTTGGCAACGAGAAACTACTCTACAAAACTATTTGCACACCTATACAGTCGACTGACTATGTAATCTCAATTTTATTGATCTTATTCTTATTCACTCTGGTGTGATGTGCCAGGTCTATTCGATAAATAAGATAGACAGAGAAGAAGAAGAAGCAAGTGAAGAAGTGGGAATGTTGATATAGCTGGCAACTTCTATAAACATTGCAAACGTGCAACCTCTGGTTTAGCTAGATAATAATCTTCCATCTATCTAGACAGTTCACTTTTGGTTGATCGTCTCCTTGTACGTCCATCGGTTTTCCCAGGAGCTACACTCCTGTCCTACTTTTTACGGTCTGGGGGTCGTTCCTGTCTACATCGTAGAGAATTAAGCGAGTCGATAGTACCCAAGTAATGGTAGTACTATGGTAGTATCAAGATCCTTAAAAAATAGTAATGTAAAAGATATCAAAAAGGACACCAAAACGGGCACCCAAAAAGATACCAAAAAAGACATATAATAGTAATGTCATTAACCATATAGTACAACTAACTAGGTAGACTATACTAATGACTCTATAGATCGTGGATCAGATGCTTGCTTACACTGTTTGCTTGCTTGTTTCATATTTGTTATTTGCTTCTTTTGTTTGTCAACAGATTGTTTGCTACTGGCATGGAGCTGTACAACGATCTCTACCTCTGGAAACAAGGAGAAGCATCTTCTGCGAGATGACTACCAAACCGCGCCTCCCATATAAAAAAGAATGTTTTCTTCTCCATCACCACTGTAGCTACACACTTCTCCGGCACCACTGTGGTCTAGGATTTCCTACATCATATCCTCTCCTTCCACATTCTACGGCTCTTACTTCAAGTGAGTCAGACTCTAGAGTCTAGGATCGGTACACGCTACGCTGTCTTGGTATATTAACGAGGATTCTATTAGGAATCCACCAGAATGGTGAAGAAACTAACTGCCAAGAAAGTTATCCACAACGCTCTCCCTGACCTCCTCGTCGAAGATGATCACACAACATCATCTGCCTTGAAGAAAGCCACTTTTATTGGCCCTCTAAGGGAGTGGACAAGCTTTCTAGGCTCTGTCTGGGGTCTCACAAATGTTGAACAGTGGTCGAAAAAAGTCGTCGACCACAATCTTGCGACTCGAGACCTACATCGCGAGCTTGTCTCCATGGGCGACGAACATGGCGTCTAGGGCCGCTTCCAGCAATCGGTGGGACAAATTGTTGGAGCGGCTCTAGACGCCCAGATGAAATCCATGCAGTTTGGTGATTTCAAGGCAGCAGGGGTACAGTACAGCCTGGTGCCTGACTTTGCATTGATCTCAACCGACCCGCGACTACCTACAAGCTCAAGGCTATCGGCGAAATGAAAACCCCATGGTGATGAACAATGCGACAACTCCTGGCCCAGCCAGTAGGCTATATGTTAGACCTTCGCATTATGTACGGCTGGATAACAAACTACCAGCAGACCATATTCCTGCGACAGACTATGGTGGGAAATACCTGGGGAATTGAGTATTCACCCATCGTGAAGTCGACGACACACGCGGACCCACTGGAGATGGAGCCTCCTTCGACGAAGCAATGCTTCTTTTTCCTGGCGAGCGTAGCAGCTGGTCAGGGTCGTGTACCGAAATACGCCTAGGAACCAGTGGATCTCTATCTAGGATTTCCATTCACCATGTCTTGTTCAATACACACACAACCGCATCATTTGAATTTTGTTTTGGGATCTTTTTTTCCGGCTGCCTCTGTTCTTAGATTCAGAAATCCTTGACATTGTGGTCGTGTCCTGTGTCCCACCAAATTGTCATTTTCGGATGTTATTTTAGAGAGTTAGAGACCCATACAACTTGACCTACTCGCGTTATTCCAATCAGATACACTGGGAACTAATATTTATGGTGTAAACGTGATGGCCACGATATGGCATGAAAGTCAAGCATATGGTAGCTAACTGAGTAGTTATGTCGATATGGGATCTAGTTTGACTGTGTCATGACAGTGATTGCCTTTGTTTGCTGTGTGTATCCTGAGAATGACCAGGTGATGACTAGGACAACCCACAAACTTTTCTTCCTCTCTTCTTCACTCTCTGTCTACCCTACTTTCTAAACTCTTGTAATTGCCTTTCCAGTTTTATCAACTGTCAGCCCATAATGACCACATCTTTGGAATACCTCGTCGGCCTTGAAGGCACCGAGGTTACCCTCAACTCATCGCCACAACCGCTGTTTCACACCGGCACCTGGGAAATTGTCGAGAAGCTTGAAGAGAACGCAGAGGTCGAGGACGAGCGAGACGTGGCCGATGGGTTGGGCCCTTCAGATGTTGCTGGAAAGTTTCTTTGTCGCCCCGCCGGTTCCGATGCCCAAAAGATCGCATTTATGCGAATTTACAAGCAGATTCCTATCGCTGGGACTGAGTTCCAGAAGCCTACAATCCGTGCTGCCCAGGCCGTCGAATCACCTGACTACATCGAGCTGATTGCCCTCAAGGACCTCCGGGAACAAGGCTGTGATGCTGTGCCTAAGCTCCTTGGGTATCACTCGGGGAAGTAAGATGAGGACGATATCGTCCCCGGGGGGCTACATCACTTATCTGGTGTGGGAGAAAGTCCCCGGAGACTCCCTTGATAGAAAAGGGTTTTGGAGTTATCCCATATCCAAGCGAGAGGAGATTCGGCACAAGTTTTGCGAGGCTTACAAGTATGTTTTAGGGCACTCTGATTACGACAAAGTACCTAGAGCTAATAGGAACCAGGAAGCTTGTGAAATGCGGATATCGGCCACTCATGTCTGAGTCGTCCAAGATCATTTACGATTGGAACAACGGGGAGATGTATGCCCCATGATATCATTTCTAATGTTGAACGAGCTAATGGTCTTCAGGCACATCTCCGGATTCAGTAACGCGGTTCGCATCGACACAAGCGAGGAGTGGATTGATAGAATCCGTATCTGGTATAGCCTGGTTCTGAAATCCAAGGAAATGGATCAGTTCTTTCCTGTCACGGCCACTGATGTGCTTTTCGACAAAGAGGGCTGGAGATGGTAAGCAGAAGGGCTACACTACAGCGAGCATTATGGACAGCAGTTGCTACTCCATCTGCTCATTTGATGATTTGGAGAATGATCTAGGGAGAGCAGTTGCTACTGTATCTGCTATGTGATGATTTAGAAGAACAAAAATGCTACAAATTGAAAGAGGTTGTGATTCTTGAAGGCCTAACATGTGACGTAGTGTGTACTCTTGGAACTGAGAATCGACCGTGTTGAGCATTCATCAAGTTTACACGTTCTTTCAAATGGTTTCTTGGGCATTGCTTTCGCGCAATTTCTCTCCATGTGTCCTCGCATCTGTGGGGGATGCCTAGACTTATAGCGAGGCAGTAATTTATATAGAAACGGCTTTTCGACATGTGATATGCATTTCTCCCCGGTGAAGCTCCGAGGGGGAAAATGTGAGATAATATTTATAACCCATCTATATGACTATGAATTAGGGGAATTAGTTGATATCTAATTAGGAGTAACCTTGATTTCCCCAATTTCCCCCGAGGCAGTTCCTGCAAGGACACCAGTTCCGATGAGCCCGCCATCACTGGCCTCCCGCAAGAAGACACTTTTCCCTCCTACTTGAGGACCAGCTCGCAGTAGAAGTCGATCAATATATCTCTGTACAGTTTCTTTATAGTGAGGATAGTGCTGAATCACTCCACCCGAGAAGGCCACAGCGAGTTCTTCGGGCCCGCTATTCCAACCTCGCGTTGGTGATGAGACCGATTCGGAGTCCGTCTGTTCAGTAACTCCAGCTTCCGTATTGACTTTTTCTCCATTGTTGCACTTGGGTGCCGTGTTGCACAATTGGACCTCATTAGTGCAGTCTAGGAGACCAACAACCGCAGATGCCACCAAAGAAGCAGCTCGATCCTGCACAGTTGAGGCAATGACCCGAATATCACGGGCATATTCAGGCGACCAGGTCCAATCACTCTCGGGAGATGGCTGGAGTGTCTTGGACAGCTCGCTTGCTAAGCGCTCATCGGATAGAGAAGAGGCAACAACAAGAGAGAGGTAGTCTGTTGAAAGAGAATATTCCTCAACCAACTTCAGTGGTAACTCGGAGCGTGGTATTCCCAAGACTCCATGGAACCAATCATAACAGACGATGCGGACGAGCTCGCCAGTGTATCTACCGCCGATCATATATTCCATTGGCTGAAAACCGGGCCTTTGGCAATTCCTATCCAGCTGGAGGTCCCATGTTGTTCGAATACCCAGCTCGTCGAAAGGACCCGCCGCGGTGGAGAGAGTCCATTCAGTCGAGATGAGCGTTTCCTCTGCGTCAGGGTGCTTTTCAAGAATGCTTTTAGTTTTGGATTTATGCAAGTCGGCAAGTTTCATGGGAACGGTCGTGTTGCATCCCGCGCCCACGATCAGACCCATAACAACACGGGTGTTGGGTAAGGAAGGGATGGAGTACGCTAATGAAGCAAGAGTCGCTGTCGTATCATTGATCATGACTGCGACTTTCAATTTCGGAAGAGAAAACAGCCTGCGGCGTTTAGCAGGCATGTTCATTTCATCCCCGTGAGTTGAATATGTATGGCGGTCATATCCACTCAGCAAGGCTTGGCGGAGATTGAGGTCTGAGTTTAAAGAAAAGCCTTTCCCTGTCGGCATCAAGATAGCTTCATCGAGGGAATCTTGTCTACATTGGATTAGCCACAGAAGCACACGGCCGAGTCTGGGAGATAACTGTACTTTATAGGAAGACAAAAAGAAATGCCTGTCGTTATTTGGTCCACCCGCTCTTCACTTGGGTTGGCGAGTCTGTCTGCCACCACCTCGGCGATACAGTCTCCAATCCACGTGAAGAGATCAATGTAATGATCCTTTCGTAAATGCTCTGCAATAGGCCATGCCTTCTCTAACGTGCGCCGTACCCGTGCATGTCCTTCGACATGTTGATCTCCTAAGAGGTCGATGAAGGCCACACGAAGGTAGGACTGACCAAAATAGACAGCAAGATAGCGTCCCTTTTCATGACCCGTTGGAAGACAAGTCAGAGCCGTTGGAATAAAGTGTTCTGAAGATTCCGCGGCCAACTTTTTATAAGACGATGATAGCCGACAGGACAAATCATACAAGGTCTCGAGCTCGACCCGGAGAGGCTGAAGGAACTCCCGTAGATTATGCTTTTTCGGGGAGATCTGCGAAGTAGTCATTTCAACGAGAAGATGCTGATCTGGCCTAGATGGAAACCTTGGGAGGTTTACGGATTTACGGAGGCGCCAGCCGCCATCTGTTACGGGCGACGAATTGTGCCACTACCAATGGGTGTTTTTGGCTCACCGCTCCCATCACCGCCCTAGTGATCATGGCCGGTTCCATGGATGGCTTACATACAGTGGGGTTTAATAAGTCTGTTCCCACCCGCATTTTCACCCATGAACATTGAAATATATATCTCTACATATCTATGCATAGCACTACCATACTTTACTCAATTTACTTCGAATTAAATAGGGTTGAACCCTATGCCAATCTCGGGTAAAATTTAAATTTAATATTTTGTATAATACCCCTTTGCTTTCTGTACTGCCATATATCTGCGCCCTATACTTAAAATCAATGAATCAATCTTCGACTGCGGAATAGCATCCTATGCTATCTTTATATACCTTTTGAATACTATCTAATCCTCCTCAGACCTTCCTATATATATTAGCTTAGGAAATAACTCAAAAAGTTTAACCTTTAGCTACCGCTATATAGGTTCAATTGGGTTTAAATCTAGTGAGTGCGGCAGCTACTCCTCTATATATATCCCGTGAGTTTTAAACCATTCCTATATGATTTTAGTAGTATGGATCTGAGTGTTATCTTACTAAAAGATAGAGTAGGGTCGATAGAATGGAAGTAGACCTTCTTCGAGAGTATCTATATAGGAAATAGTAGTATATCCTGTCTTCTTCGATTCTAGGTTAATAATATTCTCCCGCCTTATAATAATTAACTCTAATTGACTCCCTAACTAGATTGTACCCTAAACTATTTATGAAATATCTTTAATATATACCTTAGTATTTATAAGATCTTTTCTATAGTCCTCCGACTGAAAGCGCTAATACTATTGTGGTCTATAGTTTATTGTTCGTTATATAGAATACTTATCCGAGAAGACCTAGTTTTGAACGTTATTTCTAGACCACTTAGAGCGCTATTTTTAAATAAAACGATATTGTTATTGAGCTAATTCCTTTCCAATTAGAATCTTCCTTTTTATCCTATATTTTAGAAGACCGGTTGGCCTTAAAACGTTAATAATAGTAGAGTGGGATGGATGACTAGGTATAGTATAACTTAGTGTTTTATAGGACTAAAAGGGGTGCCGGCGGGCGAGTATAAAAAGTAAATGGTAAGTTCGATCACTAAAGATCCTTGGGCGACCGGTTCGAGGGAGAGATTTAACAGTATTGTGTTCTTTGAACCGTTTCAAAGTATTGTAAATCGTTCGGCGGGAGTACCTAAAATCGAGTGCTAGCTTTGACTGGGTGGCACCGGCCTGGTGGGTATAAATAATAGCTGAGCGCTGAGTAACAGATAGCTCACCTGATTTTGTACGACCTAAACCAAGGATATCCTTGGTTAATGCCATTGGGGGGTGTGTAGGAAGAAGAAAAAAAACCACGATGGTTGTTAGGGGGATAGCAAGTGGGGCAGTGGGAACAGACTTTTTGAACACTATGTATCTCCTTTGGTCAACCTTAGAACAGTGGCATAATTAGTCATCCGACCTGATTACTGAGCATAATAGTTATTTCAGTGCTATTTTGGTATCGGCTTATCAGATCACCTGACTCCGATTAGCTTCCAAAGATATTCCGATGTCGGGTAAACACGCGCTGCTGAATACCACCACGTGACCGGCATTTACTATATTGCCCACATTACTTGATGATGTGCACGATTTGAAGATTGACAGGGGTCTATAAGATACTTTGTTCTATCTGGGCACCCTCGAGGGCTTTTCATATCCTTATTTGGCCTCTAGGGCTGTATGTTGGCTTCGGAACGCTAGGCAACTTACTAGGATCATTGGTTTTGATTCAAATGCGAATGTAGATTTAACTGACGTTAAATAGAAGCAATGGAACTGGAACTAGATATTATGCATCATGTTCCAGAGATAGATCTATAAAGCTACACATATAGGACATGGGATATCAGGGTTACATTTGCTTGTTTTCCCCGCTCCCCCTCAATCTCACAATTCTTACTCTTATCTTCAACTCTTCAACCTTGGGAGTGACACGATTCGAAATGACCAGAAGCGCGGGATCGACCTCACGGCCATCCTGGCCACCGACACCGGGCGAATTTGGTCAATATACGCCCGAAGCTACGCCTTCAGAGACCGATGAAAGCCCACCTTTGCATGCAGTGAACGTCGCACCAAGATGGAACGAGTCAAAAACAACCATATGGAAGGTGACTGCCACGTGTTTGTGTGCATTTGTGATGGGGTCCAATGATGCTGCATATGGAGCAATTATTCCCTATGTTTGTGTCACCAACTCAGCTTTACTTGATCTGTATAGGATCGCTGACCATCTTATTGAACTTTTCAGCTAGAGATTTACTATCAAAAGAGCTACACGGTCATTTCTCTAGTGTTCCTTTCGCCCTTTGTGGGATATGCCATATCCGCCATCCTGAGCAATTCAGTTCATCAGACTTTCGGCAGACGAGGGATCACAATCATTGCCCCGATTTGCCATATGCTTGCCTTTGCAGTCATATCTATCCACCCGCCCTTTCCAGTCTTGGTGATTATGTACGTCCTGGTTGGATTGGGGAGCGGATTTCACAACGCGGCATGGAATGTATGGATCGGAAACATGGCGAACTCGCATGAAGTGCTCGGTTTCTTCCATGGATTCTTCGGCGTGGGGGCCACAATAAGCCCTCTCATTGCTACGAGTCTAATCACCAAAGCTGGATGGGAATGGTACTCTTATTACTATTTGATGGTATCTCGATCCTCTCTACAGCCACTGGATATCGACAAACTAACGATGAAATATAGACCGGAGCAGCTGTGATCTCGCTGATTTACTCCGCCAGCGCTTTCTGGGATGAGACTAGTAGTAAATATCAAAAAGAGAACCCCAGTATCCCAGGCAGAGGAGGAGCATTCTCCCAAACACGTCTTGCCCTTACATATAAGGTCACTTGGATATGCGCCGTCTTCCTTTTCCTCTATGGCGGAATTGAGGTAGCAATCGGTGGATGGATCGTCGTGTTTATGACGAAAGTCCGACACGGCAACCCATTCGAATCCGGAATGGCAGAGACAGGCTTCTGGCTCGGCATCACAGTCGGTCGATTCGTGCTAGGGTTTGTGTCGCCACGAATTGGAGAGAAGTTGTCCATTGTTGTCTACATCTCGCTCGCAATTGCCCTTGAGCTCATCTTCTGGCTCGTGCCTGAGTTCATCGTGTCCGCGGTTGCGGTTGCCTTTGTTGGATTCTTTATGGGGACTATCTTCCCGGGAGTTGTGGTTGTGGCGACACGATTGCTACCCAAAAATCTTCACGTTGCCGCTATTGGCTTTGCAGCTGCCCTTTCTATGGGTGGTGGTGCTGTTTTCCCATTTATGGTTGGTGCCATTGCTCAGGCTAAAGGGGTCACGGTGCTGCAGCCAATCTTGCTCGCCATGCTGGCTGTGGCATTGGGAATCTGGGCGACGATATTCCGACTTCCTCAGCCTGAGGTATCACATCAAGTCTGAGCAGAACATGAATAATTAGAAACGGTGGGTGCAGTATAGCTCATATTACTCTGCTGTCACTTTTAAGCCACATAATTCTTAGGTTTTAATGGAGAAAAAGAAGTGGAATGTGGCGAGACCTGGCTATCATATCTCGCCGATTCTATTTCCCGATTTGTTCCTTTTAATACATCAAAAAGTGAAACATAACCACATCTCGCTCAATCAGCTTGATCTTGTACACCATGGAACAATCTAAGCATGCCATGAGCAGCGTGCTCTCCGAGTATATCGAGAGAGCCCATTCCCATCAATTCCAGGACACTGATATCGAACCCAAATGTCGCCTTCCACCACTGTTTCACCTCAATTGCCACGAGAGAGTCCATTCCAAGATCAGACAAGGAGCAAGATGTCACCAGATCTTCTTCAGGCTTCAGCAAGAAGCTAAACACCTTCTTTCCAATTTCCACGGCGAGCATTTGAGCAGATCCAGGTTGATTTATTAGCGCAGCGTCGCCCTTGGCCTGTGTAATAAAAGCCTCCAAGCCAGCACCAGCGTCAGAAGCAGAAGTCAAGATGGTACCAGCTGCTCCAGTATTATGGAACACCGACATTCGTATGTCCTTCTTCCAGACCAAACGGTTTCTTTGATCGGCCAGAGGCACGTTGGGCCGAATTCCAACGCCGAAGTTGCCTGCTTGGGGTCTCAAATTACTTGAGATAGATGTCATCGCTGCCTCTACCGCGCTCAGAAGCTCGCTCACTGAGACCGTATTGCCTAGACCACCAGCGGCTTTGAGCTTTTGTAAGATTTCATCCTGCTCGGCAGCATAACCGACTCCTTCGACAATACCGATATCGATCGCGCAAGCAGGTAGTCCCAACCCCAATCGGTATTGAGAAAATGCATCCAGGAACGTGTTGGCACCAGCATAGTTGATCTGACCAGGGAGTCCAAAGACACCAGACACCGAACTGAAAAGAACAAAGAAGTCAAGTTCCGCATTGGCAGATACAGAAGCATTGTGAAGGTTCCACGTTCCCTTGACCTTCGGATCAACAGATGTGTTCCACTCTTCTAGTGTCATGCGTTCAAAGCTCCGATCACGAAGCATCATGGACATCTGCAAGATGCCCCGAAGTCGGCCTTGAGCCCGTGTGACAGCGGTGGTCACATCCGCGATATTGGACACGCTACCTTGAACAAAGTCCACACGACAATCCATACTGGCAAGCTCTTGGGCAAACTCGCGGTGGCTTTCGCTCGAACCCGCAGTTCGGGAAAGATATATGAGGTGGCGAGCTCCACGTTGAACCATCCACGTAGATATAGCCCGACCCAGGCCTCCGAGGCCACCTACGAGCAGGTATGCACCGGAGCTGTTGAGTTGGGTGGGCTTTTTTCGTGGCTGGATGTTTTGTACAGCGCTGACCTGGCCTGAAGTATCACGCATCGAGACAACGATCTTTCCTAGATGAGTGCCTTGCTGCATGTAACGGAAAGCGTCGTGTATTCCATCAGAACTAAAGACTTTGATAGGTCGGATAGGAGAGATGTAGCGCTCCTTGAGTAGGTCCACAATTTCCTTCAGCAGCCTGCATAATATGTCAGTTGTCGAGTCTCATACATTGTCATCCCCTTCGATACATACTTCTTTGCAAGGATCGGCTTTCTGGAACAAATTTGATCCAAGTCGACACAGCAATAGCTCCGGTTGTCCAAGAAAGGAGTCATATCAAGTTTTCCAGAGCCAATCAAGTCTCGCTTGCCAATCTCGACCATCTTCCCAAAAGGTGCAATGCATTTCCACGTAGCATGCAATAGTTCACCAGACAATGAGTTCAATGCCAAGTCGACACCCTGTCCATTTGTCTCCCGCATGATATCCTCAACAAACGAGGCATTACGGGAGTTTAGGATCCTGTTCCGAGGAAGGCCAAACGTGTCCATGAGATACCTGACCTTCTCCTCGTTACCGACAGTTGCGTAAATCTCGGCACCAACCATTTGAGCAAGCTGAATGGTCGCAATGCCAACTCCACCACAGGCACTATGGATAAGAATGGACTATAAAATATGTCAAAAGATGACCTAAAACGTCAAAAGGTTGAGGGGGAACAAACCTGTCCTTTTTTCAGATTTCCAACGTCAAAGATGGAGTATATCGATGTACTGAACACGCAAGGCATGCTGGCCGCATCACTGAAGCTTAAGCCGCCTGGAATCTTCTCGCACAGGTTCTCGGAGAGAACTAATTGCGTCCCAAATAAACAGCTCCCGACGACCATGACACGATCACCGACTTTCAGACTTTGAACATCGGGGCCAGTGCGGCGGACTATGCCCGCGCCTTCATGGCCAAATTCATTTTCTTTGGCTTCGACAATACCCATGGCACATAAGACATCCTGTTTCATATCAGTATGTGTTATTAGGTCCACTTGTTACCTTCGAACTTACCTTGAAATTCAAACCGATTGCGTAAGTGTCGATTTCCACCTCATCTCCCTCCAGAGGTTTGATATCCCCATGAGCCCAGTGTAACGAAGCCAAGCGGCCTGGTTTACTTGTTCGAAGGGCGATGCTACTATTTGAAGCCAGCGCCTCTTGTCCATTTTGCGCCGAGAAAGGATGATACCGCCCAACTTGTACCGTATTGTCCACGATAGCGTATTCAAATTCAGGCTTGAGGGTCTCATCCTCCTGGCGGACTTGGAACTTCTCATATACGTCGATGAGTTTCTCAAAAGAGACATCAAGATCGTCAACCTCGCAAGTAGCAAAGTCGACACGCAATTCATTGCGAATCGTCCTCGCTACGCCGTTGATCTGGGCAAATCTCGGGTCCCGACATTGGGCTTGTGATGAACGAGTCACCCACAGAACACCACGTTGATCTAGGCTGTGTGCCAATTTCTTGAAAGAGTCAAAGCGTTGGTTATCCATGCCTTCGAAGAATGGGGCTTCTTCATCAAGCAAGGCAATCACATCTTGTCCTTCAGGCAGGGGCTCTTCGTCAAACCGAGAATGATGAACGGAGTATCCCCTGTTATCCAGAGCCTGAAGCAAAGGACCTACGGACATTGATTTAGAGAGGGTCAAGACAGTGACGCATTTCTTAGGTGCGATGTCAACCTCCGGTCTCGCCACGATCATGGCGTTCAACTGATGTGGTTGGTTCGAATCCAGAACTGCAGCATCAGGAGTGCGAAATCCAGCGGCCTTGAGTTCCTTTGCCCAGCGTTCAATGCCTATGTACGGCTCGCCCGACCGGCCATCAACCTCGCCGTACCACCAACCGGCCAGGGTTCCAAAGATATAGTTGATCCATTTGGATATGGGTGTCAATTCGTGGAGCAGGAGCCATCCGGTCGGAGAAAGAAGTTTATGAATGTTGCTTAAACTGTCGTTCAAGGATGCTGTGGCGTGGATGACATTGGTCGCCAGAATTAGGTCGTATTTGCGATCATCGAACCCCTGATCGGAGGGATCCTTACTAATGTCGAGAGTAGCGTATTCGATGTTTGGGTAACTGGCAAATCGATCCTTTGCAGCAACAAAGAAGCCAGATGAGATATCCGTGAAGGTGTAGTTCATGTATAGGGTCCTACTCCCAGGGGTCAACAGCTTCAGGATATTAGCTGTAGACCCACCGGTTCCGGCACCTATTTCGAGGATACGCAGATTAGGCTTAGTGTGAGTTAAGTTCCTGATGAATTCGGAAATATCACACTGATCCATAGCGTTGTAGACGTTGGCCAATATGTCATCGGTCAGAAGGAGATCCAGAGCCTCAGCCTCCCCGGTGAAAATCTGTTGGACGTTATTGAAAATCACTTCAATACCAACAGCAAGATGGGCGCCATTAGTTTGGGAAATTTGGTCAACGAGTTCTTTCACTCGCTGTTTAATGGCAATATTGTCAAGGATTTGGAGACTTTGCAGATCCACAGACAACAGGTGTTGATCAATCCATGATCGATACTTGTACATGTGGCTGATTGGAGTATCCAGATCCGCAATCACACGCTGTGTGTAAATCATACACAGATGAGATAGCTCTGTCAAAGCGGGCATGTAATCACTGCGGTCAATCAATGGCTTGATGAGAGTGTTGACATCCAGGAAGTCGATATGGGGAGCCCATTCTGCACAGCCAATGGGGGGTTCCCCCTTTTCAGGGTCCTGATGATCGAGAACAGAGAGTTTAATTCCAGAACTGCGTAAAGCAACTTTCCCCCCTGCAGTAATACACTGGCCACTCCCAATGATAGAGCCGTTCGGGGTGTAAGATGCGGAAGCTTGGACGTGGACATTCTCATAACAGCGGTAGATGGAGATCTCTTGAATGTGAGTAGGAACCATTATGTTGGTTATCGGTTCGGCATATCCTTTGGAAGCAGCGACACTGAGCAGCTGAAGTGAGGCATCGATGACTGTGGGGTGCAAATGATAGTTATCCCCATCAGTATCTTTCGCAACAAGTTCAGACGTCGCGCTCTGCGAAACAGTGTCTGAGCGGACATGGTCAAGACGTTGAAATGATGGCCCAAAATTCAGACCAGACATGGCCATAGAATGATAGCAACGGCGTGTTTCAACCTTGCGCACAAGAGGGGCTTTCTTGTCTACATCTTCAAGGTATTCGTTAAGCGATCTGACCTCGCCTGAGCAATGCTTGATCCAATTCGCTCCGTTGTGAGAAGTGATGGCAAATTCCCACCACTCACTGTCCAGGGAATCAGTCAATCTATGGCGATGTAATGTTGTCATGATCTCAACTGGTGGGCCCTCATTCAAGACAAGGGCAGTGCTGACAATGACGTTGCGCAGTTTGAATGCCTCGCGAACTCCGGTAACCTGTCTCACAGCCTCGCCAATCATCGCAGCATAGCCAGCGAAGGGGAATACAATATCATCACCAACCTTGTGGTCGCGAATCCACGGGGCGTTGTCCAAGTGAAAGAGATTTCGGAACAGAGGATGGAAGTCAGGACTCTCTGTTACCCGGACACCCAAAAGATCGTGATATTTGTGCTCGCGATGCCTCCACTCCTTGCTCAACCGAGACTCATACCAGAATTTCTTTGAGTGATCCCATGGGTATCTTGGAAGATCTGGGAGAGTAGAGCCCGTGCTGATGACCTTATCCAACGCTGGGACAGCATTGAGAACATGCAGTTGGCCAATGGCAGTCAGGAAAGATTCCGTACTATCCTGGTTGCGAACAAACGTAGAAATATAAGGAGAAGAAGTGGAAAGATGACTCTGGATCTGTCGCAAGGGGCCCGCAAGAGCGGAGTGCGGTCCAACTTCAAGCAGCACCATATTCTTCGAAATCTGGTGCTTAATTATAGACGATACAGCCGAGCGGAAGAGGACCGGAGACTGAAGGTTCATCTGCCAGTATTTAGGGCCGAGATGTTGGGCTTCCGTGAGTAGTTCGTTCTCGACACTGCTGAAGAATAACTTATTTGGAGCCTTGGTGGATATTTCATGTTCAATCAAAGCATGGTACTCGTCACCTATCTCAGCCATATGATGAGAGTGGTACGCCTTGTCGACTTTCAACTGTCTAGCCAGGACATCAGGATGGGCCTCCTTAATGATGGCAACTACCTTTTCAATAGCATGTGTATCACCAGCGAGGGTAACACTCTTAGGTGAGTTTTCGCAAGCAACAACGACACCGTCCTGTAGATATTCCTGGATGTCCTCAGCTCCCATGCCTATAGCTGCCATGGACCCAGGCCTGGTTTGCGCCTTGGTGACCTGACCTCGATAGAATGCAATCGTGATTGCTTCGGTGGCTGTGATAGCACCGGCAGCGTATGCAGCAGCTATTTCGCCGCTGGAATGACCCACGACAGCAGCAGGTTGAACTCCAACGGAAGCAAAAGTATCGATCAGAGCCACCTGGATTGCTGTACAGAGAGGCTGGGATAATTCAGACGAGCTGAGTCTGCTGGTATCGGGGTCCTTCAAGAGCTCTTCTTCAATGCTCCAGTCTGGAGCATCTGTGAGGGTTTGCAAATGTGAGTCAAGATTTTGAATGCTCTTCTTAAATGCGGGATAGACGTCGTTGTGGATCATAGAGGCACCCATTTGTGGCCACTGAGCGCCCTGGCCCGTGAAAACCATGACGATATTTGGTGTCTCCCCAGTTTTCGAGGGTGCCGAAGTCGTGAGCGGACCCAATGGGCTTTGCACAGAGAATGCCCGATGAGGCAGATGCTCCCTTTTATTAGCTAGAGTGAACGCCAGATCGGCAACTCTGGCTGGGTTCTTCTGAACATAGGATGTGTAGTGGGAAATCATTTGTTTTAGTGACTCGGCATTGTTTGCGGAATAAACAAGCAGCTGGGGCGAAATGGTATGCCGTGTGGCAACGGGGGAGACACCAAAGCTCCGAGCTGAATCGACAATAACGTGAGCGTTGGTACCTCCAATTCCAAAAGAGTTCACACTAATTCGCTCGCTCCTGGCCTCAGGCCATGGCATCGGGTCTGTGGGAACAGCGAGCCCATATTCATCCCACTGGATGTTGGGGTTGCGCTCCTTAAACTTGATATTTGGAGGAATGGTCCGATTTTCCAGGGCTAGTACCGACTTGATCAGGGATGTAATTCCCGAAGCTCCTTCAGCGTGACCAAGATTGGGTTTGACAGACCCAATGAGGATACCACCAGAAGGACCAAAAACCCGACCCACTGCTCGGGTTTCGATGGGATCTCCAACTTGGGTGCCAGTACCATGACACTCGAAAAATGCGGTCTGGGAGTAATCTGTAATACCTGCCACCTCATATGCACGCCTGATCATGGCCTCGTGCGAAACATCGTTGGGAACATGTGCGCCGATTCCAGCACCCCTTCCGTCACTGTTGGATGATGTCGAACGGATAACCGCTCGAACTGGATTTCCATCCCGGAGGGCATCAGCCAGGGGCTTGATGAAGATAGCAGAGATTCCCTCTCCTCGCGCATAACCATTGGCATCGGCAGAGAAGCTCTTGCAAGACCCATCCGGTGAAATTACGCCTTGCTCACTCATGGCAGCTGTCATGCCTGGTGCCATTATCAAATTCGCACCGCCAACTATAGCGCTCTCGCAATCGCCCCTGGAAATTGCCAGACATGCTTCATGCAGTGCAACAATACCTGCTGAGCAGCCAGTACGTACGACCATGCTTTATTATTTTTTTCCACTTAGCAATTGCATTCTATTCCAAGATAAAAAAAAATATGGAACAACTAACCTCGGCCCCGTCAGGTCCATCTCATATGAGACTCGGTTAGGCAGCATGAAGTCTCCATATCCGCTCACTCGATGCTGGCCGTATTGTTGGGTTTCTTTGACACAGATTTCAAGCCAGTCTTCACCAAAGCTACCCATGTAGCACCCAATCGGTCGTCCTTTCCAGTTGGTTTCGCCGGCATCTTCCATACACTCCCTGGCAACTTCCAGCATCTGCCGTTGCTGTGGATCCATGCGCTCCACCTCCAACTTGCCCATTGTGAAGAAGGATGTATCCACAGAAGCAATGTCAATGCTTTCATCCAGGAAGTATCCATACTCGGTCTTGACGCTGCCCGGTTTCTGGGTCTCGGAGTAGTATGTGGAGACATTATATCTGGACTTCGGCACTTGGCCACGGGCATCTCCTTTGGCAACCAGGAAGTCCCATAGCTGTTGGGGTGTGTGTAGGCCTCCAGGGAGACGTACAGACATTCCACATATAGCGATTGGCTCTGGGGGAACCGGTTTCGGTTCAACAACCTTGAGAATCATTGCGGCAATAGTTCTTCTGTGAGGTAAAAAAGAGCTTTGGCCTCGGAAGATTAAGGAAAGAACATGATTGCGAACAACAGGCGATTATAACTAAAGGTTAATACGAGTTAGTCCGTACAAAAGTTCGAAATAACTGTCAGTACCCATCTTAACCCCACCTCGTCTTGGCCCTAGCTCCAATCATACCACCGTGCAACTTGCTGCGTTGTTATATCCCGGAGAATTCCCCTATCAGCTCCCCCGTACTCATTTAGTATACCCACATATGCAGACTATTGTCATAGAGTTCACGCTGATTGGTACCCATAAGGTCTCATTGGATCTAGCACCGGAACAGTTATGCGGCAAACCCAACATAGAACTTCATTGTCTATGCACATACCTTGATCATCCGGCATAAAGTACGTACATATCATCCTACATACGTATGTACCCATAGACGTTGGCTGATAAGCATATGCCGTGACATAAATTGTCTTCATTCTCATCTTTGGGCTTGGGAATGAAATCAACTTCGGTTCGAGCCGCGCATTGTCTGAGGCTAATTTGCTCGAAGGGTCTGAGCCTATTCGTCTCTAGCCTCTGCTCTCCTACATCAGTTGAATAATATTTCCCACATGTAGACCTACGCCAATTTTCAGAACACGGCCCAGCCATGTCTGTGTATCCTTTTGAGGAAATGATCTGTATCTTTAAATTTAGTAGCACCGAAAGGATCCTAATGGGTGGTCCGAGTTAACAGATGCCGACATCCTACAAATCAATCGGGTATGGAAGGGCTCCTTACCAAGGACATTGTAGATATAGTATGGCGGAAATATATCAAAAGCAGCAATCCTTGCGCCTGCTGTACAACGTACTGCAAACATAGCCCCTGCAGGCTAACGGACTGTTATACAATCAAGGTTTCACAGACAATGGCATTGTGATGTGTCCAATATAAATAGTAGCAGAGCACATGTGCAGCCACTAGGCATTGTTTCTTCGGCTAGTTGTCCCGCTTTCTGCAGTTGAGGCGGTTCGTGCGTCGGGTACTTTTGCCTGACAGGTGCGCTGACGTATGAGGCCTGAGGCATCAATGGGTTCATGCACTATTGTATATTATCACGTAGATTGCAGACAATTTCCAGGCCTCGAAATTGCAGATATGATCATGTCAAATTGTGGTTTCAAGGTTGATGAGGTTGGGTGAATTGGTGCGGTGAGTCGCGTGGATTGGCGCGTCATGGAACATCCCGCCCTTACGACCTCCTTCAAACCCCAACACTCCTTGAGCTACTTCCAAAAGTCCGCTGAATGTGTCGGTCTTTTCCTCGGCTGCTGCAGGGTCTGTCTATCCGTGTTCATCCCTTGGAAGCTAGCCAACAGGGTCGACATACGTCATTGAGAATCCCTGTTCCTGTGGCGAGAACCAGATCGCTCGCCCCAATTCATAATGCCCATCATGCAGCCCACTGTGCCCTGCGCTTCTCGTATTTCTCATTTAAAAGTGTTGCGCATCCCTTAAACACGTCGAGGCTCGCATCATCGCGTGCGTATTCACAGGATCTTGGCCGACAACCAAGCTATCTGGATCCAGAAGATATGGTCGGGGCAACTGAGACGCCTGGGCCGGAGATGAAGCCTGCGGATATCCTCAATGGAGATATACCATTACCTGCTGGTCAGGTAGAGGCTTCATTGGACCCAGAATCAGACGAAGATGTCCCCGTTGATGCGGAAGAGCTAAAAGAGGCACTCGGCCGACCACCTCCGGTGAACAGCAGCTACCTTCCCCTGCCATGGAAAGGTCGATTAGGATATGTGAGTTTTGCTGTGCTGGGCACGATACACTCGCGCTGACGATTATGGGTTCTGACTTGCACAGGCTTGTCTAAATACGTACCTTCGCTATTCAACACCGTCCGTATTCTGTTCTCGAACATGTCGAATCGCCTCTATAATCGAAAATCGACACCCGCTCCAAGATCCCGACCAGCCCACACACCCGACCAAAAATCGCCCAGATCGCGATCAGCCAGCCGATGTTGCACGCGGACAAGCTTTCGTTGAGGGGCTAGGCCTGGCGAATGCACGCGATTTGGTCAAAATCATCCGTTGGAACGACAAGTATGGCATTAAGTTCATGCGACTCAGCAGTGAGATGTTCCCATTTGCCAGTCATAAGGAATATGGTTATAAGCTGGCGCCATTCGCCTCGGAGGTGCTGGCAGAAGTAGGACGTGTGGTTGGAGAACTTGGACACCGGGTTTCGGTTCACCCTGGCCAATTTACTCAATTTGGATCACCGAGAAAAGAAGTCATCGAGAATTCCGTTCGCGATCTCGAGTATCACTCGGAAATGCTCCGGCTACTCAAACTTCCTCCACAGCAGGACCGCGATGCAGTCATGATCCTTCATATGGGTGGAGTGTTTGGTGATAAGGCTGCTACACTGGATCGGTTCCGAGAGAACTACGCTATGTTGTCGCAAGACATCAAGAATCGATTAGTTCTGGAGAATGACGACGTGAGCTGGTCCGTTCACGATCTACTGCCTATTTGCGAGGAGCTCAATATCCCTCTTGTCCTCGACTACCACCACCATAATATCATTTTTGACGCCAATGAGCTCCGAGAGGGAACCGAGGATATCATACCCCTCTATGAGCGTATATCAGCAACATGGTCTCGGAAGAATATCACTCAAAAGATGCACTATTCCGAACAAACTACACCCGCCATCACTCGGCGCCAACGACGCAAACACAGTGCCCGCGTTACTACTTTACCTCCTTGTGCGCCTACCATGGACCTGATGATTGAGGCCAAGGACAAAGAACAAGCCGTATTTGAGTTGATGAGAAACTTCAAACTCCCCGGCTACGATCTTGTGAACGAAATAATACCCTTCATACGCCTTGACGAAAACCAACCATTCAAACCACCCAAAAATTCCAAGAAGAACGGGGCATTCGTGGACCTACAAGGCTCAATACCACCGCCTCGCGCCATCCCAGACGAAGAAGTCGGGATGGGTGGGCCGGATGGCAGGGTCTATTGGCCTGAGGGCATGGAAGAATGGCTCCGACCGGCGAAGAAAATCGTGAAGCCTAAGGCTGCACCAAGTCCTAAAAAAAGCGCCGCCAAAAAGGGTAAGAATGAGTCTGTCACAGACGATGCTCCCCTAGATATACCCGTCAAGATAGAAACGCCAGTCAAAAAACCGGTCAGGGAGACGAAACGCACACCTCGGCCGAGCAGGTCTCGCAAACGCAGAGCTTCGTTGACTGAGTCTACCCCAGAGTCCGAAGAAACTGGGGAGGTTTCGGTGGAACTGGACAGTGCTCGTTCGATACCTTCTCGAAGTTCACGTGCAAAGAAGGTGAACTACGCCGAGGACAGTGCATAACTGGCACTTGATACCTAGGTAGTTCTCATATATTAGTGTACAATATACGATTTTTCTCACTATATCTGAAACAGCGAGAGGTTTCATGGCTAGATTATAAATCAGGATACATTTCATCAATGCAAAATTCCCGTATCTGCTTCCTTTCAAATACCTGTGGATGTATGGATAGAATCTTAAATATTAGATGATTATGTCTAAATGTAGTTATTTCAACACAAAAGAACAAGAGTCTCAAATATCAAACTGGAATCTTCGGTTGCAACGCGGTGAGCGCACCCGAGTAGTCATCGTCATGGCCGATCTCTTCCCCGCAGGTAATCAACTTTCTACAGCCTTACTCGACTTGGCTTTTTGTGTCGCGGAATACTTTACCCTGCTTGTACATCATACCACCCGGGACCCTGGCGCCTAAATCACGTTTCCGTTGGCCAATCTTGCGGTCGAGGCCCTCTCTCTTTAGACGTCCACCTACCAGCCTCTTTCGTTCCTTCCCCCGCGAACCTAGACCCAGCAGACTTTCGCATATACTTGATCTGATAATTGGTGCACGCGCAACCAGACGCACTCAATCCCGTCTCTGGGGCATCCGGTACGAAACCCTGCCCGCGCTCCGACACCGGGCCCAATCGCGAATCTACCGAGCGATCCTTCAGCGACAAGCGCGACTCGCCACACGCGATAGCAAATTTGGCGCACGTCTTGTGAATTATCTTCTCGGGACCCAACGACAGTCAAGGCTATCGAAACCTACTACAGTAGCTAGTAGCAGCCTAGCTGCAAGATACCCGAAGTCGATCCGAGAACCCCGCTACGGACCGAAGGACACAACGATAGACCCGATGTCGCAGTCTGGACTTTCATCAACATGGGCGCCAGGGGGTGGTGATGGTGCTGGTGCCCCCGGTAGCCGTCGGAAGAAGGTCTACGGATATCTCAAAGCGGCAAATGAGCTACGCCAGACCTATACCGCACAATGGTCCGGGCAGAGGAGTGAATACGATGAGGACTACTACGATACACCCGGTGCATTCCCGGACGTACAGATTTCACGGTCAGGCGATGAGGAGATGGTGGTATTCCCCAGTTATGCTAGGCGATTGCCAGAGAAGAAGAAGAGCACGAGCACCGGTACCAACACACGTCCGCGACGTGAGTCGTGGTCAGAAACTATCGATGATTACCGGGGTGCAACCCACGAGGACGACGATCTCTCCTCGCCTACTTGGGATCCAACGGAGAATGAAGAGGCAGTTGTGGCCGTTGACGTGCGTGGCTGGATTTACTCTCCTAGTCGAGGGCAGATGAGCCGAAAGCACCGATTAATGATTGCCCTGGCTAGGAAGCTGAGCGGGATCTCTGCACCGTCTGGAACTGCAAATAATGAAAGTAACGACAAGATTTCTGGGAAGGGAGATGACGAATACATCGACAAGGAGATTCAATCGCTAGTCGCCAAGGCCGAGAGAGAAGCAGACCCGGCTTGGAAAGGCTCGAATGTGGAACAAACACGCCGACCCACTGCACCATTGAGTAAGGATGAATTATCTATAGCAAATGCCCATCTAATGGAAAGACTTCGTCCATTCTTGTCGAATCCCGTTGGGAGCATGCCGGTGACAGTGTTCTTCTTCAACGACACCGAAAGCAAGTCTCGAAATATCATGACGGATGAATCAGGCCATTTTACTCTTCGCGCTACACTGCCCTTTGCGCCAACTCATATTCGTGTGTTGGCATCTGAGGACCTGTCTGTCGCAAGACCGATTGATGTCATTGATCCGGTTGGAATCAGTTTGATCAGTGACATTGATGATACCGTTAAGCACTCGGCCATTTCCAGTGGAGCGAAAGAGATGTTCCGCAACACCTTCGTCCGTGAATTGAATGAACTTAAAATCGACGGAGTTAGCGACTGGTATTGCAAACTGGCCAGTGAGGGCGTGCAAATTCACTATGTGTCGAATGCTCCCTGGCAATTGTATCCCCTCCTGGAGCGGTACTTCAAGATGGTCGGATTGCCTCCGGGCTCCTTCCATCTCAAACAGTATTCGGGTATGCTTCAAGGAATCTTTGAGCCCACAGCGGAGAGGAAACGGGGATCATTGGAACAAATTCTGCGCGACTTCCCAGAACGAAAATTCATTCTTGTTGGTGACAGTGGTGAAGCTGATCTGGAGGTTTACACGGAGATTGTCTTGGCATATCCTGGCCAGATCCTGGGTGTCTTCATTCGTGATGTTACGACTCCAGAAACGCAGAAGTTCTTCGACAAATCCGTCCCCCATCTTGACCCGTCTAAGCGCAGTCGCAGTTCACCACCTGTAGTGGACCACTCGGATGCCGCTTCCAACAGACCAGCGCTCCCGCCTCGAGGTGGCACGGCTGACCCTGCAGTGCCCGTAGCCCATCATGATACAGATCCAAAAGATCTTGACCTTGAGGACCTGATTGATCTCACAGATCTCATCATAGACGATCAACCACCGCCGGCGGGGCTTACCCGCCCCGCCACTTCACGGCCACGCCCAGCGAAACCGATCAAACCGTCTGCATTGCGCATGGTTTCTACACCAGCTGATTTGGCGAAGGGTTCCAGACCATCCTCTCTGCGCAACGTCGCTACACCTTCCGATGTGCCAGAAAATGACACGATGTCGACACCAGCACAAGAGGTTCCCAAGCGCAGACCAGTTCCCCCTACGCCACCCAGACGTGCAGTGCCAAAGACAGGCTCATTGATTGACCTGGATCCCTCGCCTTCAAACTCTGAGAGTAGCGCTGGGACATCAACGAATGAACTTCCTTCTTCCGGACTCAAAAGCCTTGATGATAATTCTGTAGGTACCCAGAGTCAATCGCAACCTGCACGCGTCAAGCCACCACCGCCTCCTCCGCGTCGCACGAACACCGGGTCTTCAACAACCAGTTTAGATCCGGGTGCATCAACCCCATCAACCCCATCAATTGCATCAACAGCACTAAGTACGCCGGCTCGTCCTGCGGCTCCTGCGACTGGCATTCAATCATACCCAGCGGCAGCCGCCCAGGCTGCATACCAAGGGTTCCAATATGCAAGCGACCGACTCAACTTCTCAGGATCCGCAAAGTCTCCATCCAACCAATCAGGGAGACCAGGGCCGAATGGAACGGGTGTGCCGCCTGCGCCCCTGCCAAATAAGCGCGAGGAGCTTTGGCGACGTCGTTGGGCTCGCGCAAGCGAAGTGCTTGAACAGCACGACGTTGTGCTAGGCAGTTGGCGGGTCGGAAGCGATGCGCAGCCTGTTTGCGCGTGGTTAATGGAGCAGGCGATGAAAGATCTCAAGAATAATCGTTCGAAGGGGGATCATTGACGGCGTTTAAAGATACCATTTGTCAAGATGTGCCCATGAATACACTACTGTCGATTTGAGATAGATCTTAGAAACAAAGACCAATGTCACCATAGCCTCTACATAAGTACATAGAAAGAAGTCTACTCTTTTGAACCCCATATCCGAAACAATATAAATCTCATGCTGTACTGCCCCTTCTCTCTAGAGCTAGTTGAAGCTCAAACTGACACGTGCCGATCACGGGTGGGTCGTAAAACGATATAGACACTCTTGGCGATTATAATTTAACAGCCCGCTATTGGCCAAAACATCAATTATACGTTGTATGGTGGGCCAGTCCTGTTCCGAGGTCCTCGTTGGTCGGTGTTGAGGTTGCAGCCAAAGGTTCCACATTATATTTTCGGGCCTCGGCTCAAATTGAAACTGCAGTTGCATGATTGGCGACTCATAATCTGGGGGTATTTACTACTGGTGCCCCCCATTCTTCTCCCCTTTCTCCAGATCCCCAGACTAAAACATGTCATCAGAAACCCTGACGCGCGCGGAAGTCGCGAAGCACAACACCGAGGATTCCCTCTGGTGTATCATCGACCACCAAGTCTATGATCTAACCGATTTTGTCGACGCCCATCCCGGTGGTGCTGTTGTACTTGCTCAGATTGCTGGCCAGGACGCAACATCCGATTTCTACAATCTGCACCGCCAGGAGGTGCTGGAGAAATACCGTGACCAGCTTTGCATTGGTGTCATCGAAGGCGAAAAGCCCGAGGTCATCGTGCCCGTCCCTGGAGGTTTGAGCCCCGTGCCCTACGCAGAACCCCTGTGGCTGCGACCCCAGTTCAAGTCCCCATACTACAAGGAAAGCCACCGACGCTTGCAAAAGGCCGTCCGGGAGTTCACAGATAAATATGTAACGCCAGAAGCGCAAGAGAAGGAGCGGGATGGCACCTACATCAGCCAGGAGCTCATCAATCGCATGGCCGAGACGAACCTTCTGGCTATGCGACTGGGCCCTGGAAAGCATCTGCATGGCCGCACCTTGCTCGGTGGAGTTGTGGATGGAAAGGAGTTTGATTATCTCCACGATATGATTGTAACACAGGAGTTGGTCCGTGCCAATGCGAGAGGCTTCCAGGATGGAAATATGGCAGGCATGGCTATTAGTTTGACAGCTGTCCAGCAATGGCTGCACGATCCTGTACTCAAGGAGCGCATCAATGGCGAGGTCTTGTCCGGCCAGAAAAAGATGTGTTTGGCTGTCACGGAGGCCTTTGCTGGTAGCGACGTGGCGGGTCTGAAGACGACTGCAGAGAAGACTCCTGATGGGAAACATTATATTGTCAACGGAACAAAGTCAGTCGGATCACGTTTGTTGTTTAATTGGATTTGCGCTGACAATGTCTAGGAAATGGATTACAAACGGTATGTTCGCCGACTACTTTGTCACTGCCTGCCGTACCGAGAAGGGATTCTCCGTGCTCTTGATTCCTCGCGGCGAAGGTGTGGAGACAAAGCAAATCAAGACCTCATATTCGACTGCCGCTGGTACTGCTTTCGTGCAATATGAGAATGTCAAGGTTCCGGTTCAGAACCTCCTGGGTGAGGAGCACAAAGGTTTCCTCGTTATCATGAGCAACTTCAACCACGAGCGCTTTATGATGGTAGCTGCCGTGGTCCGCATGTCAATGGTGGTTGTCGAAGAAACAATGAAATGGTCCAATCAACGCATCGTCTTTGGTAAGAAGTTGATTGAACAGCCAGTTATTCGTCAGAAGTGAGTTTCTTACAATCTGCTCTTAATATCCCTCTTCTAACTCCCGACAGGCTCGCCCGCATGATCTCCCTAGCCGAATCTAACCAGGCATGGCTTGAATCCATCGCCTATCAAATGTGCAACATGACATACGCCGAACAAGCAAAGAATCTGGGTGGACCTATCGGACTGCTCAAATCACACTGTACCCAAGCCGCAGGCGAAATTGCCAGTCTCGCTACAAACATCTTTGGTGGTCGTGGTATCACTCAGTCAGGAATGGGCAAGGTCATTGAGATGTTCCATCGCACATACAAGTTTGATGCCATCTTGGGTGGAACTGAGGAGATTTTGGCGGATTTGGGAGTGCGGCAGGCAATGAAGAATTTCCCGAAGTCGATGTTATAGAGGGGAAATATCAATCAAATCATTACCTTCAGAGAATAACAGTGGTTGTATGTTTCGTATGCAGCTCTCCGCTTGGCCACAAATAGAACAGGCAAGCGGGGAAGATAGCTGGAGCGGGGGATGTTTGTTCCGACGCCACAGCTCCCCCAAGGCAGCTAGCCCCATGTGAGGTCACTTTGGGCATTCACGAGCCGCCCCATCTCCTACATTATTCCAGGTTCTTTGCCATCTAGTATTGGACGTCTAAAATATACAATATCTATCAAACATGGCTCCAGCCGATGCCCTTCGTCAGGATAATATCCTCGATCTTGCCGTGAGAGCTATCCAGTCCGCGGGGGATAGACAGCCGAGTCTCAAAACATCATATGAGGCCGTGGCTCTGATCGGCCATGCATGCATGGTAGCAGTTGATTTCAGATTGATCGGTCTTGGTGAAGAGCACACTTTAGGTATGTCAAGTCTGTCTCCGATCGCATCGGTGATCTCCTATTAACTTCTCTAGAAACATCTACAGATACACCTTCCCTCCCCGCAGAATGGAACACTAACGATACATTTGCCTTTCGGTACGCACATGCGCAGTCTTCAATGCAGTATTTACTCAAAGTGAGTCGGCTGGGAAATAACGCAGTGATCTTCGCATTGGCATTGGGCGATGACCGGACCAGCTCGTTCGACATCCCCATCAAAGACTACATCTCCACCTCTGCGCTCCCTATATCCTCCTCAGACAATCTCACTGCGTCTCTGCGAGATGTTTTCATCTCCCCAGCTCGACTAGGCGACCTGGTCGGTTTATTCAAGATCAACGTCATCCAGAAACTCGCGCCCGGTTTGTACAAAGAGGGGTATGAAGATCCAAGCCAGTTATCCAGAGCAAGACCACAAGAAGAAAGACAACCGGATATTCTTCGAGATGGCTCCCTGCCACAGCCTGCTCGCCCACGCCCATTTGATGATCCCTTGGCGGCAGCTCCTCGCCGCTCCAACCCACCAGACTTTGCTCCACCCGGGTTCGAAGATGAGCTTGAGATCAATAGGCCTCTACGAGGATATCCAGGACGACTTGAAGGCAGAAGCCCGTACAACATTGGAGAACGAGATCTCTACCCACCAGGACTTGGTCCTAATGATCCTTTGCGCGGACCTATGGGCCCTGGCTTTGGTCCAGGTGGCGGGGGTATGCATCCTACCTTTGATGACCCTCTCTTCAACGGGGGAGGAGCTGGTAATGATGGATATGACCCCCGTGTACCTCCAGGTGCAAGATATGATCCCGTAGGACCTGGTGAACCACCTGTTGGTCGTAATCGAGGACCGTTCGGTAGTAATGGACGAGGCGGGGGTGGATTTGGTGGGTTTGGTGGGTTTGGTGGTGGATTTGGTGGTGACATTATCTAAAAAGTGACGAGTGAGTGATGACTTTAACAAAGTAGAAGATCCTTTGTTCCGAAATGGCATATATCCATCTCAACATTAACAAGAATAACACGAAGCTACAGCCATGTCTCCATGGCCCACTCGACGTCTTTCCTCCGTAGCTTCTGAGTGGATTGTGTGGGACATCTTCTTATACACCCATTGGATTGTCTTCTTAAATGTCTAACACAAATCAACAAAGATATAAACCCCCTAGTCGTTCTGTACAACGGTGTAGTTGATAATTACGTAGGCTGGAGAAAGCGGTGTGTGGCTGAAGTGTGGCGCATCTGTTCACCACTCAACTTGACCTTCCCGAACTCTCATCTCTTCTCCCTTTCTCGTGTTCCCAAGTCCCATCCCCTTATCCCTTGAATCAATACTGGGAATTTGCCTTTTAATTGAATTTCCATCTGGAGCGTAATTATCCCACATCTTTTCCAGACCCCACGATACCTGCGCCTACCCACGAATCCCGTTGTTTTCTCACGAGACCGCCCCTCCCCAGCTGGCCCCTCCTTTTCAACCAGTTGAGCACACCGACGCAATGGATAACAACATGGAAATCGATACTGCGCGGTCCCCCGAGCCACACCACTTGTCGCCAACAAGCGACCCTGGGTCCATACCGACTTTGGACGGCTGGATCGAGAGTTTGATGACTTGCAAGCAATTAGCAGAAGAAGACGTGCGGCGGCTGTGCGATCGGGTGGGTCCCTTGTTTTGACAGAGTGGTAATGATGAATTCAAGTTGATCATATGTGTCGTCCAGGCAAGAGAGGTATTGCAGGAGGAATCCAATGTGCAGCCAGTGGTATGTTGTTCTCGGTCGGGAGGTTGTCCTGATCGCCCAGCCCACTGACATATATCCGAATAGAAATGCCCAGTGACAGTCTGCGGTGACATACACGGACAGTTCCATGACTTAATGGAGCTTTTCCGCATTGGCGGTCCTAATCCGGATACAAACTACCTCTTCATGGGTGAGTGGATAACGGTCGGGTCAACGCGTTGTGGGGTAATGTTTTTTAATCTTTCTTGATATAGGTGACTACGTCGACCGTGGTTACTACTCAGTTGAGACAGTGACCCTCCTGGTCTCCCTGAAGATCCGTTACCCGCAGCGTATTACGATTCTTCGTGGAAACCACGAGTCCCGACAGATCACACAGGTCTACGGATTCTATGACGAATGTCTCCGCAAATACGGCAATGCCAACGTGTGGAAATACTTCACCGACCTTTTCGACTACCTTCCCCTTACTGCTCTCATCGAAAACCAGATTTTCTGTCTTCACGGTGGACTGAGTCCATCCATTGACACTCTCGACAACATCCGGTCGCTTGATCGCATCCAAGAAGTTCCCCACGAGGGTCCCATGTGTGATTTGCTCTGGAGTGATCCTGATGACCGATGCGGATGGGGAATCTCTCCCCGTGGTGCTGGATACACATTCGGACAGGACATTTCCGAGGCATTCAACCACAACAATGGCTTGACTCTTGTGGCACGTGCCCATCAATTGGTGATGGAAGGATATAACTGGTCACAGGATCGGAACGTCGTCACTATTTTCTCAGGTATATTCTTATTCGCAAGACTTGATGGACCAAAAGCACTAACCAGACCACAGCACCAAATTACTGTTACCGCTGCGGCAACCAGGCCGCCATTATGGAGATTGACGAGCATTTGAAATACACATTGTGCGCACTCCTGCAATTTCTCATTTGGATATCCCACTGACATTATCTAGCCTACAATTCGACCCCTGCCCCCGAGCGGGAGAACCTATGGTATCGAGGCGCACACCTGACTATTTCCTTTGATAGACTTCATCTTTGTCCTGCGAGAGGCAATTGGACTGGCGGAGAATGGAGGTTGCAATCGAACATGGCTCTCGCCTATTTAATTCTGTATGGTTTGATGCCTGGCCACTTGTTGATACCAATCATGAAAATAAAAGACCATTTGTAAGACCCAGGCCCATAAGACTATAGAAATAACCTTGGGAGGCTATTCCAGATTATTAAATACCTTTCTCTGCCCAGGTGGTAACAGATTAGGAGCTCAGATACGCATAGAAGGCTGGAATTCAATATTCCTCTCTGGATGGCAGTAGATGACTTACAAGTGTTAGAAGCTGCATGGAGATTACGTTTTATCTGTGCCAGTGCAAGGCTTGTCATCATTGCTTGTTATCTGCTTGGGCCCAGCTTCTTCTGCCATGAACAAAAAGTGGCATCCGAGAACATCGAGTATCAGAAACGCATTGAAACCATGGCGACCTCAAACGGCCGTGTGTAGACCTTCTTGGGTAAGGTAACAAAGCACTAGTCATATAGGATAATGAGGGAAAGTTCAAAGTTCTGACGATCTAAGGCCAATAGCTGGAGAAGAATGTGTGCATCTTCCGCGCCTTGAATGAGTGCCATGTCAACACCGAAAGCTGCTCTTTCAGCTCACGAACACATGACAGTATGCATCATGGTCAGTCATCCTGACGATTAAGCATTGATCAGATAATACATGTAAACAATAGGCTATTCTGTCTATTCGGCGTCACAGTCTATCTAATTCGTAGACTGGGCGACGTCGGCTACGGAGATTTACACCCCTCATGTATTCCGTGGGACTCGTCAAGTGGCAATGAGAGCCACGACTTTAGGAACGTCCACGAGAATGCCCGGTTTGATGTTTGATGCAGACCTACATGGACCTCATGCATATGGTAATGTCATGGTCCCTGTGGTAGATGAAGCAGCATGTGCTACGGCACCCTCTGCCTACGCTGTCTCGTGGTGGCTACGGTGAGATGGTGGTCAGAGAGATGGGGAGGAGAGAAGAAGAAGAGAAGAAGAGAAATGGGGGGAGGGGCCCTTTTATACCCCAAACAAACGGTGCCTTCCTAAAGTGCGACACCCTCCATCGCACCTTCCTTAATCACAAATGTCACATGTCAGGCCCTGAGATATGCTGCTACCTACTCTGCGTCTCGATATCCTGTTTGTCGTGAACCGTAAGAGCAGTCCCCTCTTGTGCGACTTGCGCGTTATTCTCACCACGTCTGTAGTGACGCACTTCCGAGCTCCCATTTGGAACCCAGAATCGCCGGTCAACACGAACGACGAAGAAAATGGCCACGACTAGAATATCAATAGTGAAGTTAAAGATATAGAAGCAGGCCCTACTGTGATACCAGGCTGGGTCCGTGACAGGACGAGGTGGCATCCAAGAGGTCCCGGCACGAAATGATGCTCCAAGGCAGAGCAATGAGCCGACAAGTCCGACGATGAAGACTTTGGCGATCCAGCTACCATAGCCAACCTGTTCAATATACTTTCTATTCGGAGACAGAAGGACAAGTGCGACAAGCGGAAGCGGTAGGAACGAGATGATGGCGAAGTATGTCTGGCCATAGAGCTGGATATCACGATCGATACGAAGGGTGTTCGAGTTGAGAGTATACGAACTCTGAATAACACAAGTGATGACCATGATGATCGTTACTACGACGAGAGCATACAGTGCTTTGAACGCCCAAGATACTGGTCGGGACCATCCGAGGACTGGGTAGACGGCTCGGAACATACGCTGTGCGTATAGCAAGTTCAAGATGAAAAGCAGCAACACGCCGGCAGCAACGAAGATCTGTGCTGCAATCGCAAGTCTAATGTTCGTCGGGTGACAGGCCCAGGCGATGCGAAGGATGTTTGCGATAATACGCGACATGCAGAAACCGAATGTTGCGCCCGATGGAATGAATTTGTGGTCCCTTGCGAGGTTGCGACGGAACAGGGTCATATGGCAGGCGGCGCCGATGATGAAAAGAGCGAGGAAGACGGCGCATATTGGGACATCGAGGGGAATTGTTGGTCGACCTCCCATGGAGGCCGTTCGAGGCATATAGGGTCCTCCCATTTTCTAGGGGTTTGGTACAATTGGTTGTAGGGCAAAGGGTTGCAGCACGAACTTTATGCTTGATATATCCCCTTGCTTCGATGTAGAATGTAAAGAATGGAACAATCGAAGGGGTGAATGTAGTCAGTACAACACACGATGTACAGACGCTCGCCGAGTCTTATATCCTAGCTCAGTCGCTAGTACCTCTAATTTCCATGTCAACAAGATGCTCAGACTTCGCAGATCAAACTCTATTTGACACGACAAACCTATGATTCCCTCGTCTCCAGACAATTTTAACACCATACATAAATTGAATCAGTCGGTGTCGGGGTCCCTCGCTCCCCGAACTCACCTGGACGGACGCCGAAACGCCGACCACCGATCACATTGAAGGGGTTCGAACCTTGTGAGGAATACGAACAAATAGTCAAAGCCCTCGAAGACAATATCCATTATCGGCTCTGAGACGGCTCTGGTTATAGTGTGTATGTTTTCTTGTTGTACGTGGAAGTCATATGCTCAGGTGAACCCTGGAAACAGAGCCGCATAATCCCGTACCTCAGAACCTTATATAGACGTGGAAGTATATCACCGCTATAGTAATCACCTTTTGATTTAGTGGTAATAATTTAAACACCAAGAAGCTGAAATTACACTAGAGTATGTAGGAATCTCCGTAACTTTGGAAGATGATTGCATACAAATGGTCAATGTGAATCGCAGCCAGTTGGGGGATGGAAGTTTAATCAACTTACGAGAAGCAACGTCATGGTACAGGTACTCTAATCTGTATGTCATATTGTACCTGAGATATTGCATAAACCCATGTGAGAGGCCTACAATTCTTCGTCGTTTCCTATACGTGAGTCTAATGATAGTGTAGCCTAGTACAATCATGATATATATTTCTAGATGCACGTTGGCTACAGTTTATAGTTGTTGTGCAACCCTCCATTACATTGGCGCTCTTCCCTCGGATATGCTGTACTCGCTCAATTCTAAACTACCTGTCTTTCTGGTTACTCAAGAGATACGATACGTTTGACTGGGGAAGGTCTATGATGGTGATAGGCGGATAACGACTGCCGGAGTCTTCTATTAAGTATATATACAGGGTAAATATATTTGTTTGGCTGTGCCAACTTATGGGACAGGGGCGCTGTCCATCAACTGGCCTTCAGTGTCTGACTCGAGCGGCTTTTTCAAGATCCAGCCACCCACGAACAACAGGATTGGGAGAGATGATACGCCCACTATCAACCCCAATGCCCAACCCATCGCACCCCAGCCAGCTTCCTGGCGAATATAACCCGCAAAGAATGGGCCGATCAGACTCCCGGTCGCGAACCCCATATTCGACAGCCCAAAAGCCAGAGCCATAGCGCCACCGCGACCGAAGATATCAGGAGTTTTATCTTCCTTCTCCTTCACAGCGAAGAACACCTCCACAATGAGAGGTGGCATAGCCACCGCAAAGCATACCCCAACACAAGCGAGGAGGGCACACAATAGAATCTTGTGCTGCATCGAGTTGTCCTTGACAAAACGCAGAAGCACCAGAACGGGAACGACGGTGAGAAATGCGCCTGCAGCGAGGTAGCGACAGGATTTGGGGTACTTGTCAATAACAAACCCCATCAGTGGGTCTAAGACGTGCGGCACCATGAGCGAGATGAAGATTAGTCCCTGGCCACTTTGCTGCCACTTGAATGTCTCTTGCACGAAGAGTGGAAGGACACTGTCGAATGAGGTCAGGACGATTGACAAGATAAAGTATCCCCAGACGGATACGACGAGACGGGGTGAGCTCAACAAAATAGCGACACGTCCGAACGCGCTCCGTGAGGGGGGAGAAGGCGGTTGTGATTCACGGGATTCAGAGCCATTGGTTGGCAAGACGGGATGTTCTAAAACTTCCCCTGACTTCTTCTCCGTCACGGACAGCGGTGTCATCTCCGGCGCAAGCCATTTAATAGCATGTCTTTTCTCGATCAACAGCAATCGTAAGATGATATCGAGGGCGATGAAACCGAAAGCAAGACCGAAAACGGCATAATAACCACCATTCTCGTAGACAACGCCACCGAGAAGAGGTCCAGCTAGCGTTCCGATGCTGATAGCCATGGAGACATAGCCAATGGCTTGGCCAAGGTCGTCTTTTCCGATAGTGTCTACTATCAGTGCCAGGCCGGCCGTCCATACCACCGCAGCGGCAGCGCCTTGAAACAAGCGACCAACAATCCACAACGCGATATTGGTACCGACACACAGTAAGGCTGTTGCAGCGGCCAACGCAACGAGACCAAACAGCAAAGGCCATCGACGGGACTCGGCTCGGTCAGCAATGTACCCGACAACAGGGGCAAAGGCTAACAAAGCAGCCGAGTACAGGGCAAGGAGAATGGATGTCCAGCTTTGGACATCATCCTCTGAGATTCCCACTTTGTCTTTCAATGCTGTTGGCGTGACCGGTACGATAAGACCGTACATGAAGATGTCCGTCCCGGTAGCAAAGGCCACGACGAACATAATAAACCATTTTGACGACCTTAGCTCGACGAACTTGGGTCTCTTTTCCTCCTTCTCATGTGAGAAGGGCCACGTCAAGAACCCCATGACAAGTATATGTGTAATTGAGAGTAGGAATCACAATGCGGGTACCGACCTCGCAGGTGAAAAAGGACTAGCCCTTGTCCGAAACCAAGGTAAGGAAAGAATGTGAGAAGCTATGTGGAATGTGCAATGAGCTTAATTTAATGTGATCAATTCCATCTGACAGAATGACAAGTTAAAACAAGGGTCTGAGTCTCAAAAGTCGAAGTCCGTAAATGACCTCCGATCGGAACCCGCGGGCCCCGAGACTGGAAATCTCCCGAAGTTTGACGTTTTAGCGTTTTGGATATTTTGGACATTCAATTTGCTTGGAATTGGATTTTAATTATGATAGATGTATCTACGTAGCATGTATGTCTGTCAAGTGACACAATATTTGGAATACGCAGAAATAAGCCGGAGTTTCTAATTGAACGGTTGGAATTACTACTTCGATCTATACGGTTACCACGCCATTGGCATAGATGCTTGTCCCAAGTATTCAATCACAGACGAGCTTTAGGCCCTTGGATCTTCAGCCAATCCCTCAACTGTCTCCGCAGAATCTTTCCACTGGGCGACTTGGGAATTTGCGACAAGACATAGATCCCCCCACGGAGACGCTTATGGTTGGCAATGCGCTCATTCAACCACGCGTGTATCCCATCAAGGACAGTCTCCCGATCCATGTCTTTAACATGGCGACTCAAAACCACAAAGCCGACCGGTAGCTCAGTGGCCCTGTCATCCACCCATATTCCAGTCACGGCCGCATCCTCCACGTCAGGGTGATCGACCAGCTTTCCCTCCAACTCGCTAGGGATGACCTGCAGCCCCTTGTACTTGATCATCTCCTTGATGCGATCCTGGATACTGACATAGCCATCTCGATCGATAGTGCCGATATCACCCGTGCGGAACCACCTCGTCCCATTCTCGTCCACGTGGAATGCTTCTTTCGTCGCTTCGTCGTTGTTGTAGTAGCCCATCACCACGTTCGGACCCCGGCACCAGATCTCCGCGGGTGCCGTGGACCCGTCAGATGTGACGGCTGCGTCTTTCATCGTCTCGGGATCCACAAAGCGGAGCTGCATGTTCGGCACAATACAGCCCACGCCCGTGTTTCGCTTATCCATGCGGTCATTCGGGACGGCTGTCGCCATTGGCGAGGTCTCTGTCAGACCCCATGACTGGGTGCAGAATACCTCTGTCTTGGAAATCTCCGCGAACTTGGCTTCGAGGGCGGACGATAATTCGATTGTAAGCGGTGCGGCGGCAGACATGATCTTGCGCACGCTGCTTAGATCGTAGTTGGAGACCCTTGGGTCTTTGACCAACAGCAGGGCAATGGGTGGCACTACTGTCAACTCGTCTGGTCGGTACTTCTGGATGCAACTGAGGTATAGATCGAGGTCAAACTTGGGCATGATGACCACTGTTGTGCCCCATATCAAACACTGGCACATGAACAGATTCAAGCCGTAGATATGGCTGAATGGTAGGAATGCAATGGCGGATTGTCTTGCTGGTCGCTGGGCGGGAAGACCGGAGTCTAGCATTTGGTAGCGCCATTGCTGGAGGTTCGAGGTGATGTTCTGGTGTGTTGTAATGACACCCTTGGCTGCGCCTGATGTTCCAGATGAAAAGCAGATGAATGTGGGTTGGCGATCTGCCTCGGCTGGATCGATAGCGAGAAAATCACCGGGCGCAAATGTACTAGCGAGATGATTGCATGTAGGTTGGCCATTGGCCGGTGTTTGGTCATCTATCAAGACAATCTTCTCGACAGATGTCCCCTTGGCTGCGGTTTGAGCAGTCTCCAACAAAGACGAATGGACGATGATGAACCTGGCCCCGCTGGTCTTGAGCTGAGCGTTAAGCTCTAGTGCTGTCAAAGCCGCACTGGTCGGGGCAACGATAGCCCTGGAGCCTACAATTGCATGGCATACCACAGGGTAGTCGATGGTGTTGGGACTGAATAATGCCACGACGTCGTTGGGCTTTACCCCTATACTTTGCCGAAGCCCGTTGGACAGAGAGCGTGTACGTTGCATCACATCTCCGAGAGTATATTGCTCTCCTGAGACAGCATTGATGTATATAGGCCGGTCCAAGGGCGTGTTGAAAGGATTGGAGAACAGATAGGAGACCAAATCAACTGATTTGATATCCAGATCTGGGTATGGGGAACGGTAAATTGATGGCATTTTGTATAAATTGCACCGAAGTTGATTCCAAAGAGATAGAAAATCCGTCCAAATAGGTTAAATAGAAGTATACAAATACCTTCGGAAGTTGAACTCGGCATTGAGGGCTCCATACGCGCTGGGTCGGCCCGGTGTTATGTCCCCGCATTGTGCTCTGATTGGACGAGATTATACTCACGGGGTTTCCAAGGTCTCTGTCGGCCCTTTGGCTTCCTCGGTTCGATAATATCAGATAGTACCTAGGCCTGGAGGTACATATGTATGTACCTGCGAAATAACCAGTTGACGTATGTTGTACCGTATGCTGTACATCGTAGGACGGCTATAGGACTGTTTGCTTGGTTTGTTGTTTGCTCTGTTTGTCTTGCCCCTGTTCCAGAACATTGGCAGACTTCTCCAACATGTACCGAGTACAGAGACAAAGATCACAGAGGACCAACCGAGACCAGACTCTGACACTTTAAACATGATCCTTCCTGGGCACTCTATCATTACCCGCTCCATCATTCGCAACGTCAAATATCCCACACTACAGGCCCAACCCTGCGGTGTAGACCTCACACTGAAGCGCGTTCTCAAATGGACCTCACCCGGGGTAATCGACTTGGATAACAAACTCCGACAGCCGGCCTCGACTGAAGAGATAACCTTTCTCTCCTCGAAAAAAAATACAAATCCATATTTACATCTCGCGCAGGGTTCCTACCTTGTGGAATTCAACGAGACTGTCTCCGTTCCTTTGGATGTGATGGGCCAGATTTTCGTGCGCAGCTCATTATTTAGGTCCGGAGTGACTATACATGCCGGCGTTATGGACAGTGGATACGAAGGGGCTGTCGGGGCATTGATGCAGGTCCTCAATCCCACAGGGTTGCGGCTATATCCTGCTGCGCGTCTGGCGCAGTTTGTGTTCCACCAGATGAGTGAGAAGGTCGATGGTTACAATGGAGTTTACCAAGGGATGAAATATTTGTAATTGTGAGGTACTCACGAAGATGCGCTAGTTGATGACTTCTAGTCCATATCCAACCGAAGAGATTGTCTATCCACACCCCAGCGTCCTCACAGGCAGTTAGGACTGGCTGATATCTCAATGTCAAGAGGCTTGAATATCCCCTTTGCAAAAGCCCTGTCCCGAATCAACAGCCACCACTCCCTTGGCTCTTGCTTCCATCGCCCTGGCATCATGCAGCGAAGGACCAGACGGTTCATATGCTTTTTCTGCGGCAGTGGACGAATCGCTGCAAAGCATAATTCATGGAATTTCGGCAAGTCTGCTTCCTCGATAGTTGCGATCATGTTTCCTGCAGGGTTGACCCTGGGGGTGCGATTGAGTCGAGCTGTGTATTGATTCCCGTCTTTCCCGTCGCTCTTGAAGGAGTGTATCCACCCAGTACTCTCCACTATCACTTCCTTGGGGATTGCGTCAAGCTCAATATAGAATACCCAATCCCAGCGTCCATCTTGTCGGGTGATATAGACGTTGAATGGCATGGTGGACAGTTGTGGATGTCTTTGATCTTGTTGGATGGACTTTTTCAAAGTGGAAGTTGTATGCCGGGGAGAGGATTGGTGGGACTTTTTAGACTGATATAGCTTATAGCCTGAGAGATGATGGTTCTCAGACAAGATGATGGGATAGAGTGCTCGGAAGTGGCAAGATAAGCAAACGGTCTATATGCGAGAAGGCATTGTTTTGAGACATACGTCGAGGTCTCGGGGGCAACAATTCTGCTACAAGATTAGAGACAGCTGAAAGGAGAACTGTAAGAGAATGAAGCTGTTTTCTGACAAGAAACATCTCCTAGACAAGTTGTGTAGCTCAAAGAATCAGATTATTCCGATCTTCCCTATAGTTATAGCTATCCACTATTTTCCCCATCTATATAATGTCTTGAACAACGGTCGCACAAGACGGAAAACTGCAGACAAGAATAATTCGTTTCAATACTATCTAGATACCAACATATGAGTCCTAACTCTGATATGGCGTGTATGGAACCGCAGACTGCTCGTTGTCTTAGTATCATACTCTTTCTCAGAAGGCCATGAAACAAAATAACTAACCCATCACAGGGACTTAAAGATCCCCTTCCTGAAAGCCATCTCCTCGACATCTTTCAGCCAATCTCCACAGCGGTAGAGCGGAGTGTCGGGATACAGTCGCGTTCCCTTGAGCGTCACCTGGGCCCGCGGGGGAGGAACTGCTAGACAGCATTCCTCCCGGAACCTCTCTAGATCAGCCTCCTCGATAGTTCCAATCTCCTTCTTTGAGTCTGGCACATGTTCTGGTAGCACCTCCGGGTTAGGGGTTGGCCTGGGTGTGTAATCCATGCCGTTCAGGATTGTTCCGGTGACATGGTGCAGCCAGCCTCTGTCTTCGCTTGGATCGGTTTCGATGTAGATGGCAATGTGGTTTCTCTGCGCACCAATGGATTCAGTGGTGAAGACTTTGAGAGCCATGGTTGGTGATTTATGAGGTTGTGTTGTTTAGTATATTCAGGTGCGAAAGCTGGGGTTTTAAGACTAAATGAGTTGGGAGTTTCATCATGCGGCTTGACAAGATATATTTTTAGTCTCGCCTGAGGTCAAAGACAACCACACTTCTATGATTATATTTTCAAAGACCTTGCTAGGCATGTCTCATGATTCCTGAATGTATACAAACGAGAGGAAATTTGTCATATTTTCGGTGAAAGAATTCAGTCCCGGCTGGTCAATAAATACAGACCCTTTTGAGACCAGCATATTTTGTGTATGACGGCAAGAACTGTTCGTATCCAAGCCAGTGGCTTCAAAGGAGACTATGGTGGATAGCTGGGCATGATATGTTCCTGTGCTCCACAATCATGGGACTGTAGCTTTTTTAATTACAAGATATGCATTGTTGAAATAAGATAAATGATATGCAAAAGTCAGAACGCCGTCATGGCTTCCTGCCAGTTATGCATATGATGCCGAGAAACAAATTAATTCCAGGGCTCTCCTGTGCCCGGAGTACAACAAATAGATGATGCCATTGTCTCTGATTGACTAAAGCTGATCAGGATTGGAAGTTCATGTTATAGCCGCCAGTCTTCGGGTCCTGGACGAACTTGAAGTTGTCTGTTGACAGACCGAATGGGCTTAAGATGCCATTGCCAAGCTGCCCGAGATCAGTACTGCTCTATTATTTTGACATATCTTATCCAGGAAGAAGTACTCACATCTTTCAGCTTGCCCATCATGTCGCCCATCTCCTTCTCCCGCGCCTGATTGATGCGCTCGGGGAGTTCCCTCAATGCCCGTTGGACAAACCTTTTATCATCTGCTGAAAGGTTCTCAATTGCAGAAACTGCCTGGTAGTCCTCTGCGGCACCTTGCAGACTACCCCAGCCGCCGATTTGGGTCTTTGCCTTGGCACGTCTCATGAGAACCTTGGCTCGAAGTCGCATCACCTTGCCCCGCTGCTCATCCTGCTCTTGCAATCGTTGTAGTTCCTTCAACTCGGCTTCTTCGTCATCTCCGGATAGTTCAACTACTGCATCTGTGTGCTTCTTTTCGGATTCTGGGATTTGTTTCCCCTTCGACTCGTTGCCCTCGTCCGGTGGGGTCGGCGGGATAATCTTACTCAGACGTTCAATGGAGATGGTTGCGGAGTCTACTGCAGCCTTCCAATCTTCCAATTTCAGATGGCAAGCAGCAATATTACTGTGGATTATGGCGACATCGTAGTCAAGGTAGTTCGGGCAGGAAGCGAGAGCTCGATCGTAGCAGGAGATGGCTTGGTCATAGCTTGTCGCGATAAAAAGCTGGTTTGCCTCGGATTTGATTTCGTGGGCTTCTTTCAGGAGTTGCTATCGCAAGAAAGATTGAAGTCAATATGCGGCTCCGATCATAAGCTTGAACACCGTTACGACTCACGGCTTCTTCCTCGGCGGGAAAGTGGGCATCGTGGAAGACATCCTCGTCACCACTGTCATCAGCGTCATCGGGAGCACCTTTCCCGTCCCGTTCGGGCGCATTAGAAGAACTGCTCATTTTGTGAGCAGGTCGTCGTCGGGCGAGAATATCAGACGTTGCCAAGGGCTCAATCACGGGACTGATACTGATAACGTTTGTTCCCCGCGTCTTATCGAAACGTGGTCAACATCCCACTCTGACACCATTAAACAGACCATTACAACCATGGCTTCCACTAATGCGTGAGTGAATTAATCATGTTCGCACTTATACATCCATTGACTTGGTTGACAGCCTTCCCCGCATCCGAGCATGTCTCTTCGACATGGACGGCTTGTTGATTGACTCCGAGGATTTATACACTATAGTCACGAATGCAATTCTCCAAAAGTACGGCAGACCCCTGCTTCCCTGGTCAATCAAGGCGCAGATGCAGGGTCGACCCCAGCCGGAGGTTCGTCCCACACTATATATCGTGATGTATGGTATACTTACGAAATATCTAGGCCGGCAAGATCTTCAAAGACTTTGCCCAGCTCCCCATCGGCGAGCAGCAGCTGAACGAGGAGCGAACAGCCCTTCAGGAACACTACTTCCCACGCGCAAAGCCGCTCCCCGGTGTGCCGACTCTGTTGTCCAATCTTGTGTCGACGCAGTCAACCGATGAGCCCGTGTACATCGCGCTAGCAACATCGTCGCACAGATTCAACTACAAATTAAAGACCGATCATCTGACAGAGCTGTTCTCGCTCTTCCCTGAACATAACAAGGTTCTTGGTGATGATCCGCGCATCGGCAAGGGTCGAGGCAAGCCGCTTCCTGATATCTACTTGCTTGCGCTGGAGACCATCAACAGTGAGCTGCGCAGCAAGGGGAAGACTGAGATCAAACCGGAGGAGTGTCTCGTGTTTGAGGATGCGGTTCCGGGCGTTGAGGCTGGTCGTCGTGCCGGCATGCAGGTTGTTTGGTGCCCCCACCCGGGTCTCCTAGGAGAGTTCAAGGGCCGGGAGGAAGAGGTTCTCGCTGGAGCCACCGGATCGCACAAGGAGGATGAGAAGTCAGATGCCGAGAAAGAGGTGGAGGAGCTCCAGGCCTGGCGTTTGCAGGGTTCTGGAACCCCTGGGAAGATTGGTGATGGGTTTGGCCAGCTCTATTCCACCCTGGAAGACTTCCCATATGCCAAGTATGGCATTCGGATTCCCTGAAGACTGGACCTGAGGTTTCTGAGACAGTACATAGTACATATTGCATGGATTTGGTACATAGTCAATACAGGTTACATGGACGCGGTAGAGCGTCTATCTAGAAAATAATTTACATTCACGCAGTGATTCAATTAATGGCTTTTTGGTTTCTAGATATGCTTCTCTGTACGGATTCCGATGGAATGCATATAGCAAGGAGACGTAAGAGTAAGACCGGTTCTCTTTTTGCAGTTCAAACCGCGGGGTCTAAGTCATGGTTTGTGTCGGGTTCTGACAACAGAAATGGCATTGACCAGACCTTGAGGCTGTTATCGGGATTCTCCGCTGGAATATATTCGCCAGAGGAATCATCTGAAACAAGACGTTGCTGCCCAGAGCAGGTTGCAACAACACTTCCCATAGGGTGAAACATTGTACTCGTCACGGCATCTGTCATACATTAGCAATGAGCATCTTGGGGATTGTCAATGGACTTACCATCATGCACCTTGAACTCCCAATCGGGATCCTTCCCACCTGCACAGTGCTCTGGACTCCTCCAAACCCTTATAAACCCATCGGTACCACCAGCCCAAATCTCATGAGAGCCATCAGGACCAGATGGAACAACATCAATTTTCATGCGTTGATTTGTAAGAGCCTTGCGCCCGCGCAAGTGTCCAAGCAGTTGCCCCGTAACTCGAACATCATAAACCAGAATGCCATCACTCTTACGCTCGGCGACATACAGATATCTGCCACAGGGACTCCATACAAGCTGTGTAACTCCACGACCCCCAATATCACGGTTTGCGTTGGTTTTTGCCACGCTGAAAGTCCCAAGGAGCTCACCCGAGCCACTTGAGCTGTACAATCCAACGTGTCTGGTGAAAGTACCCGCAGCAAGGATACCGTCCCCACTGGGGTTTAGAGCCAGGGCGGAAACAATGCCCTTCATGCCAATACCGCCACCGACAATCTGCTTTCGTTTGCTGGGGATGGTTGGCATTGAGGTCACAGGGCCATGTGCTCCCGTTCGGGACACGTCAAAGAGACAAACGAGACTATCTGAGCCTGTGAGGAAGTGGGTCCCACCCAGCAGGGATGGGTAGATCATTGAGTGCGGAGTTATGAATGCTTCTGTCATTGGATTTACCAGATAGTAGCTCGCCACTGATATGGGAGCTAGGGCTGATGATAGCCGAATTGGATGATCACGAACAGATGAGAGGAATAGAGTAGTGGATGGATCTTGAAGGTTGTAGAAGGGATAGATTGCGGTAGCATAAGTCGGTTCCGCTGAGAGTAGAGTTGAGTATGGGGATAACTGGTGCATGGGCTTGTCCTCCAGTAGATCCGGCGGCCTGGCTGTGTGAGTGAGATAATCAATATAGGGATGATGCGCCAACTCACAAGATCCATGTTCTGATAGAATGATTCGCTGAATCTGTCAGCAGAGTAGTTCCGTCTGGCGTCCTATACACCACAAGTTCAGTAAAGGTTGATCCTGGGTCACGGTACTAGAGTCTGACCATTCTGCACTCTTGAAATAGCCGAATTCGGTATCTTGATCGATGAATACACCACCAGAGGTCGCCACTGGCTCGATTTGGACTGTTGATGATGAATTTGAAGAGAGTTGTGACGGATCTGATAACTCTCTCTCACTTTCTCGTCTTGTTGATGCCACGCATACTGGCGTCCACTCTTTGGCATTCGCGTCAGCCATAATGACAAATACTGTCACTTAAACTGGACGGCTGCCTTCGCTGAAGGCTTTAGATGCAGCTCATTTGATCAGTGACTCATTCAATGGCAAAGCTCTGAATAAGACCAGAATCGAAAGGAGAATGGACAGGTCAAGTCAGACACCCATGGATTGATTGTATCAAAAGTCCACGGCGGTCACATGAATGACATATCAATGTCGTTTAGAATGAGATGCCAATTTTACTATGCATTTTCCAAGTATCGAACAAAGCCATACAAACGAAGTATAAAAACCAGTAGCCTTTCCAAGCTGGGAAAGGTCGGGTCGGATAAACAAAGTACCGAGAAGCTTCGCGCATTCCGCAAATCGCATTTGCGCAGCTTCCAAGGTCTGTTCCTATTGAGGGACCTATTGACAGGTTCCATTCTCATTTCAGAATTCGAGACCTATTGTCATATTAGCAATTATGTTTGCTCCCAAGGCAGCGACGCCTGCCACAGGTGGACTTTCCCTCAATACAAACTCCACCAGTTCTTTGTTGTTAGTGCTCCCATTCATCTTTGTCTCCGATTACACCTATCAGACCTATCTCTATCGCCTGACCCCTTGCTTTGATTCGAATCGTTTCCTCTCCCAATCCCTCGTTGTTCCCAGCTCGCAGACTGGGGTCACCCTAGTCCCAGACAGAAAAAAAAAAAGGCTAACCGCAACCTCCCATCAACAGTGGCGGCAACACGGCCACATCAACAGCTACTCCTGGCGCAACTAATACCAGCAGTCTCTTCGGGAACACTGCGAGCTCGACAGCACCTAAACCAGCAGGAGGCTTGTTCGGCACGGCCACAGGAACCACACCAGCACAACCGACTGGATCCAACATGTTTGGAGGTCAACAGCAGAGCGGTGCGGCCGGCAGTAGCCTTTTTGGAGGCGCAAATACCACTACACAGCCTTCTGGGGCAAGCAATTTGTTTGGATCAACTGCTGGCGCTGGCACCGGCACGACTCAAGGAACAACGGGTGGTGGTTTAGGTGGCTCTCTTTTCGGCGGCGGTGCGTCTACGGCCCAGACTCAAGCAAAGCCAGCCTTCGCTGGACTCGGAGGTGGTCTGCTTGGTGGTGGATTAACAGGAGGAGGTACAGGAGGCATGTTGTAAGTGCCCGACCATTTCCTCGTCTCGTGTCATGGCTATATTCTAATAAATCCCAGCGGTGGCGGCCAGAACACAGCCCAACAACAACAACAACAACCTCAAAAACCTACCCTCTCTCTCTTCGGCCAGCCAGCACCCGCACAGACTACACCACTACAACAGAGCACCGCTACTAGCACAGTAATCCCGGGCGTGAAAGTCGACGTTAGCAATCTCCTGCCAACCACAAAATTTGAGAGCTGCGCGGACGAGATCCGTAGCCAAATCGAGGCTATCGACAAGCACATCCTGAACCAGATGAAGATGTGCCATGAGGTCGGAGATCTGCTCCCGACCATCGAAAAGCAGGGGGCTACAATTCCTAACGACGTTGAATTTGTACAAGGCAAATTGGAGACCATGCAACATGCGCTTGAGAACGATGCGGGTGACATTGATGCGCTGCGCAGCCTTGTTACACGGGATGCGGCCGAGGCCCAAGTTGCCTTCCGAGCCATCGATACGCTGAAGCTCCCTCTACAATACCAGTCGACTGGCGGTGGGTGGTGGTCTGTGCAGGATCAACAGATTCCGGAGCGATCTATGCGGTCGAGTCGCAAAAACACACTTGCTCTTCCCGACGGCGTTGAGGGTGACGCGTCTACGGACGTCAATGGAATCCCCGTCAACCTGGTCGATTACTTCTCTCATCGCTCGAAGGAGATGAAAGAAGTTCTGACAAGATATACCGGCAACCTCAAAGAGATCGAGGACCATCTTCATGGTGTTGAAGCTACGCTCAACTGTCAAATCAGCGACTTTGTGAGCTCCAAGTCGCGTGAGGGATCTGCAGGGACACCCCGGTCTACCCTCAGTGAACTCTCGGGTGTTCTCGCAGATGTTGAGGCTGGCATCATGGGTGTTGCCACTCGTCTGAGCAATGTATCGGAGCAAGTCCAAGATTTGTCGATTGGACAGCAGTCCCTTGGCGATGGCCGGCTTCATCTGGGATAGATAGGAGAATTTAGCGACTTTGATCTGTATTTTTATGGAGCTGATCTTCAGCATGCGAAACATGACATCCACACAGTTGATCTGTCAAGTCCGAACTCTCATTAGTCTGAGACCTCATTGTCGACCTCGGAAACACGTAGCCATATATCGTAAGACAATACAACACAGTCTAGACCCCTGGGCTTGAATCTTAATAATTAAAGTCGAATTCTTTAGCCAATCCAATGCATTCAAGAACTATAGCATACTAACAATAGCTGCATGTTGTTGTACCAACTAGGCATGGGGCCAGTGAGGCTGATGAGTAACCGTCGCAAAAACCCGCCACTCTTGCGTGATCGTCTCCTTAGCGCCATTCCTAATCTCAACATCCACTCTCCTGCACGGGACATCAACACCTCAATCCTTTGAACACGCGTTCAGGGGATATTGACTTGGTTGGAGCTCGCCTCTGAAACAGCGGTGAGAGCTGATACATATCGACCGAGCAGCAGTTTCCCATGTTGATTTGAGGAAGATGGCCAATTTCGCCTTCAACGTCAGCAAAATTGCGTGATTACCTTGAATATCTTAGAGGAGAGAGAGCGGGTCTCATCGCAATACAATATCCATCACGAACCAATTATCTCGTACCCAGGCACTCCATCATGTATTTGCCTGAGGTGATTCATTTGAGAAATTGCGCCATCTCCGTGAACTCCGGGGCCATGCAAGATCCGTCGTCGTTCCAGAATGGCGTTATCTGGGGTTGACTCACTTGGCATTGGATGTTCTATATAAGCCAGTTCGCCCTCTCTATTCGAACTTAGTTCCATTCTTTGATATCAATAATCTCAATAATCTTCCATTATCACTCCGCATTCATCTTTCGCATTTCAACCTCCGCATTTCCATCTTCCGCGTTTAATTTCACATACCATACATCGTCTATTGCGTTAAAGATGGCCCCATCACTGGAAGAGCCCGTAGTAACTGTGGCCCCAACTGTGGCCAAGTTCACCGTTCCTGTCCTTGCGCGGGACGCTGGTGACAACAAATTCGGCTATCAGCCCGGCCAGACTCCAGTCACCCGACACGACAACTATGCACACGAAGATCTTTTGCCGTCATTCCCGGATCTCCACTGGGCCCCGCTTGAATACACTCCCTACGAGGACAAGGGACTGCGAGGAGACGCCAAGTTCCGCAACCTTCTGAGGGATGCCACAGCTGTCTTTGATTACAACCCTAAGGTTGGAACTGAAATCCATGGTGTTGATCTCTCAAAGCTCGATGATGCACAGCGCGATGACCTCGCCCGGCTGATTGCATACCGAGGCGTTGTCTTTTTTCGCTCCCAGAAGAACTTCGATATCGAAGCTCAACGCCAACTGGGTGAATACTGGGGCAAGCTGCACAAGGTAAGATATCTGACTTTGAGCTCATTCATGAGTGGATATACTAACAAGACATAGCACGCCACCACATCTGTTCCTCGCAAGGCAGGTCTCGAGGACGTCCATGTCGTTTACGCTGGCGACAACGCCCCCGACAACCGTGCCCTCTTCACACCCAGTTTCCTATGGCACTCAGACGTGACCTATGAAATCCAACCACCGTCCTACACATCTCTCAAGCTTCTCTCTGGCCCACCCCGAGGAGGCGGTGGCGACACCCTCTGGTCCTCGCAGTACGCCGCCTACGACTTGCTCTCCTCGCACATGCAAAACTATCTCAAAGGCCTCACAGCTCTCCACTCCGCCGACATGCAGGCCAACGATTCCCGAGCCCTAGGCCGGCCAGTGCGTCGGGAACCCGTCACCACCGAACACCCACTCATTCGGACGAACCCAGTCACCGGCTGGAACTCACTATTCTTCAATCCTGGCTTTGTGAAGAAGATTGTCGGTATCCCTACCGCAGAAAGCGACGCTATCATCCGCTTCCTCACCGATGTGATCGCCACGACGCAGGAGATGCATGCCCGCTTCTCATGGGGCCAGGACGATGTCGCGCTTTGGGATAACAGGTCTACCAACCACAGTGCTTCTTATGGCTTCACGCCCCACCGCCGCCATGCTGTGCGTGTTGCGGTCCACGCCGAGAAACCTGTGCTTGAAGAGACTGGAAAGTCTCAGGAGGATGAATCCAATGCTTTGTCTGGACTGCCGGCAGTCAACAAGGACGGGTCTCGCCAGTCGAACTACAACGACTAGGCGGACCGCAGAGGGTTCATGGTAATCGAAATATGTTCTTTCTCTCATAGCACTTAGCGACATATTACAATCAGCGAAATAAGCGAAATATTATCTTTCTTCTCTTTTGAATCATTACATGTGCCTGTTCAGACAAGTATCTTGGTTTTTGGTCTCAGTCTCGTGCCTACCTAGTTGGGACTGTGTGTTGTCTCCCGTACCTTCCCAGTTCACCACCCAACTCCCTCACCCGGGCAACTCCCCCAACTCTTCAGTTCCCTTTCTCCCGTAAACAATCCTCTCTCGTCACCACCTCTCACTCCTCCCTCTCCCCTCCCCTCTCCTCTCCTCTCCTTTCTGTGCGACAAAATGACTTCCAACCAGCCAACTCTTCTTGAATACGCCAGATTCTACAACGTCGCAGAGGACTACACTAAGCTTTGTCCAATTGATTACGCAGACGAGACATGTGAGCTGCCAATTTATGTTCCCATTATTGAGGGTCTCGAGCTCGAAAATCCAGAGGAACGCCTCAAAGAAATCGATGAACGCTTCTGCACTGACCTCTTAATGGAGAGGCTCGAAACTAAGCCTGAGGATCTAGAGCTGCTGAGCGGATGTCTCCAACTCGATTCCGTCAAGGGAAACATCTGGCGCGGCATCCTTCCTCAAGTGATGACCTCTGACATCAAAGACGAGCCTATTCTCCTCACAACTGAGGATGAGAGAATGATCGCTTCGTCCGAGTTTCACGCTGCTTTCGCTCAGAGTCCGGCTACATCTTCTTCGTCTTCTGCCCCGGTTCGTCTGGTTGTTCCTAGTGGTCCTGATGTTCCTGTAGTTCCTGTGAACACGCGGGATATCTTTAATTACTACAATTCGGGCTTGCCTCAGTCAAACATAGCTGATGGTTTTACTATTCCTCGCCATGTTCCTGCCGCATGCCCGAATATCACTAGTGCGACTTCTCATCGTGATGGGGACGCATTTCCCCCCTTAATGGGTTCATCAGGGATGGTGCCTCAGTTTGTCAGTATTGAGACCGACTCTATTGACTACGACAGCGGGGCTTATGATCGGTACACTCATAATGAGGCCGACCCCTTTGACTTCGATAGCGAGGCTCACGGTCTGAGTGTACCGAACTCTGAGGTGAGTACTTGACTGGTGATTATTGCTGGGCCTAGCTAACCAAGACAAGCATCCCACTGAAAGCGAATTCAGTGCATTTGATTTTGAGAACGCCGCGTCCTCACCTCCATTCGTCGATGTCAGTTCATGCAACAAATCGCAACCCACTTTCACTGATGTTTCTCCCAATCTGACCAAAGAAAAAGGATTCTCCGTTGGCAGGGTTGACAGCCAGAAAGCGCAAGTACCGAGAGCTTTGAAGGGCAAGAAAGGAACGAAGGCTTTTTTGGAACCTGTGGCGGATCCAGGAATACCTTGTGAACAGGAGGGAGTCGTGGCTGCTTCTCTCAGTACGCTTCATGAAGGCAAAATCGTGTCAAGGGGCTGTTCGAGTTCCTCAGTAACCCGGCCAGCAAACGATCAAATCATCACCCAGCTAGCCCGAGATTCGCAGAATGCAAACGATAACAATGTTTCCTTCAAACCTCCTTACGAGCAAAACCTCAGTACTACGGCAACACATATTTCCTCAGACATGGACAAGAGAGAGTCTTGCCTCGCTCAGATGGAACTGTTTCGTATGAAATTGGGCTACAAGTCACCCTCCACAGGATTGAGACAAGACCCTTTCAAGCCTCCACTTCCTATTTCTTCTGTAGATTCTAAAAAGACACCGAAACCACTCAAAGCAGTGTCTGGTGACCTCGGGTCGCTATCCTTATTTATGCGAACCAGAGGCAGTGATGGAGGATATATCACCTCGTCGAATGATCCGTCGTCCCTTTCCCTGTCAGGGTCCACAAGAATTGGAGAAGGCGAGTTCTCAAACGACCCTTCACAGATGGGTGACAGTCCCCCAGACCCTAATGATAGACCCTCGGGTCTGTCTCGCTCGCCGAGCCCTGCCTTCGCCATGCAGGAGATCGTGACCAGATCGGCATTCTACCCGCCCCCGAGGTTCTTCTTGTCTACCACCCTCCTAACCACTCACCCGTTAGTCGTGCGAGATATGGAGGGGTGGCCAACTAATCCACCCAAGTTGATCTACAGAAACTATGAGAACGCTGATTCCCGATACCAGTGTGATGCAGAGATCCTTCTGGCACCTGATACTGGACTTATTCTGACAACCCCGCATGAACTGACCCAGCGGTATCTTCCAGGGCATGGACCAAGGGATACAAGGTTCAATGGAATCGCGGGAATTAATTCCCCGTTCAGGGAAAAGATTTTCCGCCTCATGCATCGATATATGCTTCTAGTTATCCTCATCTGCAAACCTGACAGGGCAGACGTCAGCAGAGTTGCGAATGCTTCTCTGAGAAGAGAAAGCCAGTCGCTCGCTGAATTTTGTGACAGCTACGAGGAACTATCCACAACGTTACTGATACCGATCCCGAACCACTCGTTATACATTGTATTGTGGTGTTTCGGAATGGGGAGACTTCGATACGATTTGTTTCCCGCTGAGATGATGGAAAATATCACAGACGAGGAGTCCGACTATGAAGTCGCTCTCCGCGACCTGGGGATTAATCCTTTCGCGGCGCGCTTCATTTTGGATAACATTCGCGTTCGTGATTTCAGCCAATATCCACCTTCCTTTCCCTCTCATGAGACAATTGTCAATGCCAGCGCAGATTCAATGGCTTTCGATGTGTTTATAAATATGGAACGCTCGCGGAGGATTAGGGAATACGGGTCTACTATCGGCGCGGAGCTGATGTACAGGGTGTCGGAGGTGATTGAATCAATGGCGCACTCGAGCACCGAGAATGAGACCGGCGAGGATATGTACGGTACTCAGATCAGCATTGATTAGTTGCCCGGGAACATGGGCTTTCATTATTAGCAAGATGGGGGGAGATGCAGTTACGAATTGTTGCGTGCTGAGAATCAGTATTAATTATCATATTTAGCCTATCAAAATATCACCTTTACTGCACGTTGATTGACTTTCAAGATATTTAGAAAGACGCATTCTAATGGCAACGAAGAATTGGAGAATATGCCAATGGAGAGGAGATGATCAAGTCTGCAATTACCGACTACCCACCCCAGCATAACCACTGGGAGAAGGCAAGTCGCAGTTTAATTTAAAAGTACAGTGGACAAAGACATGCAAGACCCAAGGCCAATCCAGCGCTTCAAAAACTCATGCATGCAAAATAGAAAGACAGGCCAAAATAGGAGCCCACAACGGACATGATACCTAAACAACCGAATGTCAAATATCAGCCAATGAGAGCATCCCTATTCGCTATTATTTTTTGTTTTTTTTTCCTTGGTCGGTGTTCTTGAGATCGTTGAGAGAGGTCGAGCTCGTGACGTCGCGTCAGTATGATACACGTCAGGGGTCTTCCAATATCCCCGTCGCGATTTTACAGCGAAACGGGGATTGGTGTCGACATGACAGAAGGAGGATGAATGGCGGCGAAACAAAATATCGTATAAAAATATCGTCTTGGAGACTAATTTACTCCTTGATCTTGGCCAGGATACTAGATGAGGTTGTCAGTTGTTGTTCTCGGCAAAAAAAAGGGAGTGAGAGGGAGAGAGAGGAAACATACTCGTGATCCCGGAAGAGGGTGTACTCCTCCTCGCCGACCTTGATGGCGTTACCACCGAACTGAGCACAGACACGTTAGTATATAATGTTCCGTGTATTTCGAAGGAATTGTTGCACCACATACCTGGGGAATGAGGACCTTGTCACCGGCGCTGACACCCATGGGGAGACGCTTGCCGTCACGGTCGAGGAGACCGGGGCCAACGGCGAGGACCTGAGCCTCGTTCTGCTCCTTCACGGCAGCCTCGGGGAGGAAGATACCGGAGGCAGTCTTGGCCTCGGGCTTGATGCGCTGGACCAGGACGCGGTCCAGGAGGGGAGCGAGGGACTTGATGTTGCGGAGGACAGACTGTGAAGGGGACGAGTTAGTGAATATGTTTCTCAATGAGACATCCGGACTGAATTGGGGATCGCGCGCGGGTTTTCGGATAGCCGGACTCGGCCTGGAGGAAGGAAAAGTTGGGAGTTGAGGTGCTAGCATGCTCCGGGAGTTAAGGAAATAGGGAATATCGGGGTCTGGCATCAATTGGGATGTTCAACGTACCATTGTTAAGGTGAGGGAGATTCGTGAGAGGATGGGTTGAGGATGAGGATGGAGAAGGGAAGAAGATGGAATTGGTCCGGGGGAAGAAGATCTGGACTGGAGAAATTTCCAGAATGCCAAGACTTAACCATGAGCTTCTTTCCGAACAGCCCTGTTTTCCTTGGACCTCTTTGGTTGTCTCTGGATATAATCACTTGTGTTCTGTTGAAATATTTATCTCTTGATGTTTAGGTGTTATTGGTTCTTTCATTGACATGCCTAAGCCATCCTTCAGCTACATTGTATGCTGTACATCCATTCCCAACCTACACCTCTACTTCTGAAGAAGCTCGAATTCGTAAATTGTCCAGTACCATTGTCATTCCCTTTGTATGCATGAAACGCCGTGTGATCCCATTATTCCGAGGGTGAACAGTAATACGAATTCAATATCAAACTACCATCTTCGGCCACGTCCTCGGCCCCCGTAACCTCCACGTTGGTCGTATCCGCCATAGCCCATTTGACCCTGAGCCCCTTGGTTAAACCCTTGACCCTGGGGCTGGCCCCCAAAGCCAGGTTGACTCTGCTGACCCCCACCGGGCATCATCGACTGAGCGTGCTGCATGAAAGCCATAGGATCCATATTGGACGGGTCCAAGCCCTGAGACATCATGCTGGCCAGCATACCCTGCATCATATCGGGGTTCATATCCGGAATACCGGGCATGCCAGCCATGGGCGGCGCAGCACTGACTGGGGCAACGGGACCTGGCGCACTAGGCATCGGGGGCATTCCCATACCCATGAAGGCCTGCATATCGTCCATCTGTCTCTTCTGGCTGCTGACTTCTTGTCTGACACCTTGTTGCTTGAGACAATACCCTGCCCATGTGAACTCGTCGAATCCGTAGTTGAAGTAATCAGAGAGGTCTGAGCCAGGTCGGCGCCAGGGCTTGTCGTCGGATGGGAAGTCGGCATCCATGTCCGTGGACATGATAGGCTTCCCTGTCATAGGGTGGACGGGATTCGCATTGACGTCGATGGTGGAACTGTGGATGGCTGGATAGGCGGAGCCTGGTTTTTCTGAGGAGGGTCTTGCGGCCCCGGCTGGGTGTCCGGGAATCGGAGTCGCTGTTTCGTATCGAGGAATCGCGGATGGCGTCGCAGACCTCGCTAACCCCGATGAGTCTGCAGAGGACGGCCGTTGTGGTTCTTGTCGTAAGCTTGCATGGCGCGGGTGAGAGCTAGAAAGATCAGCAAGAGTGAGTGCAAGAAGCGCAATCACAGCGAACTCACGCTTCGGGAGCTGGTGCGCCTTCGGGTGCCTCTGTGATAATATTAAAGTCATCCTGCAGATAGAATTAGCAAGGAAAAATTGAAGGTAGGTGTGGGCTAAGCGCGTACATCATCATCTTCTTCTTCTACCTCATCGTCTTCTTCCATGTAATTGCTCTGCGGTTGGCCTGAAGCTGCATTTTGTGTATGGTTCAGCGATTGCGTTGTCGGCACCGCGTCGACCGGATCATAGAAGTCGTCTTCTTCTTCGTCCATAATTTCTGAATTTCAATTTGACGGGTAAATGCTGCAGAAAGTTGTATCAAAGAGGATCGAGATCGAAGGTTGCGCGCATGGAACCGAGTTTGTCTTGTTTGCAGCGGTGTGAGAGGTGAAATATGTGAAAGGGAGTAAACAGGGACCATGACACGCTTGAATGTTCTGGATTCTAAGATTCAGTGAATGCAAAGTAGCTTACAGATGAAGGATTTGATATTCTTCTGTTTTGAAAGCGTGAATACTTCTTATAATATAGTGATTTTGTAGAATATACAGAAATTCAAGATCACGTGCCAGCACCAGACGTCACAAACCAGCTCATCTCAGTAGCCAAACCTGAGCTTGTTATCTTCGCAATCCAAAATGGCAGAAGAAGATGAGAGTAGCACATCCACTCCACGGTCCTTCGCAGGCCAAACCGTCTCGGCGGAGGAGATGCTCAAGGAACAAACCGTCGGTCTTGTTCATCTCTCCGAATTTCGCAAGCGGCGCGCGGATGTTCTAGAGGCGAAAGAGCGCGAGGCGCATGACAAGTCTTTGGGGCTGCTGGCATCTGGTAATTCAAGAAGCGCAACTCCCTCTGCAGGCGATATAACTGACGGGTAAGCCAAGAGCCTCGATTGTCATTCCCATTTCTTTGAGCTGATCGCAGCGCAATAGGTCAACGCCTTCTCGCAGTGACGGTCCCCCGAAAAAGAAGAAAAAGAAGGCTTTCGCAAAAAGCAAACTATCATTCGGTGATGACCAGGATGAGACCGGGGAAGAATCCGCGACAACTCCACGCGACTCAAGCGTATCGCGGTCAGGTTCGAAAACACCCGCCGAGAACAGTACTCGACGCATGAAAGCAAACCCGAATGCACCCCCTCCACCCAAAGCTTTGACAAAGGCTGCCTTGGAAGCTGAAGCGCTCGCTCGCGATACTCTCCGTAAGGAGTTCTTGATCATGCAAGAGGCTGTTAAGAATACTGATATTCTTATTCCATTTGTCTTCTACGATGGAACGAGTATACCAGCTGGAGCTGTCAAAGTTAAGAAGGGTGACCATGTTTGGTTGTTCTTGGATCGGTGCCGGAAAGTCGGTGCTGAGATGGGCGTACGTGGTGCCAGCGGTGCATCCAAGGCGAAGAAAGACAATCGCCGAGAGTGGGCACGAGTCAGCGTCGACGACTTGATGCTTGTCAAGGGCGATATTATCGTTCCACATGTAAGTTCACCCGTCAGGATTCTCGGTGGTTAAGTATCTAGTCTAATGTTCCCACAGCATTACGAGTTTTACTACTTCATCGCCAATCGAGTGCCCAGTCTCTCTCGAGCTGGTGGTTTGCTATTTGATTATTCCAACAAACCCCCCATTACCGATTCCACCAATTCTACGGACGATCCGCTGTCTCGACCTAGTGACGATCAACTAGAGGGTGCAGACAAGGATTTCTCAGAAACCAAGGTCGTAGATCGACGGTGGTATGAGAAAAACAAGCATATCTACCCAGCTAGTCTGTGGCATGAGTATGAGCCCGGGAAAGAGTTTGAAGAGAAGATGACTTCAACACGGCGCGATGCTCAGGGAAATACATTCTTTTTCTAGCCCGCGGAAATTTATGAAAATAATCATTTTAATAGACAAATACCAAATGTTCTCTGTCCAAGTTGTTGTTCTATTGAAGATTTCCTTTGGGGTTGACTAAACTAACATCTACCAATGCTAACTCGTGACCTTCACTTCTTCCAGGGTTATGCTCTCCAACCGCATCCCATCTGCAACGACACCATGGACTTTTCTTTAAGATGCAATTCCCTCAAATGCCGAGCAGAATTGAAAGAGAAAGCAGTGGTGACAACCTGCTCGTAAGTAACTCTCTCGTGGATCAGCTTAGGCGGAAGACTGACGATTTCAGACACATATTCTGTCATGGATGCGCAGAGAGCCTCGGACTCTCTCGTCCAACCACTAGCAATCGGCTCTGTCCTGCGTGTCAAACGGCACTTCTTAATCCGGATGACGCTGTTTCGACAATCTTGAATCCGACGGAGGACTACAAAACAAGCGTGTTGAGTGGGTTAGATCCGAACACAATCATGGAATGTGCTGGTCGCGCACTTGCATTTTGGGCATACCAAAGCACACAGGAGATGTATGTCTCACTTCCTCGGTATAAAACTGTACCGTGGAATTGTCTAAGGCTGACTCGAGCAGCTTCTACCAGGAATACCGAGCGAAGACGCTGACGGAGAAGTACACCAACCTGAACACGCAGATGGACAAGGTCATTCACAATGCCAACACAGAGATCATGTCACTGCAGAACAAGTTATCTGGTCGGTCCAATTGAGTCCACTCTTACCTGGAGCTCTGACTAACATCTGTACTACAGACATGCAATCATCCCAAGAAGACCTCCAAAAGCAAAATCAGGAATTGAATGATATGTACCGCGACAAGAACAATAAACTCGCTCAAATGACCAATCTCTACAACCTCCTCAAAGCTCGTGCCATGCGGTCCCGGATGCAAACCGCAGCCTCGGACACAGTCTCCCAAGCTCTCTCATCGCTCAATGCTCCTGTCCCTGATTCTGCTCTTGAACGTGCCTCTGCCTCCATTCCTCTGTCCAATACCTCAACGTTGCCTTCTGTCCCGATTATACGACATCCCAAGACTCCCACATTTCCCGTCAACCCAGATGGAGTCGAGCAGCTTTATCGGAATCAACGGAGCGGCACTGGTAGTTCCAAAAGAGCAAGGAAGAGGACACCTCGCGGAGCCCCAATGCCTCCCCCTGCTCGGCCAGACTGGGATGGGCGAAATAGTATGTGTTGAACCAAGGTCTCCAAGACATGCCGGCTAATGTGCTTCTGACTAGGCAAAGGTCGAGATCCCGCTCCCCAACATCGGACTCGACTTCCACGAATTTCTCGGACTCCGACTTTCTCCTCGGAGTTGCCTCCTGGTGATGCTATCACGCAGCGGTTTGGGCGTTGATCGTTTATCTGTTGGTTGAGGTATTTATATGAATATGGAGCAGTTATTTCTACCGGTCTTCGACCAGGACCTTAGTCTTCGAGCTAGATATGATTCAGTTCATGGTCAGAAAGTAAAGGCCCTTATTTTCACCTACATAGTACTTGCATGACAATAAACAGCTTTCGTTTCAAGTATCGTAATCAAAAATAACCATTGTTAATTTCTCCTCGTTAGTTGGTTCTAGGATGTTTGACAAACAAAGAGCATTTGTTGAAAGCAAACAGACTTATATGCTCGACCTAGGTAGTAGGGCCTATCCAGGTCTGCAATCCCACACTCATTCCTTTCCTTTCCTCCATCACCATCAGCGTACCGGACCACACAACACCATGTCTGCAAATCGTCGTACGTTGCCCTGTTCATTTGCTAGAGAGTGTTTCTAACTTGCTATCCGCTTTAGCTTATCGCAGGCTCAAACCCTGACGATGCACCATTCGAGCTGAAGCCCTCTCCAGGCAAAGGATGGGGTGCTTTCGCCACAAAACGCATTGAACGAGGATCCCTGATCTTAAAAGAAAAGGCCCTTTTCGTGATTCAGAAGTCCTCTGTTGATATCACAGGATTGGATGTTTTTAGGGCCGTTATGGAACTCTCGCCCACGGAGCTGGTACAATCTCTACTAATTCAAAACAATGAGTCGGAGGAACCTAAAGGTTTGCTTGAGACTTTGTCAGAAAACTATTTTACCAGTGCCCTTAAGTCTATAGGGTTTTATACCCTTGGCTCGCGGTTCAATCATTCGTGTATACCCAACGCGAGGGTTCCAAGTGACCCAAGGCCGTTTATCGAACTTCTTGCCACCAAAAAAATCGAGGCTGGCGAGGAAATTTACTTCTGTTACTTCCCAGATCTCAAAGCTCAAACCAGACATGAGCGTCATGAATCCCTGGGGTTTGTGTGCTCCTGCAAAGCGTGTCTGCCTGGAACTCCGTTCCAAGGACTCAGCGACCTGCGACGACGATTGATTCGCGGAATACTCTACATTACGTGAGCAGTGGACCTGGACGGCCAAAGACAAAGCTCACAGTCAACGCTGATTGTCGACCCCAAGCTCAAAGCTGCTGCGGAAACCGGCAACATACCGCTTATGTCTCGAATGGTCCTTCACCTCCTGATGGTTGTCTTTCTCGAAGAGGAAGGATTGTTAGATGATTGGGCCGTCAAGGTAGTCGAGCAAGGAGCGGTGACACCGGTGTTCTGGTGCCAGTCAGAATACAACTACGAAATCGCTGATTTGGCTCTAGCCCAGGATACATGGCTGGAGAAACTGCAAGTGGCGTTTCAAATCTATGGACGAACAGATCCCGCTGATCAGATGATTGCCCGGATGATTCAACAAGCGAGCCAAAAGTACGCTGCCGGACAAGCTATGCCACCCTGGACTTGATTCTTGTTTCTGAGGTGTTTTCTTTTTTCTGCTTCGCAATGACAGTTGAGGCTAATGTTTTCCGCACGTGTGTTGAGGTTATTATTCTCATGCCTAGGGGATGTTGCATCATTTATGTAGAGCAGAAGCTCAACAGAGCCCCACCTACGTTTCGCAGTCAGAACAGTTTGCTTTCTTTGATCTAATTCATTTCCTTCGTAGATATTCTAGGCAGGGTATTATTATTGCCTAGAGGTACTAGTCTCAAAGATCGGACGTTAGTATCAGTTGATCTCTTGATCAGCGTACGATGGGTTTTTTTGTCATATATTCTCTACGTACAACATTGTCGTGCTTCGCTATTCCCCGGGGAGATCTAGCTGGAGAAACTTCGAAATCCAGTATATTCCACACTCTCTCCTTTCAAATCTCTCCCTCAAATACGAACTTCAACACAAGACCACCGCCAATGACTATACTATTCAATAAAAGAGGACTAATGAGCCCAGCAACGCTGAAAGGAACCCAAACCATATGCTGTTCCGGCTTTAACATCTTCGTCCTGAAATACCAAGGAGACGTAACCCCCAGCCATGTCAGGACCCAACAATAGCCAATAGTCTTCTGCCACCACGTCGGCAAGCCGATATTGTCCCGGGACCCGCGTGTTCGTTTCCAGAGAGCCTGGACACCGTCTTCAATTATATAGCCGATAACGAAAGAGAGGAAAAATGACATAGTCGCAGGATCCCGCGGTGAAACATCCCGCAGACTGTCGAGTACGACGTGGATCAAACCAGAGAAAAAGAACACGATAAACACGTTGGTGTATCGCTCCACAAGCGACGATCTGGGCAGACGGAGCACATCCCGCGCTAGGAAATTGCTAGTCGACGTGAGGGGCAGTCGTAGCATTTGATGCCAGAATTTTCTTTGAGAAGCATGAGAAATTGATCCAATCAAAAGAATAAGCATAAGAGCGACTCACCCCCAGAAATTCCGCAATGTATATACATCCGCCGTTCTGCCAATAATCGGCGGACTGTTCAAAGGAGAATCCCCCAGGCCGACAAAGATGATCGAAGCGACGCGGTAGTAGAAGCTGATCAGGATACGACACACAACGAGCCAAGCAATGGCAACTTGAATAAGAGTCTTTGTTATCCACTCTAGTCCCAGGATACCGGAAGAACTTGTCTTTCCTTCGTCTTGGTCATTCATGGCTTGTTTCAAGATCAGACCAGTACATATATCTAGAACTAGAAACTGCCAGACAGCAATAGCAGTTTCTCTAACCAAGAAGCGACCTCGTGGGATCACCTTGGGATCTCTCTTGGTGTAGTATGCCGGGAAGGGCGGGACGTTCTTCACTTGTCGGGGTGTATTAACAGCCCGCGTGAATGTGATTAACCGGACAGCCTCGACTAGACGAGGTATAAAGCTCTTGATGTTTCCATTTGCGTCGACGAAGTCGCGCCCGGCTTGTGGGTTGATCAGTAGAAGATCTAGTGCTGTCAAGACGAATGTTGCACAACTTGCGAGGAGATGGGTCGATGTGAACCCCCTTCCCTGAATTGGGTACATCGCATGCAACACGATCCATATCATACATGGTATAGACAGATAACGTATAGCGGACCGTTTAGGTGTTGTGATTAGGACAACCGAGGGAATGAGACCCTGGAGGACGAAGAAAGCGAGCAGTCGTCCGTTTGATTGATACCGGTCCATGGCGGATGGGGTTTAAAGAAAAGTGAAGTTATTTTTTTCCCCCTTTCGGTTTCATTTAAGGGCTTTATTGGGACTAGGATCTGTGCATGAGATTATCTGATTGGTGAATCGGAGTGTTCGCGCGGAGAGTAGATCCACGGTGGGCCCTAATTCCTCGGGCAATGTCTAGTGTCTATAATACTTTATCGATGTTCCTGGATCTTTGCTATTTATGTCGTACTATCTTCTATTTTCTTTCTTAGATAAGGAATTGCCGACTCCTACACTTCTAACATTTCTAGGATCGAAACCAGATAGCAAGACCATCTATAGACTAACCACATTTGGAAAGCAATCGTGGTGGCTGGCTGACCCAATTGATCTACATATCCAACTGACTTGGCTCAGACTCATAGATAGACGAGTATCCAATTATATTCTCTGTATTGATCCATTCGTGTTCACTACGGCCAGGGACAGTGTGTTATATATTCAGGGTCTAGGTTGGAGAAAGCCACCCCATTCCGTCGAGGCCGAGAGCTTGTGTGACGTATTAACAACTATTTCTCTCAAAAGAAGCCGAAGGGAGTAAGAGTGATGGCGAATTCTAAAAATGCCTTGGAGGGTTACACCCTAGTAAACTGCCATGCTGGCCGGTCACCAATTCAATCAACCTAGTTCGTTGCGATGAATAGTCCGAGTAGGGTTCCCATCTCATCTATAATCCCTTGAATCACGCAGTAATAATAAGTAATATTGACGCACATTGTCCCCACATTTCTCTATTCAAGGGTATAGATCGTACATTTTCAGCACATAGCCCTTGCATGCACGGTCGATCCCAGTCGCTGATCGAATGGCGTTCGAACTTTGGAGACTAGGTTTTGTCACAAATGGCAATGCAACACTCAATCTAGTCATATTCGGGATGCTTCTGAATATCCTTGATCCTCGCAACTTCGACCTTTCTTAGACTGTTCAATATCTGCTCGTTAGCGTTATCAAGGGTACTCACAGCGAAGTGGTTAGGAGATATATCTCACGGATAACAACATAGCGTACTGGGTGTGCATCGGTTGCTGGTGGTGATTGAACAGCGCCATTGAGTAATAATTGTATCACGTAGTCAGTTGTGGTAAGTGTCAGATACTACATTTTATATGATATCGGGCAAGATATATATTGAATCACAACTAAAAATGACCTTGTCTATGCACATAGGTTCATCTGATTATGTAGCCAGTACAGACATGATCCTGGCTAGCCCTTTGAAATATATCGAGTGACGATTCCTCTTCTCGAACAATATACCACATATAGAGCTCTGCCACTTCTACTTGGGGCCTGGCTTCTTTGTACCGTGGCTCAGGCACACGTCGCCCGTCAATATAAAACGAATTCTTAGAGCATATCCACAACAAAGAAACCTTCTATCAGTCTAACTGATCCAACATGATAATCCAATGGTTTCAAACCAGCACTCATATCCGGCCATGGCCGCAGCTAGACATAAATTACACGCGTAAGTGATGATACGCCAGAGCCGTCCACCACCTACAATCACCAACTCAACAGACAAGAAAGAGCAACCTACATGAAGAAAACGCATATTATATCCCATTAGCCCACTTCCCAACCCAACTCCAAGCACCACAGGCACTAATCCCCTTTGAATATAAGAACAAGTTAGCCCCCGTTCGTCCGATGCTTATCTTGCCCTAATCTCGGGGCAGCGGAAGTCGCGTCCACACCTCGGTATGGTCCCCAGCTCCAGCACAGTCCCTACTTTATCCACGGATCTGATCGCGGGATCTGAGGGCCCTGGCAATCCGGGGTGCATGAGAGCTTGTGTGGAGTCTGGTGCGGGAGCTTGTTTGTCTTTTGGGTCGTGGATGTGAGCTTATTCAAAATTACAGGTGTATCTGTATGTATTAATTACGCTGGTATTTTTGGGCAGTGGTTTGTCCTATTGTTGTGTTTTCAGATGTTTACTTTCGCATTGGACATGTTTTAGCTGGACGTATACAGTATCTGATCTACTGGCTTCATGTTGACATATAATAAAACTACAATGGAACAATCTGGGACAATAAATGCGTATCATTGATATTATCCGACGGACATCACTCGATCTAAATCCGCCGGGAGTGAACATAGGAAAATGAAATCTAATCAACGGAGAATCATGTACGTCGGCACCAGAAGGACCGGGTCTTGTCGCCCGGGCGGAAGTAACGCCATACCCTCAGCAAAATAGGACGCCGGGGTGACATCTACACCCGCAGACCTCCCCCGGAATCCCGCAAAAAACAAGTCATATCATGCCATGCATTATACCACAAACCGATGCAACGGACACACGCTGCAAAGAACAAATAAAATAAGGATTAAACTGTTTATGCGCCGAATTCCTTGATATCGGTCTTCTTGCCCTGGAGGGCAAGGGGGACGATGCCGCTGACGTGCATCTCGGGCCCGTAGACGTGCATGTCGAGGCCAAGCTCGATACCGACAGACTTGATGTTCTTGAGGCCCTCCTGGTAGTTGGGACCGGCACGGCGGACCCAGATCTGGACCTTGTGTTCGTTGAGGAGATTGGCGACCTCGCGGAGGGCGCGGATGACACCCTTGAAGGTGCTGGCCACGTTGGTGAAGTTGGCAATACCTCCACCAATGAAGAGGACCTTGCCCTCGGGGTGGGCAGGGGCACGCAGCATTAGGTCCAGCACGGTGCGGGCGTAGTTGAAGGTCTGGGTCTCGGTCGGGGCGCCAGAGTACTCGCCGTAGTTGGCCAGTTCGCTGACGAAACCAGCGGAGGCAATAGCATCGGCGTAGACAACGGAAGCACCACCACCAGCAACCAGGGTCCACACACGGCCGCTGGCGTTGAGGACGGTCAACTTGAGCGAGGCGCCGGTCTTGGCATCCATGTCGGAGATGAACTTCTCCTCCTTGGTCAGCTCACGACCGAAGGGGGCGGGGAACTCCATTGGCGGGCCAGCATCGATGCTGACCTTGCCACTGGTCGAGGCGAGGACAGGGGAGCCCAGGGCAGCGGGGCTGCGAGCAACAGCCCACTTGGTACCACACTCGAACTCAGCAGTCTGATCGAGCTTGGCGGCCAAATCCAAGAAGTGAACCTCGGCGGAGGTGGCGTCAGCGTTGGGGATGACAACCAGAGGGTTGATCTCAAGGTAGGTAAACTGGCAGTCGACGTAGACGGCGTACAGACGAGAGATGAAGTCAACTAGGACATTGTGAACACCCTTGGGGACCTTGCTCAGCAGGGTCGCGGCGATCTCCTCGTTGGAGGGGTACTGCTTGAGGTTGACGGGGATCAACAGCTTCTCGGCCTTAGCATCGACATCACCGACATCAACACCACCCTCGTGGGTGAAGAGGATCCAGTCGCCCTAGAATTGGGTATTAGCTTCCATTTCCTTTCAATTGTGCTCGAAATGCGGAGAAAGCTTACCTCACGGACGGAGTTAATGTTGATGTAGTATTCAGTCTCCTGGGGGTGAGGCACGAAGGGCTCCACCAGGAATTGGCGGAGAACACCAGTGACAGTCTCAACCTGGACATCCTTCGTGGCACGAGCCTCAATCCAGTCCCGGGCCTCAGCCCAGGTCTTGTTCAAGGCGAGCAGACCGCTCTTACCCCGACGCTTGATCAATTGATCGGGTTTGGCGACAAACTTAGCACCGGGGGTCAGAAGCCAAGGGAAGGAGACCTCCGCCTGGTCAAGGACATCCTTAACAGCCTTATCCTCGGGGAAGTGAAGGGATGCGAGGCGGGCAGGAGGGTTGTGTGTTGCGGAGGCAGGGAGAGGAGTGGGCTTGATCACCGGGGCGCGAGTGAGGTGGTAATTGAGGATGGCCTTGCCGTCGGCCTCGAGGATAGATTTGGCGGACATGATGTGATGAGATTATGGGAGATGGGAGATGGGAGAGAAGAAGAAAGGATAAAGAGGAGTAATTGGACTGGGAGGTAAGAAAGTGAGAGGGAAAAAGGTGGGAATGTACTGTAGTGTACGGCGTACACAAAAAAAGGAAAAGTTGTTCTGGAGATTACAGCGTACAACTCGGCCGGTCCCACCTGTTGAGGAACGGAGATCGAAGGTGGGGAAAGGTCTCGTTGGGAGGTCTCCACCACAATGTTACGTGTATTGAGAATACATGCGAGGTACTCCTGGTGGCGCCACTGGTGCTACTGACTATGAGGTATATCCGGAGTATACACTTGACTCCGATTCCGTTGAGTCGAGAGACTGGGATGTCATGACTTTCCGGAATCGGGTCTACACGGATAAACTTATGATAGATAGTACATAACGGTACATAGTTCGAGTTAATATTCAATCAGATTCAGTAAGATGGGAAGAAAAAGACTACATATACTATATATACTATCTTATTCAAGGTAGAATATAACTAACTATACATACGTATACACATGGATGTACTATCGCATCAGGATTCCAATAATGCCCCCATACTCCAGATAGCTTCGTATTACCTGTACCATAATACCATACCGGTGGGTACGGTATCGTCCGAACCCGGTACTTTCGGGACTGCCAAGTGTTGAGCTGCTCGAGTCCAGCGGTCTGGGACGAGCTGTACGGTGTATCTGCGAGTACTCCGAGTATCTCACCCCGCGGATTTTTCTCAACAGCTTCTTCTCCTTCTCATCCTCTCCTGTGTTACCTCCTCCCCTTCCTCCTTTTCTTTATTTACCCTAATTTCGCATCGAGCGGCTTGTTTAACGCATAAAGTGAGTAACTTCTTTTTCTTCCCCCTCTTATCCATTGCATATCCACCATCGAAACGGCCTTCTTTTCAATTGCCTGCACCATTGGCCAATTGCCTCGCAATCCAACTGGCATGCTAATTGAGACCTAGATTCACCATGCCCTCCCCTACTCTTTCCGCTGGCAACGGCGTGCAGTCTGCCAACGACAACATCACCCGCTTCGCCCCTCCTAGCCGTGTCCTCTCGCCCGCCCTACACAGCCTTTTCCACAACAAGACACGATGCTTCGTGTAGTAAGTCATGCGATTCTGCTCCTACAATCTCGAAATAAGAGACTGACCAGCGATCAGTGGTATGCAACCCCGAGCCGTGCAGGGCATGCTCGACTTCGACTTCATCTGCAAGCGTTCGACTCCTTCCGTAGCGGGTATTATCTACACCTTCGGTGGCCAGTTCGTCAGCAAGATGTACTGGGGTACCAGTGAGACCCTTCTCCCCGTCTACCAGGACGTTGAGAAGGCCATGGCCAAGCACCCCGACGTTGACGTCGTTGTCAACTTCGCTTCTTCTCGCTCCGTCTACACCTCTACCCTGGAGTTGATGGAGTACCCCCAGATCCGCTGTATCGCTATTATTGCTGAGGGTGTGCCCGAGCGTGTAAGTTCTGCCTCTCCCCGTGTGATCTCGGATGTATTGCTAACGACTATCAAAGCGTGCTCGTGAGATTATGGTCATCGCCAAGGAGAAGGGCATCACCATTATTGGTCCCGCCACTGTTGGTGGTATCAAGCCCGGTGCGTTCAAGATCGGCAACACCGGTGGTATGATGGACAACATTGTCGCCTCCAAGTTGTACCGCAAAGGTTCTGTCGGCTACGTCTCCAAGTCCGGTGGTATGTCCAACGAATTGAACAACATTATCTCCCAGAACACCGACGGTGTGTTCGAGGGTGTTGCCATTGGTGGTGATCGTTACCCCGGTACCACCTTCATCGATCACTTGCTCCGCTACCAGGCCGAGCCCGAGTGCAAGATTCTGGTGCTGCTCGGTGAGGTCGGTGGTGTTGAGGAGTACCGTGTGATTGAGGCCATCAAGAACGGCACCATCACCAAGCCCATCGTCGCCTGGGCTATTGGAACTTGCGCCAGCTTGTTCAAGACCGAGGTCCAGTTCGGTCACGCCGGTGCCTCCGCTAACTCTGATCTCGAGACTGCCGTTACCAAGAACAAGGCCATGCGTGAAGCTGGCATTCACGTCCCCGAGACCTTCGAAGACCTTCCCCAGATTCTCAAGGAGGTCTATGACCGTGAGCTCCAGAAAGGCAACATCGTCCCCGCCCCCGAGCCCGTGGTGCCCAAGATTCCCATCGACTACTCCTGGGCCCAGGAGCTCGGTCTCGTCCGTAAACCCGCTGCCTTCATCTCTACCATCTCCGACGACCGTGGCCAGGAGCTGCTCTATGCCGGTATGCCCATCTCCGATGTCTTCAAAGAGGATATTGGCATTGGTGGTGTCATGTCTCTCCTGTGGTTCCGTCGCCGCCTGCCCCCCTACGCTAGCAAGTTCCTCGAGATGGTTCTCATGCTGACCGCCGACCACGGTCCTGCCGTCTCCGGTGCCATGAACACCATCATCACCACCCGTGCTGGCAAGGACCTTATCAGCGCTCTCGTTTCCGGTCTGCTGACCATCGGATCGCGTTTCGGTGGTGCCCTGGATGGCGCCGCTGAGGAGTTCACCAAGGCCTTTGACAAGGGTCTGAGCCCCCGTGACTTCGTCGACACCATGCGCAAGGAGAACAAGCTTATCCCCGGTATTGGCCACAAGGTCAAGTCTCGCAATAACCCCGATCTCCGTGTCGAGCTCGTCAAGGAGTTTGTCAAGAAGCACTTCCCCAGCACCAAGCTGCTCGACTACGCTATCGCCGTGGAGACTGTCACCACCTCTAAGAAGGACAACTTGATCCTCAACGTCGACGGCTGTGTGGCTGTCTGCTTCGTTGACCTCCTCCGCAACTGCGGTGCCTTCTCCCCAGAGGAGTGCGAGGACTACATGCGCATGGGTGTCCTCAACGGTCTGTTCGTGCTCGGCCGCTCCATCGGTCTTATTGCCCACTACCTCGATCAGAAGCGCCTGCGCACCGGTCTCTACCGCCACCCTTGGGATGATATCACCTACCTCCTCCCCACACTGCAGAAGGGTGGTGCCGAGGGCCGTGTTGAGGTCAACCTGTGATTTTGTTTATGACGTTTGCAACGCCGTCCGCTGGCATATAGTCCGTCCGTTCAGGACGGTGGAGTTTGGATGGTTCATCCCTTGATTTTCTTTTCTTATGTTTTCTGAGCAGTTATGTGTATCGATGTACCTGCGTTCATGTGGCATGACCAAGTTGACAGGTTGACACTCAAGAAGGGTGCAACCAGGCTATGGATCTGATTTAATTCGTTTGCAGTAGATGACTAGACCTATTTGGGAAATAATGAACGTGCCATTGCCGCATAGATGTTTTCTGCGTAGTCCATAGCATTCGTTATGTTCAGGGGAAAAGACTCCCCGCTAGCTACTTGGGTATATCTACCGCCGGCCGCAATTTTCAACCATGCCAAAAAGACATAAAAAGAGTACCGAAAAACTACTATCATTAGTTCAAATAGGCAACTAGAAAGGCATTTAGATGGTGTGGAGGGCCAGTCGAGCAGTCCAGATAGTACAATACATTGTATAGCTTCCTCTCCAAGAGTTACATAGCATTATACATTGTTGAGCCGCTAGATTAAATATTGGATTGGGCTTACCTATATAGATACTGCTCGTAAGAATATGAGCATCAGTGCTCCTAACCATCGGTGCTCTGGCCATTCAGGCAATTTGCCATCCTTCAGCTACCAAATCATCGAGAGTAGCACTAAGACAGTTCATTCCATCAAAAAGATGGAAGAAGCCGGTCACCCCGCTGGTATCGCAGCTAACAATCGGTGCGCCGCAGATACCTTTAGCGATCACTTCGTTCACAACTCCCCAAGATGTCTGGAGATTGAATGACCGCCACTGTGCGAACGGAATTTTTGGAGAGCCAGACACGGGTTTTTCCTTCATCATTCCATATGATAGCAAGTTCAGTAAGCCTGAACTCATGCCATCAACCTCGGCCCATGAGCCTGCCCTGATATCTTTTCCTTCTAACAACGTCTTAGGGGGTTGTGCTTGAAAATAGCAGGTGTTCTTAAACTTTGTGGACGCGGTAGAGGTCGGTTTAACGAGGGCCACATCTAGTTCAGGTCGTATATTGATCACATCTCCAATTATTTCCTGGTGGGTATCTAGATGATAGACCTCCGAGGAAATGGGGAAGCCGTGATAAGCGATACTTAGGGCCTCTTCTCCCCTCGAATTGCGGAGTTTTACTCCAGCAGACGAAGCACGGGTCGTTGACTCATAGCCGGAGTCTGATAGGCTATAGCCAGATTCGATTCTGTGTCCAGGAGAAAGAAATGAGTACTGAAGATAATTGTGAGTGTCTTGCGGTAACGGTCTCAAGCTAGTCTGGGATTCAGCTGGATCAAGCTGTTGGCCTCGGGTAAGATTCTTCATCTTCTTATGGAAGGGAGCTACTGCATGGTGATAAAGAGCTGTGCGTCCAGCAACAATCCCTGGAAGGGACTTGAGTTCATAAACTCGGGAATCTCCATACTCAAGCTCAATGATAATCCATGAAGGCAGATACATAACAGCACGTACATGGGCCAACGGCTCCAGTGCTTCGAGAAAAGTGATATTATCTGCATCTGTTGGAAATTCCATTGCTGGCCAGCGTAGATCGGGACAAGGGTCCGGTAATCGTGGATTAGGATAAGGTGCTTTGGGCAAGGGCTCAAGAAAGCTTTGATTGACTCCGACAAACATCACCGGCATGCATCCTAGTGTAAGAGGAACCGGCTTCGGCGGGTTATCGGTCGCAATGCATATAAACCAACCGGATAGAGAGATCTTTCCGTCGCCAAACTTCTTGCTAATCCACTGGAATTCCTCTTTAGTTGGCAAACGATATTTCCGGCCAGTGTCGTCCCACAAAGTAAAAGGAGCTGTGTCATTCATATGTCTTGGCCCCCAACCACCTGGGTTCTGCCATCTTCTAGGCTCTGGGTGTGCATGTGAGACAGAACTGATATTATGCGTGACTGATCGGACACGGAGAGGGCTGGTAGCAGAATCGGTGTAGATGTCTACCCATGGAGAACTTTGCTGTATTTGTTGAACAAGAGGGGATGATCGGGTGTAAACAGCCATATTGAAAAAGATAGGTGAGTTTTGAGATGAGCAGAGTCGAGACGAGAAGAGTTGACGTGGATATTCGAAAAGGTATATGCATGGATATCTATCCATCCTAATTAGGCTTAGTGGATTTTTGGTCACAGCTTCAAGATTAATCCACCTTGACATAAATCTACTCAGCAACTACGTCTATACCCAGCTCTCGCATAACTCAAAAGATCCACCAGTACCCTATCCGTACTGCTTTTCAAGTTTCGCCTCCTTTTAACCCAACCCGAACCCAACCCACGTCAACACCACCAACATAATACAACCACACCAACACCGTCATGGTCCGCCTCAAAAACCGCTACCTCCTCGTGGACATTCTTTACCCAGACCCAAAAACCTGGCCGGCAACCCCAACATCAAAACCGCACATCCCCCAACTAGCAATCCACTCCCCAACCTCCGACGCCCTAACCCAAGGCTTCCTAGCGAAAATGATCCGCGAGTCTGTCGCAGAGCTATACGGCGACTGGGGGATCGGAAAGCTAGGCGGTGCCTCCGCTGGCGGAATAACGAGTAAGTTTTCATTCCCTAGGCCCTCACATCCAACTCCCCCATCCATAGAACCAACCACTAACCACACCATATAGTAAAATACCTCTCGCCAGCAACGTCCACCGCTATAGTACGGTGTCCGCGCGCCTCCTTCCGCCTCGTCTGGTCGGCGCTTACGTACATGTCCGGCGTTCCGGAGCCGGCGAATGGCCAGAAACGCGCGGGGACGGGACGTGAGCGTGGGTGTGTGTTCCGCGTGGTTCGGGTTTCGGGGACGATGCGGAAGGCGGAGGAGGAGGCTATTCGGAGGGCTAGGCGGGAGATTGTTAGGGTTAAAGAGGCGGAGGAGAGGGGGGTTCTTGGGGGGTTGGTTGGTGGGTCTGATGTCGTTGACTGTGTTATGGACGAGAGTGAGAATGAGGGGATGGATGATTGAGATTGTGTGAGGATGAGTTTTACTGTACATTTATTTTCTTTTAATGAGATACCCCGGTTTTTGGTGCGTTAGATTATGCATGGTTATTTTCGGCTATTATACATTTATCGTATCGTATCTGACGTTTAAAACAGCTCGGAAGTCATTGGAGCAGGATGATTACTTGCGGTGCACCCGCACGCCACTGTCTGGCATATCCTTTTTCCACTTCTCCAACTCCTCGTCGTAGTCATGGCCGTCATCCTCGTCAGGTCCGCCATCCACGGCACCCGTCGCTTCGACCTGGCTCGCCGCATTGCGCACACGAACTTCCTCCTCTAAATCCATCTCCTCCTGCCGATCGTATTCATCCTTGGCATCTATCCAGCGCTCCTGCACATCACGCACGTCTGTGACACCCATGCCCTCCCGAACAGCCACTTGCCAGACAGTATCGTTGGCGCCCTCGGCGGGACCAAAGGCATACCCGGATGCACGGTCAATAGCGCGCAAGAGACTCATCATACTCTTTTTGTCTTCGACGGCCAGCGTCTCGAAGGCAACGAGTCCGAATTCCTCGACCAGATCGATGATAGTCTGGTTCAATTTGCCGAATTTCTCGTGTGAAAGTCGTGAGGACTCGCTTTCCAATTCTGGGAGTAGGTAGGACAGGTCTTGTACTTCGGTATAGTAGTCTAGGTTGAAAGGGAGTGGAGCGTAGTTGGCAAGGTTGTCGATTTTGGTGAGGACATTTATGTGTGGGAGGTCGAGTTGGAGCATGGCGCGGAGGGAGAGGAGGAGGGCGGATATGTACATTGAGGGGAGGGTGAGGGCGTAGGAGTCGACGAGGTGGACGACGATAAGCTGTTATGAGGAGTCTGGTTAGCTGACTTTCCTTTGTGTTCCGCTGGAAGATTTGCTGCCACTAACCCGGATGCCCATCTTCTGGATTTTGTAGAAGATGTTGCGTAATGAAGTATGATGTGTAAATAGCTCAACTTGACCAGGACAATCGAAAAGAATATAATCCTCTGAGAATTCATCAAACCAGTCAGTAAATGTATGCAGCCAGGACATGTCAGACATACCACCAAGCTCCTTCAGCCCGTTTTCCAACCAGTCAAAATTATTTTCGAGCTCTTCAAGAGCATATAAGACACCACCGTTCGGACCCAACTTGTCCTCTTCCATGATGTCCTCTAGCCTGACTAAATCACGTACGTCCAGCGCGCATGGATATGAAGTCTTGTCGTTGGCGGGGTCAAGGTTGACGACAGAGCATTTCCGGCCAATTGCGCCCAGGAACTGATGCATACCATTGCAGTATGTGGACTTGCCAGCGCCCGGCGGACCAATCACCAGCTGGGCAAAAGGCATCTTATCAATATCACGAAGATGTGAGGAATTGTGTTTGTGCTAAAAGCAAATGATGTCAGGACGTTCTTTTTTCCTTATCGATGTAGAGCGGGGAATCAAAGGGCGGTGACGATGGCAGAAAAGAAGACGGTTAAGGGCCCCGGGGAGCTTGGGTGTTGATCTTCTGCAACTCCGCAGCTCGCCCAAGATGACTTCTCGTGAGTAGTTCTCGGCGTTGCTTTTTGATTTGAATCATGTCTAATTTCTTGTCGCAGATCAATTCACTTTGGCTTCCCCACCTACAGATGCTATCTCGGCCTTGAAGTTCTCCCCAGACCCCAACTCCGCGCGACTCGTGGTTTCCTCATGGGATAAGAACGCATATCTGTATGACTTGCGGGATGAGAATGGAAAATTTGGAGAGGGAAAGCTATTGCAGAAGTTCGAGCACCGCGCTCCTGTCCTGGACGTCTGCTTCGGTGAGACCGAGAATGAGATCTACACAGCTGGACTGGATTGGGACGTGAGGAAGTGAGTTGTTTCCATTGGGTCCTGCTACTATCAGCACCCCGCTTGTAATCCATGGAATATACTAATTAATCAGGATCGACCTCAACACCTCCGAACAGACCGTGCTCAGCAGCCACGAAGCTGGCGTGCGCCATGTCCTATACAGCCGCGAGCACAAGCTCGTCATCTCCGCCTCGTGGGACTCCACACTGCACATTCACCAAGCCGATACTGGCGCAAACCTCGAATCCCTGCCGATTATCGTTCCCCTCCCGTCTAAGCCATTCTCAATCTCCGCAACTGCCACGAAGCTGGTCGTGGCGATGGCATCGCGCGCATTGCACATCTACGACCTCAAAGCACTGGCCCTTCTCACCGCAGAAGCAGATAGCGCCGACCCAAGCAGTAATCGAGTTGAAGTTGAGCCCTGGCAGCGCCGTGAGAGCAGCTTGAAGTTCATGACCCGCGCCGTCGCCTGCATGCCTGATGACGCTGGGTACGCCTCGTCTAGCATTGAGGGTCGTGTTGCGGTCGAATGGTTCGACCCGTCGCCTGAATCTCAGGCCCGCAAATACGCTTTTAAATGTCACCGCCAGACCGGCGACGATGGCGTGGACGTCGTCTACCCTGTCAACGCATTGACTTTCCACCCTATCTTTGGCACCTTTGCGTCCGGCGGTGGTGATGGTGTTGTTGCGCTCTGGGATGGAATCTCTAAGCGCCGTATCCGTCAATATCAGAAATACCAACATAGCGTCGCAGCTCTCGCGTTCAGTGCGAGTGGCCAGCACTTGGCCATTGCAGTCAGTCCTGGATTCGAAGACGGCCATGACGAGGTCCCCGAAGGCACAGTGAAGGTTTACGTTCGGGAGTTAGGCGAAACGGAGGCCAAAGGCAAGAGTAAGAGCGCAAAATAGGTCCAGGCGAAATGGCCTTTTCTTGATTCCATACTGAAATGAAGCGTCTTTCCAATGTTGATACCACACGCGAAATCCAATTAAAAAGAAATTCCAAAACACAATCGCAAGCTTTTACTAGTTAAATTTAATCATGGCATTTTTTTCCCAAGGTTTAACAAAAAAGAAAATCCTGGTATCATCTACATTATTTACGTAGTCTAGTCCAACCACTAGACATCGGCCTTGCGAACAGCGACCGTCCCATCAGCCATACCGAAGTAGGCCGCGACAGGCCGCTGACCTCCAATACCACCGGCAGCAGTAGCTTGCGGGCCGGTTTGGCCTTGGAAAACACCGACCTCAAGCACACCGGTAATCTCCTTGATCTCGCGAGCCAAGGTACCAACCTCCCACACACCATCCTTGCCGCTACCGTCCTGGCCAGCCTCGATATCAGCCTTGATCAGCAATGGCTTGAAGGGGGCATCGATAATGAAGAAACCCTGATCGGTCTTGAGGGGACCTTCCTTGGCGCTCGCGGATGGCCGGATGGCCGGGTTGATACTGCCGAGTTCCTGCAGCTTGAGGATAACGCGGTGGGCGGCGATCGGGGCAACCTCGATGGGGATTGATTTCCAGTTTGTAAGGAGACGGGGTTGGAGCTTGCGGTGATCTGAGATTGCGAGCGTGGGTTAGTAGGGGGTTATAGCAAAGAAAGAAAAAAGAAGAAAAAGTGTTGGCTCTACTTCCGAGCATCCCATACCCCCGCAACTACAATGCAAATGCAAATAAAATCATATTAGACCAGACCAAAACTTACCAGCAACACAGATAAACTCCTTAGCCTGCAAAGCGACGATCTTCTCCTGGAACAAGCATGCACCGCCGCCCTTGATGCAGTTCAGATCCTCGTCGACCTCGTCCGCACCATCGAACGCCACGTCGAGGACTGTTCCCAGTGGAATGGTGTCGTACTCAACGGATGTTAATCCGGCTTTGACGATCAGTTGCTTGGACTGGTAACCGGTTGGGATGTACTTTGTAGCGGAGGTGTCGACGCCCAGGTTCTTGATGGCCTCGACGACGTACACGATAGTCGTACCACTGCCGATACCGACCCAGCGGGCATTCTTGGGGTAGTGTTTTTCGACGGCGACCTTTGCGGCGGCGCGCTTGGCTTCTTCGACGGCAGACACGGTGGACATGGTGGATTGGAGTCTTTGAGGACTTTGCAAAGTGCTGTGAAGTAGTGTGGGGATGGTGGGGAGGGTAAGTCTACGGCAGAGGAAAAGAGGGGAGATGAGGGCTGGTTGGATCATGGAATCCTCTTTATAGACGCGCTTTATAACGGAATTGGTGGTTTTTGAGGGGAAATGAAAATAGAGGAGGAAATGGAATTAAGCAAAAGATAGAATCTATAGTTATCTTTAGTTTATGGCCACTATAACGTCACGTTACAGGTTGTGCGGTTTAGCACTTGCAGGTATTTTTTCCCCTATAAAGTCCAGGCCTAGGCATTCAATAGCATTGATCAAGGTTATATGTAATATAACCGAGTATTATTAGTCGTGTGGTATGAACAACAGGAAGTATAAGTCCACATCGGATCAAGTACCCGAATAGTATACTCTTTATACCGACAAGAATGCCACAATATATTTACATTTATAAAGTAAAACTCCATTGAATACTATAGCAATGAACAAAGCAAGGGTAAATCACAAATAAACATCCTTAACAGCATGGAAGCTGGCTATATCTGTTTCCCTCTGGCAATGACCTCATTTCATCATCTAAGAACTCCAAGCTAGGGGTCGTAGTAGTTGGTCATGGATTGGGAGTAATCTTCCTCGCAGCGGACAGAAACCTGTCTATATACAATAAACTAGCTATGGAACAGACCGTCAGAACAATATCAATGCCAATGAGGCTCTGCGTGTCAGCCTGGATTATCAGGCCACAACACGCGCTTACCTAAATATAGTCGCGTATCAACAAGTCGACATCCACTGCTCCATCATTTAGGAACTTGCATGATTGAAGAGCAAATACTGTAAGCAACACGAGAAGCATCACATACCGATAGACAGGCAATGTTCTGAGCCTCAAACCAAAGCTCTATCACCTCCCCCGCACTACTATCCACCATGACGGATGCCTTCCCCGCCGCCCTGACAGGGCCAACCTCCAAGGAGCGCAAATATGATCGCCAGCTCCGCCTGTGGGCAGCTACTGGCCAGCAAGCACTTGAGGACTCTCATGTCCTGCTGGTGAACTCAGATGGCCCTCTCGGTCAATACAACACTGGTGTCACCGGTGTTGCCGGCGTTGAGACACTCAAGAATCTCGTACTGCCTGGAATTGGCGGTTTCACTATCGTCGACCCAGCAATAGTCACCGAGTCTGATCTGGGCGTGAATTTCTTCCTGGAAGAAGGGTCCCTGGGCAAGTCCCGTGCAGAGGAAACCTGCCGACTGCTGAAAGAACTGAATCCAGACGTGGAGGGACATTACTATCTCAAGGTGTGATTTCCCATGTCTCCATGTCTCCAAAAGTAGATGATCATTGACTGACTTATAAAACAGCGCATCGAGGAGCTTCTTGTAGACCCTGACTTCTTGCCCCAGCACATGCTGGTGATTATTTCCGGTCCAATGAGACGCTCGACCCTGGTACCTCTGACCCAGGAAGCAAAGCAGCTAGGTATCCCCGTGCTGTACCTGCACTCAGTTGGGTTCTATTCCACCTTCTCTGTGCAATTGCCGGCTGAATTCCCCATTGTTGAGACACATCCGGACCCAGAATCAACCCAGGACCTGCGTCTGCTAAATCCCTGGCCTGAGCTTGTTGCCGCTGCAGCCAATCTGAACAACCTAGACACTCTGGATGACCATCAGCACGGCCATGTGCCCTACATACTTCTCCTGCTTCACTTCCTGGAGCAATGGAAACAGTCTCACGAAGGCAACGCACCGAGCAACTACAAAGAGAAAACCGAGTTCAGAGAGTTTGTGCGGTCCCAGACACGCACTTCTAACCCAGAAGGCGGCGAAGAGAATTTTGATGAGGCAGTCGCTGCTGTACTTAAGACAATCGCGCCATTCAGCCTACGCAGCTCGATCCGTGAGGTTTTCGACATGAACCAGTGTCAACAGCTGTCAGCATCATCCCAAGATTTCTGGGTCATTGCCTCGGCCATCAAAACCTTCCACGCGTCTCATGGCGTCCTCCCCCTCCCAGGCTCCCTACCAGACATGAAAGCCCAGTCTGCAGACTACGTCTCACTACAAAACATATACAAGGCCAAAGCGCGACAAGACGTGGAAGAAGTGACAACAACAGTGCGCCAGCTTGAATCCAATCTCAGACGCCAAACTTCCGCAATCCCAGACCGAGATATCGAAGTATTCTGCAAGAATGCCGCACACATCAAAGTCGTGCTCGGCCGCGATATCCCGCAGATAAGTATCGACAGCGACGCGTCAACACTGAAAACCATCCGCAACGAGCTCAACGTCCCGGACACCCTGATTCCGATATTCATCGCCACGCAGATCCTCGACTCGGTCGTGGACGAGATCCAATCGAGCGGCCATGAAGAGGACCGCTCTGTTGACGACGACGGGCTGTGGAACAGCCACACCGAACGGATCCTAGCTCTGCTGACTGCGGCGGATGGATCGGCGGTTTCTCAGGAGGCGCGCGTGCAGATCGCCAGCGCGATTAAGGAACTGCGTCGGGCTGAGGGCGGCGAGTTGCATAATATCTCTTCTTTGACGGGGGGTTTGGTTGCGCAGGAGGCATTGAAGGTGATTACCAGGCAGTATGGTCCGCTTGATAATACTTGTGTCTTTGATGGGGCGAGAAGTAAGAGCGAGATGTACAGGCTGTGATTTGGGGATGTAATTTGCTATGGATGTGCTAGATGATTGCATGGTATGCAAGACTCCAGTCACTCGTCGAATACGGGGGAATGTTACTCAGAGAATGTTATGATTTATGATTCAGTGATATTGTGGTTTTTAGATCTTGATGAGTAGTATCCGACTATGTAAATTCCTTGGTACTTAAATGGCCCAGAAAATATGTACCAGCTGATAAGCTTGGGTCATTCTTCTAGTGAAAATGCTAAAACGATATATAGATCTTCACTCCAATGTGTAATCAGACCGAGCTCAAAACGAGAGCTATCTGTTGAAGTGCGGTGACCAGTGTAGGCCATCTTCGAAAGAAGAACCCCAATTGCTCCAACCACCGCGGAGAGCATTTTCAGCTCTCGCTGTGATCCACACCGGACAAGATGACATGAGGTGGATATACGGGCCAGATCCATAGTATGTGCACGATTCTAATACACAAACGGCATTGCCGCTGCAGGCTATTGCTGCCTTCTCTCCAGCAACGGACTTGTAATCGACCAAGGCATGAATTGATAACCCGAGTCTCTCAACGTTTCCTCGACTTCTGATTCGCATAATTCCGCTTATGACCCTGAGGTCCACCCTTGTTCTCATAAAGCTTCTCCTTCCCGAACGCCGAATCAGCAATTCGCAAATAACTGACTACACCCTGATCGACAACAGCCATGACGACATTGCGGTATCCATGCCGCAGTCTCATGTACATCATACGGTCCATTTTCTCCCCACGCGGAGGGTCAAGTGGCGTGCTTTCGAGCAAAGCACCAAGTTGTGTCATAGTGGGCATGGTAGTTTGGTCGCGTGTGCTGACGACCGCGATGCGGAAGTCTGGAGTGGGAAGCGCGGACTTTTTGATGGGAGTTGAGGGCTTGTAGATGTGGAATACGACGCGGAAGGGTGGTGTGGTATCAAAGGGGTGTCTCTCGGGCGCGGTAACTGGGTCGTACCAGGGTATGATGGCGAGCTTGCGGTATACATCCACTAAGAATTTTGTCAATAAGGAGAACTGAGGCAATTGCGCGGAGATAAATGTGTGACTCACTGTAACTTCGGTGAATGCCAGTGCCGATTATAGGGCCAGTTGCCGTAGATGCCGTTGAGTGAGGGTCATGAATCCAGTTGAAAAGTGATGCAAGCATACCAGCCAGACCGGGGCCATGTATTTTGGGCGGTGTTATTTCACTAGAACCCAAAGCATCTGCATCCTGCTGCTGGATGTCGTCGCACCATCCAGGAGCTCGGACGAGCGCATAACCCAGGCGCTTGAGACCAGTATAAACAGAGTACCGTTCTAGCGTCAGACCACCGCGGCCCATGAAGCACGCATATGCAGCCTGCAAGCTCATAGGGACGGATAGGTCTTCTGTAGACCCCGAAGGGCTAGGCCATCTGATATCCAGACTTCCTCGCTCAATTAGATATAAGGCTTCCTCTGGCAACAGCCAGATACGACTTGTCGAATCTGCCTGGCCCATTGTTTTAAAGAACTGGCCCTTCGGATTGGGCACATAGACACATGCGTCAGGCGATATTCTGGCAGAATTGGGCAAAGGCCTCGCGGGTTTGGGGGTAGACTCCGAGCTCTTTCCATCTTCTCCGCTAGCTTTCGGTGTCGCGCGATCGATTTGAACTGGAGGAACATACCCGTCGGGTGCGTAGAAGGCTATGATGCGAGTTTTGGCACCGTGAAGACGGGGGTATGAGAGCGCATTGTGCATGGCCCCTCGCGAAGCGGAGAGTACATCGGCCTGGAGTTCTGTCGGGTTGGGCTCAAAGTCTTTTTCGCCGCGGCGCGGGATACTAGGGGAGGAATCGGCAAAACTGTCGAGAGATTGAATGTAAGCAATGGGTAATTGAAGCGATTGACAATGGAGATTTCGCCATGTCGGAGAGGTGTTCATACAAATTTAAGTGGTTCAAGAAGCGGAAATCCTGCGTCTCATCGGACAGGTCAATATCAGGTTCTGTCGAGGCAGTTGCAGGTGCGCGAACGGCATCCTCGTCTGCGTCTGCCATGTTGAATTGTTTGCAAAGAATAAATGAGAGGCTAGAATTTCGGAGTCAGAGTCGGAGATCAGAAAAGTTGCGCTTATCGATAAGCGGGGATCTTTTTACGTCCGGCAGAATAATGTCTATGGCATCAACGTTCAACACGTTTATTGAATTGAATATTCCTGATGTGGGTATTTAAACTCGTCATTGGACAATCTTGTATGGGTTGATATTCGATTGTTCAGGAGTCAAATCCTACCAAAGAGTGTGACTGCTCACAGCCCTTGCCTCTCAAATATAAATATCGAGCCCATATTGCAGGTGCCCTCTATTGCTTTTCTAACATCACAACCTGACTGCCATAGTCACCTTTGAAAGGAAATTGCAGACCAATATTCATCAAGGTTCCACCGGAGTAAACCACACCCCCGTCAATCTTATAGGAAGCCTGCGCATCCAATCCCTGCAACCTAACGCGTGGCCATGAATGATCAACATTCGGAGCGAGCTGGAAGACAAACAACACAGCCTTCTGACCATCTTCGGCGATGAACAAAACAGCAGGCCAATTCGAGTCCTCTGGAAGGTTCAAACGCCACATATCGCCAGTAAGGACAATGGGGTTCACCTTCTCAGCAAGAGCAATGAGACCCGGCAGAGCCGCCTTGTCCTCCGCGTTCATTACAGCCGGATCGAGCTCCAAGCCAAACGAGCCAGCCATCATCGCGACATGTCCGCGGACAGCCACCGGGACTGTGCGGCCAGTCTGTTGGTTCGGTACTTCGGACAGGTGAGCACCCATCGCGCTGGGCGGGTAGGCGAGCGAAGTACCAAGCTGAATGGAGATGCGATCGATTGCATCTGTGTTATCCGATGTCCAGATCTGAGGGAAGTACTGCAGAACACCTGGGTCGAACCGGCCTCCGCCCGAGGCGCAGCCCTCCCAGAGGATATCAGGGAATTGGGTTGTTAGTTCATCGAAAACACGGTACATACCGAGAATATAGGCGTGGTCTGTGGCCGGGGAAGGCATCTCGTGGATACCCCTGTTGTTGTCCCACTTGACGTAACTGATATCTGCACTCTTGAGGACGTCTGAGACGGACTTGATGATGTAGTCTTGGACTTCAGGAAGAGCGAGATTCAGCACGAGCTGATTGCGCCTTTCGGTGCGAGGGTAGGGTCCTGCGTGTAAGGCCCAGTCCGGGTGCTCGTTATACAGAGTCGAGTTCGGATTGACCATTTCCGGCTCGAACCAGATACCGAAGCGCATGTTCGTTGACGAGTTAGCTGCTTTCAGGTCCGTGATATTCTTCACAATCGGCCCCAGGCCGTCTGGGAACCGGTCAGGGTTTGGGATCCAGTCGCCCAGTCCGGCGTCGTCGGAGAGACGTGGATATTCCCGGCCAAACCAACCGTCATCCAGAACAAAGAGCTTGGCACCTACTTCGGCGGCTTCCTTTGCCAAGTCGTAGATGCTACTCTGATTGTAATCGAAATACAATCCTTCCCAACTGTTCAACAACGTAGGACGATCACTGGTGGCAAACTTGCTCTTGATGAGATGCTTGCGGTACAGGCGATGTAGAGAGCGTGACATTCCGCCGATGCCATCCTTGGAGTATACCGAGACACACTCGGGAGAAGTAAGGGTTTCCCCGGGCGGCAGATTCCACGAGAGCTGGCTAGGGTTGAAACCCAAAAGGGCACGCGTGAAGCCCTGCGAGCCCTTCTCGACATTCACGGAGAATGAACCAGTGTACACAAGCGAGAATCCCCATACCTCTCCGTGAGACTCGGTAGCGGAAGGCTCTGTCAATGCCAGGAAAGGGTTATGGAGGTGAGAGGAGTAGCCAGTGGAACTTCCAAAGCCTTGGGTGCCGTACGTGACCTTTTTCCTTTCGCGATGCGCTTCCCTTGCCCAATCACCGCGAAGACTTATCATGTCGAGGTCCTCGAACGGCAAATCCACGCTCAGACTTGCCAGAGACTCGATTGTGATATTTGCCTTTCCGTGATTCGTGATATTCACGCTGCGCACAATGGCATCATACTTAGGGAAAATCGAGTAGGAGAGGTCTGCACCAACATCGCTGTACTTGTCATATAGACTGATAACCAAGGTGCTCACATCTTCTTCTGTGCCCGTCGTGGCTGGCAACCCAGGTAGAGCAGGCTTTCCGGGGATGATCTTGTACGATTTGTACTGGAATTCAGACACGGTATACCCTTGTGACTGACGAATGCGAATCGCAGGGGTCCTGAAATCTCCTCGGCCTTGGTCTGGGAACTCGCGGCGTACACGTCCGATATAACCATTCCAGCCATGGACGTCGCCTACAACTTCCAGAGGGATATGAGCTCCGACAGAGCCGCCGAAGTGGTCTCCTAAGAGATCACCAGTGGTATTGTCTACATGGATGCGGTATGCAACATTATTTCCATTGAGAGCAAAGGAAGTACCATCTGCCACGATTGCTATAGGAGGTGGTTAGGTTTAGGAAATGAGAAATTAATAGAAGCACAGGACTCACGATTTGTGCTTGATTCTTCAGCCGTAATACCGGAGGAATGCGCAAGGAGAGTAAGACATGTGGCCACAACACCCCTTGATAAGTGAACCATTTTAGCTGTGCTGCTGGGAATTCAAACCCAAAATCAGGGAAACTCATACCTTTTTATATCTTTTACCCCGACATGTTTTACCCCAGCATCAAAGTGGGGCATTGCAAGGTTGGCTCGGACTATGTAGATCTCAATCAAAGACGAAGGAGAATGAGTCTCGATTGCAAAGCACCTTCTACCAGCCTGCTGACTTAACTATAACTAGTGAAATGCTGCTTAAACAACTTCCGCGATACCTACAAGTATACGGAGTATGTTGGAGTATATGCTGGGGGTCTTTCTTGTGAAATCGTAGATGCGGAGGAACCCCGGGGATACTCCGTGTTGCTGGCAGTTTTGGACGTCATTCATTGGCTTGGACCTTTCAATTCCGACGCAGTCTGTTACTCCTCAATCTTGGCAATGCTCTTTTTGGTTTGGAAAGAATATGCAGTAACGAGGGTCCTCGACCCGAAGTCGATCGAACCCGAACGGTGTGTCCTATAGGAGAAATGCTACTTTAAGTACAGGAAATAGGCCACTACAGTTATAGAAGCAGCAGTAAGAATGATACTGACTCGTTGAGGAGCCACTAGGTTCATGTAAGCACCCTAGCGTTTGTAGTATTAGTATTTATGGAGCAGGCGGTAGAGTAAGTACGTTATGAATATTAGTGAGGATAAGATCTAAGCTATTGAAGTGATTCAAGAGAACAAACACAGCAAGAAACAAGGAATCGGTCAGATTTCCAAGCCGCCTGGGCCAGATTAAAAGCATCATCTCGCATTGTGATCGCGGGGAAAGCCATCGGCTCATAGCATTGTGTATATTTCCAGCCTTTTGTCGAAAAGCAAACGTTTCTTGCAAACCTCAATGTCGGGGGTCCTTGTCGTCTTGATTAAGTTCAGACTCCGGATCTCTGTACATGCCATAGAGCCATAAAAAGCCGAACAATGCTAGGAAAAATGCAACTTTACAAGCTATCGGGTATCGGTCAATGAGGTTGGTGTAATTCTCAATCTCAATGATGACGAAGACGACCACAAATAATCGGATGCAACCTCCGACGATTTTTTTGTACATTTCGGGCTTGGATAAGAGGAGGGAGCTTTCTCAAGAGGCTAGATGAGTTGATTGAAAAGCGTAGAGTAAAGACACGATGTCAGAAGGGACAAAGGTAGCTAAAGCAGCCCCGAGCTTAAGTGGAGAGGGAGCTGGAGGTGGCCCCGACGCCCGGCTAAGGGCGATTTGCCTCTTATAACTAGGCGGTGACGAGAGCGGTCAGTTGGACATATATGCCCCTCACAAAGTCAAGCTATTTGATTTCGAAATATCAGGTATATTTGTTGGATGATATGAGATGGACGGAAGAAGTCAAGATCTCGTGGACTATAACGAAAGTTTGCGCAAGGTATATCGCCCAGTACAACTACGAAATGCAGGAAATAACAAAATATAGATATCAAACAGCCTTGAGAATGCCCTGAAGACCTTTGGACCCTCCTCGAGGCAGTACCAAACCATACTTGAAATGTTGAAAGAATGTCTTCGGGACATTGAGAACGAGAGCCAGAAGAGCAAAGCCCGGGTGGTTGACGGAGACATGCTAAGCATTGCCATGGGATTTCTGGAAATTGGGAAATAAGCTGCATGTATAATATAGGGTGGTGATATAAGGTCGTGGTCGAGGGGGATAGGAACCTGGAAAGGCATACAAACTAGCATAAGTATACCCTTGTGAAGCGATTTTGCATTCCAAAAGACAATATACACAGCAACGAGGATAGATGATTCCTGAAACCATAGATCCATAGCTCCGTATATCCACAGATTAATAGGTACATGATTCCAAATGGATACAAATTGTATCACTATTTGAGCAGATGCTTGACTGGGTCTGTGCGAATGAAAGAAGCACCAAACGGCTAAAAGACCGAATACACGTATGCAGCGGGGAGACACTGGAAAGAAGTCAAGGGAGGCAAGGAAACACTCGACCAAATCTCCAAACAAGTAGCCCAAACACCCTGTAATCCCCGTTTTGCCCAGACAGATAAACAGCGAACAGCCAGTTTCCAGGAATGCCACGCAACCAACTCCAAAATGTATGCAATCGTAAGACATGTCATGATATAGCGTGGTTGCGGAGGAGCCTTCAGCCTCCGCATCAAAAGTAATGGCAACCGTCGGTCCCCGTATGTGGGATTACCGTCCAGGAGCTCCGGTATCAAGACGGGGGGAAGGGAGGGATTTATTAAATAAGTATCATCGTTGGTACTGAGGAGTTGGATCATCTCCATCTCAGTCAATCAATGGTTTCTTCTGGTTGCCGACGATAGCGGCGCCTAGATGGCTGAGGGCGTTGTGGTCGTTTGGTCGCACAATTGCTGGAAGAGGTAGCATGGGGTTGTCCGGGTTGACGTGGGCGGCATCTCGTGCGGCTTGCTCGATCGCTTCCATTTCTTCTTTGCAGCCGGCATGGTCGAGGGGGCAGACCACAATTGGTTGTCGAATGGTAATGTCTCTTGCCGAGGTTAAGTGAGCCTGCTGTCGTGTGAGTATTGGGGAAATACCAGGGAACTAGGGAAGAACTAACTCGAACTGTGAGGTAATACTCGATTTTATATAGACTTGCTGTGGTTGTGAAACCGCTCACACCGTACGTTGGAAATGCCGCCCTACTTCTCGGCAAGATTCCTTCTGCGTCGCGGAGGTCCTTGGCGGGGAATACCAGACCAAGGTTTGTCAAATAGCCCGATTGGGGCAGTTTAACACCAATGTTCTCCGTTTTCTTAGCTAGGACCTTGACTTTGCGCTGAGGCTCATCGCCTTCGTGGTTGTAGACAATTTCCTCGTCGATGCCAATGGTGATCTTGTTGATGGTCACCTTCCGCGCCTTGCCCATCCAGCTCTCGTTCGGTGACAGCTTGACATAGACGCTCACGGGGTCGAGAGGACCGTAAGACCACCGTGGCAGTGATATGGCTAATGTGACCAGATGATCTGATACGCGCTCTGCCGACTCTGGACGATTGTACATGCCGAATGTGGAGAGCGTGTCGTAGCGGGCGATAGGAACGGGAAAGGTATATTTGTGCTGCTGCTGCTGCCCTTGTTGGACCATCACCACCATCTCGTAGTAGGTCTCGGCGGTGCGACTCGGGAGCTGTAAACTAGCTGGGGGTACACGGCGAGAGGCATCGCGGCCGCCACGACCAAACGGAATAAAGAGAACAAAGGGCAGATCCATAGATATTACCTCCTCGTATTCTCGGCCGGCGGGACATCGAAATAGGAGCATCTCTTTTCCGACGATATCGGTGATCTCTTTCCGCGGGGGAGCCAGGCGCTTCTTCGTAAAGGTGTCGGCCGAAGGGTGGATTGTCTCGCGGCGGAGGAGGGAAATAGTGACGAGGGAGATGTTGACGGGAGCTGTAATACCAGCGCAGGGTCTGATTTCAACTTTACCCTCGATTCGTGGCTTGGATAGTCAGTCAATGAACAATCAATGGGGCCGCGTGCGCAGGGGGCCGAACCGGCTCGTCGCATGTATCACAGGGCGCTTACCATGGTCGCAGAAATGCCTGGGTATCCGATCAGGAAATTGCCGTTTGCCGGCCCTGATACGCGCACAAAGGCGGCCATCTCGAGTAAGCCGTGTCTGTCGCACCATAGACATGCGGAGGTTGGTCGGGTTGTGGGGAATATGCGAGTGGACGGATCCTTTCGCACGGTTCATAAGGGTTCGGTGGGTTAGGTGAACTGTGTGAACATATGGATTCCTCGAATGCCGGAGGTTGGAAGAGGGCGACAAGGGTAAGTTGTCCAGAGGTCTTGAGGCTTTGAGGTTCGAGATAGGAGAGGTGAAGGGCTTCCAGAACGTACAGTGGCTGTGGGTGGGGAAAGATGAACTGAGCCCCCCAACAGCCACGATTGAGTTGAGCCTCCTTTGATTTATTATTAGGTTCTTCTGTATATCTCGAGAGGTCTAATATGCTATATATACGACTATTTAGGAAGATCTACCCGATCTCGAATTTCTACCAGACGTAATGGTTATCGGACACTGTTCGCCCAGTTTCGAATGTCAATGTCATCATCGTCATCACACATGGTAAATCGATAAACAATAAATCTTAGCACATCCGCTGTGGATTTATACGCCAATCGATGTATAGTTTATATAAAAAATATAAAACGTCCCAATTAAGAACCATGGAAGGCTAAATACCGGGCCTTCGTAGATTTTTCCCTTGGTTGCTAGTGCAACCATGACATCGCCTCATTCTCCACCTTAACTTCTTCAACATTGCATATCCAATCTCAACGACAAACCACCACATTATTCTACATTATGCCTCGTCGCGCATCAAACACACCCAGGTCGCAGTCGACACTGTCCTTCGGAGCCCGGGCCCGAGTCACCAAACCAGTCACCGCACCATCCCACAAAGCCAAGGCCCTCGACTCGACTCCAGCGCTCTCCGACAAATCTGCCTCCACCCCAGAGCCCCAGCAGCTGTCCGTCACCCCAAAAGAACCCTCCAAGCCCCATGTCGCAGAGCTAGCGGTGCGACAACAAGCCGCAGTCGAACACCAAGCGCCCCGATCTGAAGAGGACAACCGGGCACTGAAATTGAACAAGCAGGATATCTGGCGATATTGGCGGGCTCAAGAGCAGGCCCGCAAGACACCTAGTGGTAAGTGGAGGTTGGCACACAGGGCGTTAGTATGAATTAAAAGGCTCATTGCGCTCAACAGCCCACCAGCAAGGCATGGATGTGGAGGAAAAGATTCTCCGGCATTTCGATCTTTCCAGCCAATATGGGGTATGTGTCCGGGTCTCTTTTAGAATAAGTCGTCTAACATATTTACTCTCTCTTTAGCCCTGTATTGGAATTGCTCGAGTCAAGCGGTGGAGACGCGCTAATCAGCTGAAGCTCAACCCGCCCATCGAAGTCCTTGCGGTTCTTCTCAAGGGGAAGGATATAAGCGAGCGAGCATATATTGATGAATTGTTATCCTGAGAACATATGGGACCGTGATTTGAACTGGCGTTGACATACTTGCATGGATCGGGCGTTTGTGGGGGATATTAATGAGATACGAATGACCTATGGGTATTCATAGAAATGATACCTTCGGCGGTCATGATTGAATTGAAGATCTTCTGACCCCCAGCTTGCCTTTTGAGGGACACCGAGCTAGTTCTGACATTTCTCTACTAGAAAAGCCGTGGTATGCCTATAGTCACTAGGATAATATGGCTGCTATTCAGTAGTGGAAAATAGGGCTAGGAATAAGCAGGTAATAAGCTAGTGATTTGAGGAAAATGCAAGTAGGATCTTGCTACAGAAAATTGAAGCATTTCGAAAGAGGGTATCATATATGAAAGCAAAACAAAACAGAAAACAAGGGAGATTCTCACTACCTCAAAAAGGCTGCCCGCGACTTTTCGCCAGCGAAAGGAGTTCCATCGGAGCCGCAGTAATTTGATTCTGCTGGAAGGCTTCGATGTACGTATCGTAGGCTTCGAGAAGTTTTGGTCGCACACCTCGACCTTCTGCCATTCACGGGTTGGTATCGATATATCAGCCCGTAAATTGAAAATCTTTACGATCGAAGGGGAGACATCGACAAAATCGCGGAGTTGCTCGTGGGAATACTCGAACGTCAAATGGTAGTGCTGATAGAAGAAGCATTTCCAGATTTCTGCATGGGCGGGGTCAATCATGAGAGATCTAACTCAGCCCCACGTATGAGGATACTTTGGCGAGATTGGAGCTTGTATGACTTTTGGAGCTGCTGAATTTCATTCTCAAGCCGCTGCATGCCGTTCTTGAGGTTGCTTAAGTCCACCTGGACTTCACCTAGGCTTCACTCAGACTTCACTTAGACCTCACTTAGGACTCACTTAAGCAAAAATTGTAAATGTAACATCTAGTGTATGTTTTGGAAGCCATAATGATAGAGAAGGTGGATGCTAAGATAGAATATGCTCAATGCCTGAATATGAGTGTGGTATGAATGCATTTTGATTGGTCCAGAAATAATAAGCTTGCCATATTGGGACTAGTGTATCTATCCAGTCACATGATAGGATAATTACTTATGGGGGAAACCCGGTCACGTGATACATACGTAAGACCTTGTGATTTTGTAAGAGTATACATATGGTAGGTGGTCAACACAATTGCAGATGTAGAAAGACTGTAGAGAGTTATGTTCCGATGGTCCATTTAGTCGCCCGTAACAGAGTCTCGGTGGCGACGCTAACTAGGAGTCGTGTCTCATGTGATCGGTGCTTTTGTATTTTTGTTCCTGATTTTGCTGCTTTTGCTGAACTCTCTTTCTTATTGACCCCAACCCCACGCTACAAATGAATGCTAGTGTGCTTGGCACTGTCTGTCAAAGTCAAAGATGATGTATCTGGTCCAGTCTGCGTCTTGAGTCGGCCCACCCCCGCTAAATGTCTCACTTGGCAAGGCCAAGGCCATTTTCTTAGGAAATAACAGGAAATGGTTCACTTGGAAGTAACATTTAAACCCTGTTGCCACTGGGGGTGATCGTAATATGCAGGTACAATATCTCACGATCGAGTCATATTTCAGAGAATGCTAACGTTTCGGTAATCTTTTCTAGTTTGTGATTCTCTATTAAGCCCAATGAAACTCAGAAAACGCCGGGATGTCTTTGGGGCTACAATGTACAACCCTGTATACCCATAAGCCCTATATTGGACAAGTTCTGTAGCTCACAAGGTTGTTGATCGTGGCCTGAGTTTTGACCCTTTCCATAGCCTTGATGGCGCCGTGTGTTACCCCAAGCAATTTCAGACAAGATATATTATATTGCCTTGTTTATGAAATAGCGTCGGACCAAGTCCCAATGTGGTATAGTTCGATGCTACCCTCTCTCGGGCCCTGCCGGGGTCCAACCGTCTTCCCCGGATTTTCCTAATACTATGGGGTTTGCCACCCCATTGGTCTTTTTTTGCGAATCTTTCTGCACATTTATTGCTTTCAATGCTGGCAGGCTTGCGTATCTACATATGCTGGAGTCATAATTTATAGCCAATTGACGAAAGACTTTGGGTAGTGGGCAGTAGGAACGCTGCACAACCACGCCACATGTACTCCGTACGGAGTACTGCAACCTGTACTCCGTACCGTACCGTCGTCCATCGAGGCCACTAGCAGTCTGGCCCGAGATGTGGAAATTAAACCCAATGGCCCTAATCACCGTATGACTAACCGCAAATGGAAGTGTACTACATACCAACGTCGCCACTGGTCCAGTCTTTCCGGTGGCTTTCTCGTTCGTCTGATCTAGTCTCAACTTGGCGATGCGCGCATACGTACGCTGTACGAGACAATAGCACCAACCCAATCCTCGCTCATTGCTCAATCGGCTGCGGGAACCCATTATCCGGCATCAGCCTTCAGGCTTGGCTTTGAACTCAGCCAATCCGTGGTAATTACAGATCTGAGTCAACCGCGGCCGAAGCCTGCTTTCGGTGGATTGCCTCCCATTAAGCATGCGGAGACATGTGATGGTCCCACGCGCCAGCCTCTGAGTGCAACCTTGTCACAGGGGTATCTCCATGGGGCAGGCGGAGTATATACGACTGGCAAAGCTTATAAAAAGGGCATCCAGCTCCCCAAGTCCAGACCTGGCTCCTCTTCTCAACTCATCCGCACTCGCTATACAATACTTGACTGTCTTTTCCGGCACGCCATTCATAATATCTTCTATTTTTTAGTCCAATTCATCAAGATGAAGTTCTCCACCACTCTGATTGCCTTTGTTGCTGCCGGTCTCGCCAGCGCCCAGCTGCCCGATGTGCCCGCTTGCTCGGTACGAATAAAACTGATGCATACATGACAAAAATATGGTTACTAACACTTGCCTCTAGCTGAGCTGCTTCATTTCTGCCCTGCAGAGCGATGGCTGCTCCGAGCTGCTCGACTTCAAGTGCCACTGCCAGAAGACCGAGCTCGTGACCAGCATCACTCCTTGTGTTCAGAAGGCCTGCGACCACAGTGACCAAGTCTGTATGTTAACACCCATCTACTTGCTCCCCTTGATCCAAACATCCCACTAACTCACTCATCCAGCTGTCTCCAACGCCGTCGTTGGGCAGTGTTCCTCCGCTGGTCACCCCATCTCGGTCCCTCCCGTCGAGACCAGCGCTTCCTCCACCGTTAGCGCCAGCACCTCGAGCTCTGCCCCTGCTGAGACTACCGCAACCCCTACCGCGTCTGCCAGCGAGACCTCCAGCGCCGTTGAGACCTCCTCTGCTGTCGAGACCTCGTCTTCCGCTGTTGAGACTTCCTCTTCTGCTGTTGAGACCTCGTCCTCGGCTGTTGAAACCTCCTCCGCCGTTGAGACCGAGACCTCTTCCACCGGTACCACCGCCACTGGGTCCTCCCCCGTCGGCTCCTCCTCCGGCGTTGCCACCTCCACCCCGCTAGTGACCAAGACTGGCTCATCCTCTGGCGCCACCCCCTCGCCCACCTACACTGGCGCTGGTGCCAATGTCAAGGGCAACATGGCTGGTGTTGCTGTCCTCGCCGCTGCTGCCGCTTACGTCCTGTAAATATATCTATACCTAATATGAGGTTGTTCTCGGTGTTTTCGCTCGCTTGTGCTGGCATAGGATTTGTTTCCTTGTTTGCTAGCAGGGCTGACCGTGCGAGACCCCTGAATTAGTTACCTCCCTGTATAGTTGACACGCTTAATACAATGCACGTCTTGTTTTACCCCTTGGGTGAAATGGATGTTTATGATTTGATCTCTGTTGTCTGTTTAAATATATATCCAAACTAGAAACTCGAGTTCGGTGTCGTCACTAAGTATGTAAGATATATATCTCCGAGAAACTTGTATTACAGCGCCAAGGTCTTTTCACTGCTGGGGCGAAACTAGAAATGACCTTTGATATTACACCAATGCTAAACGACGAAAACAAGAGATCCTACTTTTGGCGTTATTCCATTTACCAAATCCAGTCTACGAGATCTTTACGCGATGTCAGTCAATTAAAGTCATGGCATGTAATTCCTTATGATCGAAATATCTTGAAAATCATCACAGCAAAGCAGCGAGAGCAGCAGCAACCATAGGCGCAGCCGTAATCATAGCACCAGCGTGTCCCGCAGCACCACCGGTCGACTTAGTCGTCGTAGCCGTCTCAGTGGTAATCGACTCCAGGCCCGCGGTGACGGTCAGCTGGTAGTACGAAGCCGAAATCGGGGCAGTGGTGTAAGTCGCCTTGCTGGAAGTAGAAGATTCGACTTTCGCACCGTCGACGCTTCCGCTCATGCTGACACTCATCGTGCAGCTGGCGGACTCGGTCGACGCCTTCAGGGAACAATGATACGACTGGGAGACAGTCATCTCGTAGCTGGAGGTCTTGTCCGAGGTAGAGGCGATGTATTTCCCATCGAGACTGACTGTCTCCGGGCCTTGAACGATGGTCCACGAGGACGGGTAGTTGCAGTCGGTCTTGGGCGCGTCCTTCAGACAGCCGACGTGATATGTGGCCGTGCCGGATTTGTAGGCGACGAGGCTGGCGGCGGTGCTGGTCCAACCGCCATACTGGAGAAGGCCTGCGTCCCAGGAAGGAGAGAAGTAGCCGATGATTTCGCTGCTGCTGCTGCTGTCCTTGGCTTGGGTGCCGAGGGTAGCGAGAGCTGCGGTGAGGAAAAAGGAGGTACGCATGTTGATGTTTTGGACACACGGTGAGGTAGGAAAAGAAAGGAAAGGTAGAGGTGAAGAGAGATGGAGGTGCAAAATTCAATTGACGGACGCACGCGCCCCTTTAAATGGAAAAGAGTCAGACTATTTAGTTACCTAGCGGCTGGAATATAGCGAGGTAGTATACTCCGAGCCCTCATTTTACAAAGCTCTCTCATTGGCCTGTGTCCGTACTCTTTGACCACTCATTGGATGTTAGACCGCTGTGGCTTACCGAAGCCATTGCTAGCATTCGGCTACATTACTAGCGTGATACAGGAAATGATCGTGAAAAAGAGGCCAAAAACAGGGGAAAAGAGATATCGAGTGGTCCTTGTGTAGTAGACATAGACTTGGTAGTCAAACACAGACTTCTATTCACCTAACGTTCACAATTAGGGTCTTCGCGATGCCACTGATCCCTGGAGGCTCTTTATTAAAATTCGGGAGGACCGTCGGACCCATAAATATCGCCAGGACCAGCCAATCACCTCGCTACCCACAAAGTATTCTCCACTAGGGGTCCTCTCCCGGACCTTCCGCTCGTCACAGCTGCCTAACCACGGAGGAAAACATACACTACGGAGTACGGAGTCCTCCAGGCTGTATTGAAAAAAAAAGAAGGATATGGAGAGATGCCCACATAAGTTAAAACGTACGACTTATTTCAGACGGTAATCCTGCTTTGGAGACGTGAATCCTGTTTTTGGTGGTGACTATCCACCTACTAGGGTCCTGTCACCGCTACCTCCGAAAAATAAACGCCAGCACACGCCCAGCACAATTATTCCTGAGACCTTCCTTGCTTTTTCTGCGACCGACAGCATGGAGAGTGACTTCACTTGATTTCTCGCAGGATGGATGATGCCATTTAAGTGCCAAGAGCGGATATCTCTGGGGCGAATAATGTCTTCCGAGGTCTTGTCCATGCAAGGAGATGGATTGTTACAGTACAGCACATTGCCATCTCCTATATTTTGAAGTGAGAGACATTTCGATGCCAGCCTTATTCTCCCTCGTGACGCCCTACTGTGTTCTGTCAATAGCGGAATTCCTGCCCAACGAGCTTCTCACTCAGCTTCCATAATTTTTCAGCTTCGACCTTATCCGTAGCCCAGGGCTTGATGGTATCCGTCCAAGGATCTGCTACATGGCAGTCCTGAAGATATGCACCTTTGTGATCTTTGAGAGAAATCAGCATGTACATCGGTCGAATGGGGGTCGTCGTCTCACCTCGAAGGCTTGGCTCAAACGCAGCATACACATGGGTCGCCGCTCCTTCTTGGGGACTTTTTTGTTTGAACTCCAGCCAGCCCTCCTTATTCCCCATAAATTTATCGACAGCGCCTAGGGGAGATTAGCCATGCGGGATTTCTGAATACCTTTGATAATCACTTACGCAATGCCGGGAGGTCAACAGTCCAGTCGAGATCCTTCGCAAGGGTAGTGCCGAAAACGACACCAGGATGCAAACTATACGCCGTAAGGCCCTTGGAACCCAGTCTTTGCGCAAGATGGGTAGCCATCAAGATGTTGCTTGTCTTGGACTGACCGTAGGCAGCCCACTTGTTATAAGTTTCACCATCCTGCAACTCGCCACATTAACACATTAGATATGCAAGTGGGGAGCGAAACTGCTAGCCTACCTGGAAGTTGTAATCTCCCCAGCGGATAGGACTGAGTCGATGACCATCGCTGCTAACATTAACCACCCGCGGCGATGGAGAATTCAAGATTTTATCCATCACCAAGTTGGTGAAGAGGAAAGGGCCGAGGTGGTTCGTGGCAAACTGACTCTCGTAGCCATCTGCAGTGAGCGCAAAACCAGTAGCCATAATTCCTGCGTTATTGACAAGGATATCGATATGTGGCAGATCACTCCAGCTGTTAACCTCCGACGCAGCTTGGCGGACTGAAGACAGCGAGGCCAGATCGAGCTGCAGCAGCCGGACTGAGACTTGTGGAGATACAGCGTTTATTGCGTCTGCTGTTTGCTGCAACGTAACCGTGTTGCGTCCCGCCAGGATTAACGTGGCCGGCTTAGAGCGTGCGATCGTCTCCACGAAGGTTGCTCCAATGCTGTTCGGAGAGGGTCCAGTCGTGAGAATCACCTTGCCTTGGATTTCGGCGGCGAGATGATCGACTAGTTCAGCGGCCGTGGTGCTTGCATTGTACGTGGGAGCCATTTTCTCTCCTTGTGTGAAGTTATGCCTGAGTTTGGAGAATGATTTCGTTATATACGGATTAAGAGAGTGAAAGTAGAGTGAAAGTACTCCGTAGTAGGTACCTACTCCATAAATAGTCAAGATAAGATAAGATTTGTAATCAGATACCTGGTCCACCCGCCAAGGTTCCCAAAAACCCGCGACGATAACTAGTAGGTAGTTACCCATGTACATTACTTTGTTTGGTCAGGACGGCGGCAGGTGGGGCCAGTTCCGCGCCAATGTAAAAATCCGTGATCTTAGAGCGGTACTTTCTTCCCACAAGGTATGACGCAGGGCTCCAGCTTCCACAGAGGACGTAGAACGCCTTATAGACCGGGAACCAGGGTAATCCGTTGGCCTATACAATCATAAGGGGGTCCAGAGGCACACGGGAGGTACGAATATCCCTGTGTTAGTCAAAGTCAGCCTGAAACCGCGAACTTCTTTAGTACAGTGTCATTTTGTATGAGCAGTAGAAAACGCCCTCGTCCGTTAGGCGAACGTAAGATAAAGCGAGATGGGATTTGTGCTTGAGGTTGTCCTAGTAGTCATGAATTGAGAAATGGAAAACGAACCATGTCGCGACGGTAGGCATATCGATCTTTCCGCCTGATAAAGGGCCAGGTCTCTTGCCGTTACGCTGGCTATCAATTGGGTGAGATATATTTGCCTTGTCCTAACGTAAGGTATACAGGGAAGATTCATCGTAAAGGCAGCAGAGTGCGAGTACGAAAGTTCGCTCGGTATGGAAGGCGTATCGTGTGATATTGGTTCTTAGTACGCGAGGTAACCTCAGCCTTGGGTTATCTGTAGTCCATCCGTCCTTAGGTAGGATAAGTGCCTCCCTAAGCAGGCCCAGGTCACTTTCATCGGCTATATCATCCGCTAGTGAGCTGGCATCGTACTCGGTAGCTGGCAGAGGGTCATCATTGGTATCGGTACCGTCAGCAGCTGTAGTATCATTTACGGCCGTAGTGTCCACGACACAACTTTGAACCGGGAACATTCGGTTCCGGGTCTGCTCAACTCGCGACCCTGCCTTGATGGAGGTTCCAACCCGCAGACATGCTGCATAATTTTGTAAATGACCGAGATGATTTCGCAGGCGTCTGAATGCCAGTGGTATGTGTCTTCAGTGTACTAGAACATATATTAGCAGTAAATCCCAAAGTTCTTATAAATCTCCATTTCATACCTTTCCATCGTCACGAAGATGAATAAACCACCACGCATTATTTGGTTTCCACCATAGCCATATTGGTGGCTAGGTTCCCAGCCTGTCCAAACCAAAGAGAATAGTCCACGATGCCGGAGATTATGATATTCTTCTCTCCGAGAACCCACTTGCACTTGATCGCGAATTCGTATTGCAAATGGAGGGAGTTAACGGAATTGATACTAGAGATAGACACAATAGATTTGGTCATATCGGGGATGGTTGAACTCTCGCTTCAAATGAACAAGAGCTTTTATAATGGCTTACAAGAAGAGAGGAGGAAGAAGAACCTAAGGACAAAGTGAAGATTTAGTAAGAGATAACTGAAAAGAATACTAGATTAAGTGTTGGGACTCCGATGCGAGATCAACTAGGAAGTAAATGAAGACTAGGATGTTATAGGAGGCGGCATCGAGTCATATCAATAGGACCTACAATGGTAGTCTCTCATTTGGCCGTAAGACCAGGAAAGATAAATAGAGAGTAAAGATCAAGTAAAGTGAAAATGAAGGTGTCGTGAGAGAAAAGTGCGATAGGTAACATCTTGTTATGTATCAGCCACTTGTGAGATGGGGTGGTTACGTCCAGAACCTCGAATGAAGGTCTATATGGTAGGTGTTGCCACCGGCACGTAACTTCACGTGATCACTGTACTTAGATCATCCAGTAGCATAGCTTAGAATGATCATCATCTTGAGTATCAACCAACTTGTACCAACTTTGGTAGCATGTCTGGTTAGCACCCAGTGGGTTTCTCCTGGAAAAAAAGAGGATCTTTCAAAAGCAAAATCATCCTTCAAGCCTTCGTCCACGCAGAGCCAAGTCTCCACGCTCTGTCGCCAAGCGACGAATAACCCCAACAAGCTATCGACGCAAACTTCGGCTTCATCCCGATCGCAAACAATACGGACTTTTCTCAGACCATTGGAAGAACGACCCGCATCGGCTCCGTCAAGGAAAGTGACTACACCACCGCGTACCAAGTCACATCAACAGCAGCCCCCCTGGCCGCGAACCACCAACAAGCTACTCCCGCGAACCACCAGCCCCCTGACGTAGAGAGACCTTCGCATAAAGCCACCGAAAGGGTTCTCCCAAACGGCATAACAGTTCAATCTCGGGACGAGATTTTTTTCGGGGCCGGCATGTTGTTGCCACCGGCACGTGACTTCACGTGATCATCATCCAGTAGCATAGCTTAGAATGATCATCATCTTGAGTATCAACCAACTTGTACCAGTAGGGCTGGGATAAACAGAAGCTGGACAACGCTAAACCCAATTTAGAGGGGAGGGCGCTATTCCCGAAATGGAAAGGAGAATGCGGGGTCAATTGTATGACGTCACTAATGGCTTAATAATCACGTACGGGGGTTCACGGGCGATGCGCCCACCTTTTGCTCATGCTGTACGAAGTACTCCAAGCTATATAGCTATCTCTTAAGCTATATATAATATAATAGACCAGGCAGCTAGAGCAGATTTAGGATTCTTAATCCTGTAGTAACTTATCTACTAAAGGTAAAAAGTATGTAAATCACCAGCAAGGACAAAGTTAGGTTTATACTTGTGTTCTTTGTTTACTTTATTTTGATTCATACATACCTTGGCTGTTCTATATATATACTAGATTGTACCATGTTCTCAAAAGATGATGATAAGCCTTTATATGCGCTCTTGTCCAGGTGGCGAGAAGCTTGATGACGGGGTGCTCCACACCCCGCCACTACCATTTCTTTCTCATATTCCAATCTTTCTCTGCTTTTCTTCATCCCAACGTTGTATCCCTTGGCATTGGCTCCAAATGTCGGACTCTAGCTCTAAATTCCGCGATCTACCCCGCGCCCCGGGGCCTGTGATTTGCCCATACAAGGTGACCACACGTCCGCATTCTTTTATAAGCTCCGATTCTCACACAGAAATAGGGAAACCATGTCCTCCATGGATCCAAATATAACAAAGGATCGGCCTTCCCAGACCATGAGCGATCGACATTCAAGCTCCACAGTCTCCTCCCGCCGAACATCCAGACATTGGATGAGCAGGTCCAGCGCGCTTATGAGCAGTATCAAAGCAGAGCAGGGGACCTAGCCAAGAATACCTTCCTGGCTAGCATGAAGGCTCAGAATGATGTGCTGTACTATAAGGTTCTGATATCTTCCCGAAACAACATCAGCATGTGCATTATTACTAACCTATGAATAGCTCGTGCAAACCAATCTCAAGGAGATGTTCAGCGTGATTTACACGCCTACTGAGGGAGATGCGATTCAGAATTACTCGCGATTGTTCAGAAAGCCTGAAGGGTGTTTCTTGAATATCAATGACCAGGATAACTTTGATGAGTATCTCTCTGGGTTTGGAACTGAGGAGGATGTTGACTATATTGTCGTCAGTGATGGGGAAGAGGTAATTATATATCTGCTTGACGGAGAGTTTGTGATACCCTGCTTACCATTAATTGTTGGCAGATTTTGGGCATTGGAGACCAAGGTGTGGGTGCAATTCTCATATCGGTTGCCAAACTGGCTATTACCACGCTCTGTGCTGGAATCCATCCCTCGCGTCAGCTTCCTGTTGTACTAGATTGCGGTACAAATGTAGGTATACCTATTCTCTGGTTGAGTCTACATTTGCTGACACCATATGTAGAATGAGGAGTTGCTCGATGACAAACTGTACCTCGGCCTCCGACAGCGCCGGGTCAGAGGAGAGAAGTACGATGAGTTTGTGGACAGATTTGTCGCGGCTGCCCGCAACCGATTCCCCAAGGCTTACATCCACTTGTATGAGAAATGCTCCTTTCTATTGTTCGAAACGCAGCTAACAAGACTAGCGAGGATTTCGGTCTGGATAATGCTCGAAGGATACTCGATAGATATAAGTCAAAGATACCCTGTTTCAATGATGACATCCAGGGCACAGGATGTGTCACATTGGCCGCCATGTTGGCTGCCCTTGAAGTCAGCAAAGTCAATCTGGAGGATGTACGAGTAGTGATCTTCGGCTCGGGAACGGCTGGTACCGGCATTGCCGACCAGGTTTCAGATACCATCGCCACTAAGACAGGAAAGTCGAAGGACGAAGCATCAAAGCAGATCTGGTATGTAACTGCGAAAAAGGAAGATAAACACCCCCGCTAACACCATTCTTTCATCTAGGTGCATTGACAAGCCCGGTCTCCTTATGAAGTCCATGGGTGATAAGTTGACCGAAGGCCAGAAACCTTTCGCACGGAGCGACGATGGGTGGTCGGACAGTGATCGAGATCTTCTGTCGGTCGTCAAAAAGGTTCGCCCCCATGTGCTTATCGGGACCTCAACCAAGCCCGGAGCATTCACCGAAGATGTCATCCGTGCGATGGCCGAGCATGTAGAACGACCGATTATCTTCCCGCTGAGCAACCCGACACGCCTCCACGAGGCGAAGCCGGTTGATCTCTATAAATGGACCGATGGGCGAGCTCTCGTTGCTACGGGTAGTCCATTCCCGCCAGTCGCCCATGACGGCACGCAATTTGAAATCGGTATGTATCCAAATCTCGTCCCGAACATTGACTGTTCAGTATATTAACCATAATATTTCAGCGGAATGCAACAACTCAACCTGCTTCCCAGGCATTGGTTTGGGAGCAGTCCTCTCGCAGTGCCGTCTTGTGTCCAAGAAGATGCTAGTCGCTGCCGTCGAGGCACTCAAGGCACGGTCACCGGCCCTACAAGACTCTATGAAGCCGTTGCTACCCGATGTAGAAGATGTGCGCGAAATCAGCGTGGACATTGCCACCGCCGTGATTTTGTGTGCTGTGGAGGAGGGCCTGGCACAGGCAGAGGGTATCCCTACCAGTGAATCGGAGCTACGAGAGTGGATTCGAATCCAGATGTGGGAGGCTGAGTACCGGCCTCTGGTCTATAAGGAGGAGTAATACCAAGGCTTTCTTGGTATGTAATATGGTTCCATTGAGATTATACTTTCTCATTTTGCTTTTCATGGCAACCATTCATTCCCTATTTCCCATACAGTCATGGTTCTCCCTGCTCAAGCAACAAGAGAGGCCTCATTCACAATCAAGTAATCTAACATGTTGCCTAAGCTCTGTATCCTCCTTCCTACAAACGGGTTACCCTTCTACATAGTAATCTTACACAATACTAGATTGACAGGTTCACAAGTTAATAATTAGCAGATCTCCATTTTCTTCACATCGAATTGTTCCCTCATGGTTACAACCGACACACCCACTAGTCCAGCCCAATGGCGTTGCACGTTTGATCTGGCGGAAAGCCCTCATCAATGAACATGCCGTGCCAAAGTTCATGCTTTCTTCCCTGATTTGACTAGATTCTTCCCAAGGGAGAGACTCCTCGGGAAACATAACTTGCTCGAGATCAACAATCACCACTCTCCCTTGATCGTACTCCCTGTCGAGACGAAATAGGAAATCATCTAGCCTCTGATCCCAATACTTCGCTTCCTTTACGAATAGCGTCCGAAAAGAATCCAAAAGACCAGCCTGCAAGGCTTCCTCGTCAACCTCAATCGTATCATCCCGGGCAAGCTGATGCAAAGGCATCCCCACAATTTCCGAAAGAATGATTGATGGACGGTCATTGAAGAAGCCTTCACCTAGAAGCCTTGGGATCGATTTTCCTTGAAGACTTTGAAGCCGCTTGTATGCTATTATTTTCGTCGAAATTCTTCTTCCTCCCATCCATCCTTTTGTTGTTTGATGATAACTATCTTTGGAAAATCGGGTGGAGAGGAGGCTGCTTCGAGTTCCAGACGGTGTATTGTGCTTTGCTGTGGACTTCTCTCGTGGCAATGGGCTTGGGATGGCAGGCTAGAAAGATTGTCTGCCTTGCGTGAGCTTGATTAAGTTCCCGAGACCACATAGGAAGACTTCCATACCTGTTTTAACTCCAGCTGAAGCTGAGAAGAAGACATCATGTCGAACAGGGGTGGAGGGGGAAGATGCAGGATCGCCAAGAATTATGAAGTCGGCAGATGAGGCTGGCAGATGAGGCTGGCAGATACTTGGAAAGCACTTCGCGTTGACGGGGAAAGCTCTGGACGATTTATAGCTAGTTATTTTAAGTTGTGTTAGCATAGAAGGACCGTTATTAAACTTCTGATATTCTTAACCAGCTTGAGACAGACGGACAAAATCAGTGCTGACTGATAGCCATGCGAATTTGATAAAGCTGAGTGACTTTTTTGACAACTTAGTAGAAAAAGATTGGAGCAGCAAATTCTATACTCTGAATATTGATTGATCAAGCAAATCACTAGGAGAGACGAGAACGACCAGCCTTCTCAGCAAGAACACAATTAGCGAATAGATAAGTCACGGTCTGGAAATCGCCATACGAAGCAAAAGTCTTCAAATGTAATATGTTACAAACTGTTCAGAGATATGGAACCTATGTGAGCCAAAGATAAAAGAGTGCAAGCTAAAAAAACTGAGCGATTGAAACAAATAGGTTGACTTATGGAACCCATAAGCGCATGAAGCCTACGACTTCCTGGCGACAAGTCACGCAGCTGCCGAAGTTGTTCATGGCAAGGCTCACGCGACAGTCCTCGCAAATGCATAGACAGCGACAGGGCCAGGTGATAATGGCCCGTGGGCTTGTCTGGCAGACCACACAGGGTGGACCATTGGGTCCGAGGCCTGTTGCCCCGGATTCCCATGTATGGGAGTCGGAAATGCCCGAGGTTTCTGAGCGACGGGAAAGAATGAGCTTCTCGAGGAGTTCAGCTTCCTCTTCTGGAGTAGGTTTCCGCCCTTCGGATTCTGAGTTCATAGCGTTCAGCTGCTGGAGGCGGGATGAGAAGATGATTCGGGATCTCTCCCTTTCAACTTGTTTCTGGTAGCGACTGCGCGTCATGATCTGTGGGTTGTCCGGGTTTGTTTTAAGATGGGCGGCTAGAATCCTGGCCTCTTCTCTGCTCTCGCGGTCGCGCGGGTCAAGAAGACGGGCGAGTGTGCTCATGTCGATCAGGGGATCTTGGAGTGGTGGGCTTGCCCTGTCTGCATACGGATCGAGCTGGGTAGGGGTTCGACGACCATCTTCCGATAGGTTATCCTCCCATTCTGAATCCGAGGCGTTGGTAGACATGGACACCACGCTCGTGGTGTCGAAGTCATCAGAGGGCGGAGAATAATCAGAGGTTTGATCTTGGTTTCCCCATGCACCGCCAATTTTCCACCAGCTGTAGAGTCTGTCCTCTAGCCGGCTTTCATCCGAGCCCATCCAGTCTGGCCGATTCGCGCGCTCTCGCTTCCTCATCTCGATCTCGACATCAAAGTCATGGTCATCGGGGAGCTCAAGCTCTCCATTTTCCGAGAGAATCCAGAAATCTAATGGCTGTGATGGGTTCGTCTTGTCGGTATTAGACTTCTTTCCACGATGACCCACCATGCGTTTGAGCCACATTGGCCGAGCGTTTATCCCTAGTCGATCAAGCACATTGTTGAGTCCATATGCAACCCAACGGAGCATAAGGAGGGAAATTGCGCGGAAGAACGAGAGGACATGCCACAATCTAATCGATACTCGCACTGCGCCAACTCCCCCAAGCTCGGCTCGAGATTGTACGGCTCGAGTACCGTTCTTGGGTTTCTCAATCTTTTTTTCGCGGTTGTAGCCACTCTCCCAAGCAGATTGTTCTGGCATGTCGAAACTTGAGAAACCCATAGCCTCGATAGGCCGACTTCTGGTCTGACTCTGCCAGTTCCCATAAGATGAAGACTTCCGCCTAGAGGCTTCAATTTCAGAAAGGCGATCCTCTTCTAACCACGTCATCCGCCGTGCAACGACTGATTGGCCCTCGTTCAAGAACACAGCCTCACTTGCCGCAGTTAGGGCAACATACCCGATCCGAAGCAACGTTGTATAAAAGTCTTCGTGTCTGTTAATACGGATGCTCCTTATCTGGTTCGAGCCTTGCATATTCTCATGCGCCATCAAGAAGCGGTCATAGAGGGAGACAGGTTGATCGTCCGATGGCAGCGAAAAAGCGGTGATTGTAAGTGCTAAAGTGTATATTGAGAGACAAATCACGATGCCGCCCAGTAAAAAGATATGAGGGATGAATCCCACAATGCAAACAGTCGGGAACCTGAGCACGCCGGTTTCGAGGCTGACGGGCGGACCGCCATCTAACCCCCACAACATGGCTATCATGAAGCAGGCACCCCAAAATGCAGTGCTGAAAAGCCGATATTTGCTCTGCTTGCCGAAGACTTCTAGTATGTGCGAAGTTGCACTATTGCAGCACGATATCAATACAATAAGTAGCAGTTCGGGTGTGACATTCATGCGTTCCAAAACTTGCGACCTTGTGAGAAGTTCAAAGACCGAAGTTGAGTTAGCATCAGACCCACCAGAAAGCGCACTAAGAGGGCTTTGTTTAGGAAGACCGAACAGGCCTAGTCCGATAGATTTACTGATCATCGACTCGGCTTCTGCGAAGGCGATTGAGTGCTCGAAGATGGACATCCCCGTCTCAGTCATCACAGGCTTGCCTTGCAATGCGCAAGAGAGTGTTTCGATGAAGTGACTCAAACAAAGGAGCATGAATGTCGGCCAGAGTAGGGAAAATGATCCATATGGGACACCCGGGTTGGTTCCGCGCGCCATCCTCACAGCAGCACACGACCGTTCCTCGGACTCCCATCCTAAAAGAGTCGAGCTGATTGAGTAAAGAGCACCCCCGTCACTGGAATAGTCGAATACGAGTTGCTTCCCGGGAGATCCGTAGCGCATTGTCGAAAAAGACGGCGATGTCTGACATCGGATTCCACGGAGCAGGCTAAGGATTTGGGAGACGAAGAGAAGGATAGGAATCAATCGGAGAGCCGCACGCCTTTCCCATCCTAGTCGAAGGTGTCGCCGTGTGGATGCATAGATAGTAATTCGGTTTAGGATGAGCGCCTAGACCCATCAGCATGGTAAGTATACAAGTCAAGAGCGGGGTCTCACCTCCACCAGACAAGCAAATGACCAAAGACTTGTCAAATACCCAAAGAATCCACCAAGCTTCTTCATAGCACCCAAGAGCTCCGCAATGTAGTAGCCACTCTCCTGGCTAGCTGTATCGGCGAACTCATTTGCAGCCATCTCCGCTGCATGTGTTGCGGCCGTACCGCTGGCTCCAGATGTTGAACCAGCCCCGCCCCAGATAGTTTGGCCAAGGGCTTTAATTCCAGTTATTCTAGCGAAAGTTCGGGGAACCGTTCGGAAGGCAAAGGTCTCGGCGTGTTGAAAGGCGCGAAGGGGGGAGGTCAGGAGTTGATGCGGCAAAGAGGACAAAGGAGAGGGCTCCGGTGATAATGTTGTATTCAAATGTTGTAACAAAGCCGCACTAGATGTTGGTATTGAGGAGGGTTCCACGCCGCTTGACATGATGAGTCGCTGTTGTATGCGCCTCTGCGGGTGACCCTTATCAGCGATCCGGGGGAGATGCAATCAACACAAAAGGCTGCTAGTGCATCCAACTGTAGGCACAAGCAAATAGAATGTTCAAAAGCCGAAAGATATTACAACCAGACTGAACACCACAGTGAGCAATGCTCCTGTGAACTGCATCCCGCAAATCAGAATGTATGAAAGAGTGATCTTCACGATGGCGGGCACTTCCTTGGAAGTTCGCCCCGGTGGAGCCGGCCCCAGCCCTCTCGAGGTCATTAGGTGCTGACTCAGCCACCGGAATGCCCGAGGTCCAGCCTAAGTTGATATTGGCCATCTTAAGTATAGAACTCTATGATACGATATGATTTCTTGTTCAATTTGTCTCCTATAATCCAAACCCTTTGCCAGTGGTAGATTGACAAAGCGTGTTAACATTGGAAAGTGTTGATCTGCCATCATCTTTAGACAAATTCGGCCATAGATGTATTAACCGTTTGCATATGCTCAGATGGGATAAGAGGTCTTCTACAAAGTTCCAGAGTACTGCTATAGTAAAGAAGAAAAATACTTGCATAATGTAAGAGCACTGTATCCCATAGAATACATGCCATCACATAAACGCCATGACCAAGCCTATATATGTGAGCTAGTCTGGAACTCCCCATGGTATTATCGTAAAAGTCGAATGTTTGTGTCATTGCGCCGTGAATCATTTCAAAAGCGACGTGAGCCGAAACAAGAATAAGAGATATCTGAGGTCTCAGTCGAGGTGATGAGAGACCAAAGGCTAAAGGCGCCACGTGGGAATCAAGTATTCAAGAAATCAGCAGCCATCAGGAGCTCCAGGCACAACTCAGGTGGAATATCCATGTCTGGCACGTTGACCTGGTCCTTGTGCTTTTCATTGTAGCAAAAGTATTCGCAGATCTTTTCGACAATGACACCGCTGCAGAGAAAGAACATTAGCAATGCCCACGAAAAGGAAAAAGGAATACAAGGGCGAAACGTACGAGTAGTCCTCCAAGACACATACACCGGTGCGACCCTCGGGGAAATTATCTGTGCGTGGTTAGTACTACCCATGTAGCAATGAATGTCGAGTCCACGTACTCGAAGAAAGCATGCGCCGTAAGGTCTCCGAGACATAAGCTGCGCTGCGAGGGATGATGAATTCAAATTTGTCGCTTGAGACTATAGTCACAAACTCGGTTTCCGTGGATGGCGCCATGATGAAGTACGCGTATCCGCGTAGTTGTAGGAAAGTGACCGCTGTGGAGCGAAAGAGCCTTCTGAGGTTGGCGTGTTGGTCCGTGCTGAAGCTGCCCCAGTGACGCACCTGATGTTCCCGATATCGCGTTTTGCTTGGAGTTGAGACAAGGTGAAACAATATGGGCAGCTTGAGAGTTCCTTTGATTCGCATGCGAGTGCCAAACCTATTTCTTCGAGCCTCGTCAAGGCCGATCAGTACACGCAATGTAGGCTACGTCAACAGTCGACTATCAAGTCATCCTCTGGGATATACAAAGCGGTCATACTCATCTCAGCCAAATGAAAACAACCACAAGGTTTCATTTCAGCCTGGAAACCGACTTGCCGGTCGAAGATGCATAATCACCGGCGGGACATCCGGCATCGGCTTCGCCATTGCCGAACGATTTCTACAAGAAGGCGCATCCACCATAGTCCTCGTCGGCCGATCTCAAAAACGCTTAGAGGAAGCAGCCGCAAAGCTTGGCTCTCTTGTGGGTATACCACCAGAAATTGGTGAAACCAACGATGTCGTAACTCGCGCCCCGGAAGAAGACAACCAACGAAGTACGCAAGGAAAGATCCGTCTACTTGTCGGAGATGTCTCAGATGCCGGATCATGGATGCGGGAACTGGAAAAGGAGATGGTAAGCGATCTCATCTATCTCAATAAATACTCTCATCCTAATTACCCTCTAGGCAAATGTAGACATCCTAGTCAACGCAGCAGGAATTTCGATATCAAACATCCTGCCAAGATCCGAGCTGGAAGATATCTCGACAATCCTCCGTACTAATCTGGAAGGCGCAATACTTACATCGCGCGCGTTAATGCGTGCTTCCATCCGAAGTCGTGTACGGAATCGGAGTGATCCAACTGCGAGGACCAAACCCCCATCGAAATGCATTATTAACATATCCTCTCTACTCGCGCTCAAGGGCGGAACTGGCGCGGTTCCATACGCTGCTTCCAAGGCTGGCCTTCTTGGTCTAACGCGGTCATTAGCCGTGGAGGCGTCGGCTTCAATGAAAGATATTATCATTCGTTCGAATGCTATCGTGCCGGGGTATATTGAAACACCCATGGTTGCAGGTATGTTGGTTTGGGCATCCTATATATGTGCGTAAATCGACTAACCTCGATAATAACCTCGATAATAGACTTCACCCCGGGCGAAACGAGCCGGCTGAAGGATGTCATTCCTCTTCATCGATTTGGAGATCCACGCGAGATTGCTGATGCAGCTGTATTCTTGGCGCAGAATGAGTATGCCAACAATTGTGTGCTCAATCTCGATGGTGGATTAAGTGCAGTTTAGTTCGATCCAAGCTAGATGTGTAATATCAATCAATAAGTCAAAATTCTCCAACAGCTGTAACAAATATGTATCTCATCCACAATCAAACGGGTTGATCCACCATTAGTCCTAGCAAATGCGGTAACTATCCCTCCGCGAAGGTCCCGTGTTTCATAATATTTACGAGGCAACTGGTGCACATATGACGTGCTCTCATATTTCCCTTCGAGTTCTTAGGTGAGCCGGCCAGTTTGAAGCAAGAACACCTCCATTCCGTTAACTATTTCAGGAATGCCCGCAGGATTCAGCTCAAACGCAACTTTGATACTTTGCCCAGGTGGCCGTGTTGTTATTCGCAGGTCATATTCTAGTAATCTATCAAACCAGAGAACGCCACTGAGCAGTTGAGACACAAAACCCCAAAATGCATACATTATCATGCCCATATCCAAAGCATGCTCGTCAACCTGTGAGTTCGAACCCTGTTGACTGGAAACAGGTTCGCCTTTATGCCATATGATACAGAAGAGGTTGAAGGGGGTAGTAAGCAAAAAAAAAAGGGGAATGCTGAAAGTATGAAGAGAATGATGTCAAGATGAATACCTGCGAAGGCTGCTGGTAATAACGTGAAATGCCACGGTAAGGTCTATTTTCGGCATTCAATCGTCGATCATGATGGCACCTCCCTCATCATCGTCCTCAAGAACGATAGCCTCGATGCCCTTCGAGTCAGGAGCGGATACACTAGCGAGCCGTTTGACATCGTGGCTGCTGAGCTCCACCTCGTCACTTGAGCCCTCACGCTTGCGCTTCCCGGTCTCAATTGCATCACCGGCAGTAGTTGGAAGATCGCTAGAAGGCTGCACAGGCTGCTTGGGCTTCAAGGGTATCTCGACCATCTTCTGCAGCGTTGCGGGCTTGGAATCTTTGGAAGATGGCTCATTTCTGCAAATCAATCAGTCAATATTGCCTAGTATTCTTGACAATATAGCGCTTACCTTGCAATGACCACCAGCTCGAGATTGATTCGCTCTGGTTCATTTTCATCGTATACCGTGATGAAGCTCTCATTGTTGATGCCGAGGTCGAACAACTTTTTCTCCAGATTGTCGGTGAAATCGGGGTCGTAGATCGATTCACTGCCAAGACCAACAGAGATTTCTTCGCCATAACCCAGCTCCGTCTGAAGAACGCCTTGAATGAGGTGTTCAAGGGTTGCTACCTCAGGATCAATTTCGACTCGAGCCACCACAGGGGAACAGACCGGGCAATCGGGGTTTGGGGGATTCAATGAGTCTGAATTGATCGCACGAGCGCCGGATCTTTCCAGGAAAACCTTCCAGAGAAATGGCTTGTTAGCTTCGGTAGTAGTGGGCGCTCTTCTTTGGTTCTTACCATTTTGGCCTGCATCAAGTTGTTTTGGAACACCTTCAATGACTGAAGAACACATAGCCCAGCTGTCATAGCATTGGTGGTTGCGATAGCAGGAATGATATTGCCCGCCATTTCTGTAGAAGCTGTGTTAATACTGAGCGCCTTGAAATGTGCACTCTTATTTGATAGACTCACGCTTGACATCGAATTTCGATTTGAGTTCAAGGTGGAAAATCGCAGCTCGTAGATTAGCTGTTGCGGTAACAAAGTCCAAAGTGTCCACATCATCTTTGTCGAATATCAAGGCCGGGGAATCTTGGCCTGGGGGGTTGTTTGCTTGAAGTTCCTTCAGACGTTGGGCCAACCGGTTCAAGCTGTAGCATGTTAGTTTATCGAACATATGCTATCGGTGACAGACAGTCCCTACCTATCCCTAAAAACACTAAAATTCTCCCCCAACGTCCACACTTTCTGGTCATCCGTGGAAATCGTCGAGTCGATCGAAGCAATTTCTTCTTGGAGTTGAGCAAAGTCAAGGGGCTCTGGTGGATCCCTTTCCTTCCACATCTCCTTCATGCCCTGTAATCGTATTGTGTCCCTTCGGAAAACTTTATCGAAGACCTTCTGATAGGCTTCCTCGGTGCCAATCGATTGTCGCAATTCTTTGAGCTCCAGTGCTTCCTTGCGCAGGTCTGCAATTTCATTTGCTAGACGGAAATCAGTTTCAGCGCCTAGTTATAGATCAAATCGAACCAACCGTTATCAGCGTCTTCTGTGTTGTCCACCTCCGCTGCCTCATCTTCGCTATAGCCGAAAAGTTCCCTACTCAACGGTGAGTATACAAAGCGGACAGATTGGAACTGGATCTTACGGCAAGAGGAAGCTCTTCGCCCAAACTATGCAATGGATCGGCTGGCTGGGGTTGCTGCGGATCGTACACACGGGGAACGACTTGGGTGTTTGTTTCGGGGTGCAATCGTAGCACTCAGTTTGTGACTAAAATAACGCGCGTCAGAAGATGCCCAATTTGCGAAGCCGGGCATCAGTTTGGCTGACCTTTTGAATAACTTGCACTTGGCCATTGAAGCCTGTAGTTCCACTTTCGATCAAGGGTACATTGGCTGCAAGGCACATTTTGTTCACATGACGTCTTGCGGCGATGTTGTCCAGCGCATTGAATACAACGTTGAAGGATTCGAACCACGAGACGTTGAACTGGGCATCCATAATGTTCGCATGGTAGGCCTCGAGCTTTGCGTCAGACCGGAACTTTTGCGCAACCTCCTTGGCAACCTAGATGAAAGCATCCATATCTCAGTATTCCATATCACCTATCGCTGAACCGCTCACACGATGTGAATGCGCTGCGCTTGAGTCGGGGAGGATTCGCAAAGGAGCGGTGCAAGTGCGCGGGGTGGTCGGTTGGACGTACTAAGGCCTTTGATTTCTTGATATGCTCATGTCGAAACAGGAACTGACGATTGAGATTGCTCAAATCAATAGTATCGAGGTCGATGATGTGAATTTCGCCGAAGCCGGTGAGGACGAGGTTTTTCAGCAGCTCGCAACCGATGCCGCCTGCGCCGACAAGAAGAACGCGCGACTATGTGTGATGAGAGAACTGTCAGAATACATTTTCACACAACATCACTTGGACCTCAGGATTGAAAACCAGCAGAGCTGTACTTACCTCTTTGAGGGAGCGGGTGAGGTCCACCCCGAGGGAGCGCTTAATGGAGCTATCCCGCATGGCGGGCAGTAGATGACGATCGCGATCAGGTGGTGTTGTATTGTTGAAATAGTTCAGTAGTGTAGTGCTGTAGTAGCGCGTCTGTTTTAGAGATAAGTTGCGAAGGGGGAAAAGGTCAAAGAAGGAGCAAGTGAAAGAAGTGCTGAGCCGGGAACAGTGACCGTTGGCGATGACGGCACTTGCTGGGAGCCTCACACGTGGGTTTCCGCTTCCTTTCGGTCTACGCCTTTTTTTATTTGCTTTTTCTGTGACTGAAAGAGTAAAATGCAGATGTAGAGTTTTAATTGACGTTGTTTTCTGATCTTTTCTCATCTTCTGGTCCTTGTAAGTGATCATTTGCATTATCGCACTGTATACTGGCGCATATACTAGCGCATATACGCTGATCGCCCTATTTTAGATGATCAATGAACGTGAGTATAATCTTAAAATAAATGTGCCTGTTTATGCTCATGACGAGGCTATCCATAGTTATATCTTTCTCAGGTACCAGGTAATCAATCTAGACCTGCAGACCCTGTGTCACTGCAAACCATAATGTACAGACCTCCTTTGCGCTTATAGCCATTGCCCCTAGATGCAAATCCTCAATATCACTGATATTTACCACAATATCGCATATCTGAGAGCTTTCCAGATACATTATGGGCATAACTAGTTATTGTGTCTGCTTACATAACCGGTGACTCTATCCAAAGACCATCGGGACAAAATCTCGGTGTGGCAAGAAAAAAAAAAAAACACCGGTCACTCAAAGGGTTCGTCGAATTCAAGTAATTTTATATCGCACCTTGCTTGTTCGAGCCTCAAAAGATTCGAATATCCAGGTGGGGTGGAATATCGGCTGGGTCTAGCTTCTCACCGGAATCCTTCCACGCGATATCAAAGGAGATACCCCTGACTCCATATCTTCCATTTGTTTTCAATCAAGAATCAAGATCAAGCAACACAAGGAGAAAATATCATGCCATCATTGGATCCAATTCCGGCCGAGAGAAATGATCAGGTCGAAGCCAATTCCGACGATGAAGCCGACCCTGAGTTGGTAGAGCTTCTTCGCCAGCATTTCGGACTGGGCGAAAGACCAAAGGATGCCCCACCAGAAACTAAAGTGCTCGAGGGGGCTCAATATGTCTTCGACAATGCAATTGATATTGCGGTCAGCCTTGCTCACACCAAAGAGGCTGCCGAAACTATATGGAGTATGATGCAGAAGAAAGAGTATTCCACGCACACCTGGTCGGAGCACGAACTACACCCAAAGACCAAGGATGAAAGCACAGTCGACTTCATATTCACAATGGATTTGCTGAACTTTAGTTTCTGGTCTGAGGAGGACGAAGAGCCAAAGCGTTTCTGTATTGAGTATCGTGGCAAGCTGTGGACTGGCTATTGGAGTCTGGTTGCTGTTCTACAAAGAGCTCTTGATGAAGGTCAGTTCCCTGATCTAACTCTACTTCTAGAATGATGAGTACTTACCCCAACGTCAGATATTCCAATCACAACCCCCGACTTCTGGGTGGATGAAGAGAGGTGCACAGAAGAGCTACTTAGACATGTATTCCGATCTGCAACAGATGGAGAAATTCCTATGTTTGAAGAACGAGTGCAGTGTCTACGTGAAGCAGGCGAAGTCCTTTGCGAGGTATGATTCCCGCCTTATTTCTATGAGCTATACTAACTAGAGATAGGAATTCGGCGGCAGCTTCGTCAACTGCATTGACAGCGCCAATCACTCCGCTGCAGGACTGGTCAACATATTGACAGAGAGCTTTGCCTGCTTCCGCGATGAGACGGTCTTCCACGGAAAGAGAGTGCGACTCTACAAACGTGCTCAGATCCTAGTCGCCGATCTCTGGGCCTGTTTCAATGGCGAAGACTTTGGTGAATTCCATGA